GCGTGGGTGGAGGGTGTGTAACAATTGAAAAAACCACATCGTCGCCATCTTCAAAAATTTGCAACATTTTGGTACCAATTTTAAAAAAATCGGTTTATAAATATACGATTGCGTGGGTGGGTGCGTGGGTGGAGGCGTAAACTTAAAAAAATAAAACATCAGCTTTGTCAGAAAAATTTGCAAACATTTTGGTACTAATTTCGTGAAAATTGGTCATAAATGCGCATGCGCGTGGGTTGGTGCGTGGGTTGAGGGGTAACACTTGAAAAAACGCATCGTCGCCATCTCCAAAAAATTTGCAACATTTTGTACCAATTTCGTAAAAAATATGGTCCATAAATGCGCACGCGCGTGGATGATTGCGTGGGTGGAGGCGTAAACTTAAAAAATAAAACACCAGTTCCTCAGAAAAATTTGCAACATTTTGGTACTAATTTCGTGAAAATTGGTCCATAAATGCGCATGCGTGTGGGTGGATGCGTGGGTGGATGCGTGGGTGGAGGTGTTACACTTAAAAAAAACCGCATCGTCGCTATCTCCAAAAATTTTGCAACATTTTGATACCATGTGTTCAGAAATATTGCAAAAAAAAATTTTTTTTGCAAAAAACATACCCTCCTCTGAAGAAAAAAAATAAAAATAAAAAATTAAAAAAAAAACCACAGCAGCCACCCCCGAAAAATTTGCAACATTTTGGTACCAATTTCGAGACAATCGGGCCACAAATGCGGACGTAGTTCGGGCACAGACAGACAGACAGACAGACGGACGGTGCTTATATATATAGATTAAATTAATCCCTCTCTTTCTTCTCTCTCTCTCTCTCTCTCTCTCTCGCTCTCTCTCTGCCCTCCCCTCCTGCAATTAATATTAATAATATAATATTATAAATAAATATTATGTAATATAATCATTTTTGCAGTTTAAAACACAGAAGCTCGATGGGCAAGAGCCGGAAGAGGTACCAATTTAAAAAAAATCGGTTCATAAATATACGCTGCGTGGGTGGGTGCGTGGGTGGAGGGGTAAACTTAAAAAATAAACCAGTAGTTTTCTCAAAAAAATTTGCAACATTTTGGTACTAATTTCGTGAAAATTGGTCCATAAATGCGCATGCGCGTGGGTGGATGCGTGGGTGGGGGTGGGTGGGGGTTGGGGTGTAACACTTAAAAAAACCGCATCGTCGTTATCTCCAAAAAAATTTGCAACATTTTGATACCATGTGTTCAGAAATATTGCAAAAAAAGAAATTAAACATACCCTCCTCTGTAGAAAAAAAAAAAAATTAAAAAATTAAAAAAAAACCCCACAGCAGCCACCCCCAAAAAATTTGCAACATTTGGTACCAGTTTCACGAATATCGGTCCACAAATGTGGAAGTAGTTCGCGTACATACATACAGACAGACGGTGCTTATATATATAGATATGATTTACAAGAAAAAAAACATTATTGCTTTAACTTGAATCGTATCTTTTCAACATAGTCTGTAATTTTCGAAATGTCGCAATAAATTAGTGAGAATAAAGTTAACAAATACGCATTTATTTTATAAAAAAATTACATTTTTAAGAAGTTATTCAAACTATTGTTTCTCTTTTTTTTTGAAGATTGTAAATTATTCTTTTATTTTTCAATTCTATAATTTGATATATAAAAATTTATTATTTTTTATTGAAAGATGACTTAATATTAATATTTGTGTGCAGGTTCAAACTATATATAACTATATAAAAAAAGTTATATCACAAATCAGGCACCAACGAGCAATCAGCATTTAATATAATTTTATTAAAATTGAAATAATTAATTTTACAGTTTTTAATTTTGATGTAAACGTTCTTAAAGGATTTAGTTTAAAATCTTATATAGAAAATTTATATTACTTTACACATTATTGAATCAAATCAATGATTGCAATACTGTGAAAAATACGTAGAAGTGCAAACTGGATTTGCGTAAAATTACATAGTTTCCATCTTGATAAACATATTATGTTGTATAAATCGCAGTTAAAGAATGCATAAAATATTTTTCCTGATGTCCATACTTGAATAATTATTTTCTGAGATAGATTCTTCGATTACATCATACATTTACACCAATATAAATATATAATGTAAGTAAAATCTCTTCATTATTTATTTATTGACTTCATCGTGGTTTTAAATACTTTAATATTTTTGAAAATATATGTAATGATTTTTTTGATTAAAGAATAATGTTTAAGCGATTAAACGTGTTGGATAACATCGATTAATTCATCTATCATGAGCAGAAGTTTATTAATATTTTTTCTTACATTTTGTATACTGATTCGCGATAAATAAATTGCCTTCCAACATTATCAACAATTGTTATTCACGATACATTCTTGTTTGAATGTCGTATTTGTGCTTCTCATGTAATTTTCTCATATGCATGTTAAAAATAAACTAATAAAATATGCATAGTATATTTAACGCAATTACTACCTTTATTTCAATCGAAAATCAAAAATTGCTCTGAAAAATAATTGCTTCTTTGCATATGTCGAATTCAGATTGACAAATGTATTTTAAAAGATAGATTAAAATTATTTAATTAAGAATTATAATAATATACATAATAAAATTCGGCGAATTAAAATTATTATTGCACAGCGTTTCGAAATCGTTCTATTTTGTCAATGCATATGAAGCATTTTAATTTTTCGGAACGATTGCTTCCGGGCTTTGCGTAAGAATTAATAACTTCTTTGTGTACAAAATTTTTGTTTGTCAAATTTCTATATGTATGCACATAATTTTAATACCCGTATTTTTATTTCTTTTTTATCTTTTTATTTCTTTATTAAATAAAATTAAAATAATCATCATATTTATGTATACAGGGTGTCCCATAATTCGCGAATCACCTTTCATGGGCAGATAGAGCGTGTTAAACTGAATAGAAAAGTCCTGTATCATTTTGCGATATTTGCAATAATTATTGAGTTATTAACTAAAATATCTAATCGAATGAACAGGTAGAAAGCGGTAGACCGGACTCGTGTGCATCGGATAACTTATTTGTTATATGCCGCTTAGTATCAAAAGTATCATCTTACTTTTCGGCGCCACTACACTGGTCGCCGCTCGCTGCATGACGCCGTCTCTCGATCAAATAATGCTTTCTACCTGCTTATTCGTTTAGATATTTTTAATTAATGACTCAATAGTTATTGCAAATATCGCAAAATGATACATGAATTTTTTATTCAGTTTAACACGCTCTATCTGCCCATGAAAGGTGATTCGCGAATTATGGGACACCCTGTATAGTTATTAGTAGATTTGATTATATGCAAATTGCATATTTATTTTTGCATATTTCTAAGAAGATTAATAATGTGAATAAATTATAATTTTTTTAATTATAAACATTAATTAGTTGAAAAACTATTACAATTTTTTCACATTATCAATGCTGTCATAAAAATGTGCAAAAAGTAACAATTATGCAATTTGCATATAATTCGAAGTCTAGTCTTAGTATATAATTTGATAACAGTATACAGACAGTGTGTGTGTGTGGTGTGTATGAGTAGGTGGTTTGTGACTGTGTGTGTATGTGTTCCCTAGAATTAAAATTATTATTGCACAGCGTTTCGTAATAGTTTCATTTTGTCAATCGTATGAAGCACTTTAATATTAATAATTAGGAACAACTGCTTCCGGGTTTTGCGCAAGAATTAATAACTTCATTGGTATTAAAATTTCTCTCGTCAAATTTTTATTATGCACATAATTTTACAAGGATAGAGAATGTATCGCTGAAAGAGCCAAATATAATACTTAGAAATTCGCTAAGAGAAGAGAGGAATATCTCTAAATTGAGATTTAAATTCCACTTACCTTTTTACCCTCCAAAACTGATGTAGACGAGAAAAATATATCGATCCGAAAAAGTCGGCTGAATCGGGAAACGAACTCGAGACATTTCGCTAATTGGGCGACTGCTCTTTTCTCTTGCAGCGGTACATTCTCTATCTTCTTTATTTACGATAAGAGCGTTCTAGCCATATTATTGGTCACATAATTTTAATTTGCGAGTTTTTAGTTTTTAAAAAATGTTTTAGTTAATTAAGTAAAATTGAATAAAATTATTATATAAAAGCAAACAATGGCGTCCGCGCAGTGCGCTCCATTGTCTATATTATGTAATAATTAAATTTGATTGTTATTTAATTTTAATGAAATAAAAAAAGTGTTGTCAAGCATACGTAAATGTGTATAATTTTATAATAGTAGATAGACAGCATGTGTGCGTGATTTCTCTCAAAACTATGGAAGACTGCGTCGCTCTCGATAGTTTCATTTTCTCTCTGTAGAAACACGTTTCCTTGTGCATTCTGCTCTTCTTTTAGAAATACAAGATAATATCGGATTATTGATATATAGTATATGTTATAACAAATTTAGCGAGAAATTAAAAATCAATCGTGCAAATCGTCTACATTAATAGCAGAATAATCAGATCAATGTTTCGAGATTTTGTTAAGAAACACAAAAGCAAAAAGATATTTTGATTTTATCACAAGTGTATATTCTGCATTTAACACCTGAATTTCATAAATTAATATAAAAATTTAAGCAAAAATTTAATACAAAATTATTTAATTTTGACAATTAAAAATCCATATGTGAGAATTGATAAATACTGAAGAATTTGACTGATTTAATTATTTATTATTACAAAGTATATTAATATAAAATAAGTGTCATAAAAATTTGCGTTTTTGTATTGTGACTTTTCCTTTCATCACGTTATCGAAATCTCAGCAAAATGCACCAACAATGAAGAGGAAGGTCATAATTGACAGTACGATACGAAATAGATAGAATTTACAACATTTTCTAAGATCAAGATATAAATACTGCAATATGATTTGCATACAAATTAACCAGCAAAACGCGATATGTCAATGAATGTAACATAATCTCATTTAAATTTGAAAAAGAAACGAAATGATATAATATGTTTTTGCTACGAAATCCAAAAATATGGATGAATTATAATTATTAATCTTAAACATAAAGATCAGCATAAATAAACATGACTTTAATTTTGAAATAAAATTGAAGATCGATCATATCAGTGTAACTTCATGTTTGTCCGGAAGAAATCATCTTCACTTGTATGACTATTTCTTTTTACGTAGTAATAATACTCGACAATGTTGCATTAGATCCGTGTCAAGCTTTTGGCAACAAACCGTAGGCGAATCGCTTGAATAACATGCACTTGATCTATTTTCTCCACACAAAGATGATAACGGTGCATAGATTCTGCATAATGTCCAACAAATTAATAATATACCAGTTATAATTTGATACATTTCCAGAAAATTCATCCGCTGTTATCATAAGACATCGTATGCCTATTACGATAAACAGCACAATAAATATCTTCAGATATAGATTAAACCTGCAAACAAATATATAATATTAATAATTCTTGTGAATAAATAATGCATGAAATTGATTTAATATATAATAAGCTAAGTAAGGAATTTTTAAAATTTTTATTTTTGTAAAATACAGGTACATTATTAATTTGATTTTAGTTATTAAATGTCATTTTGTTTAGAATTGAATAGGTTCTCGAAGAAACGCGTTAAGTGATATATTCTTGAAAATATTACAAATTTAAAAAGTAAATCGGCGAATAGAAAAGACGTCGTCTACGAATAATAATCTATGGTATTTATAATCTGAATTTATATTTAATATCGTTTTAAATCTCTCATCTTGATTTAAAAATTCATTTACCCAATCAAGCTCGGACTTAAGATTAAATATAAGCTCGGACTATTAATTATTAATACCGGCCTATTTGTTTCTTTTAGAAAAATGCGAATCAATCAATCATGCGACGCTGTTTGCATAAATGTTGATAAAATCAACATAAATCTCATTAATAAAATAGATTATCATGTCTCAATGCAACGATATCTAAGTACATACCATTTTTTATTATCGTTATAGCACTTGCTCTCCGAATTTTTCAGACGAAGACTCGTATCCTTTTTGTAACGCGCAATTTTTAATGCCGTAGATATAGAGAAACAAATGCTAAAGATAATGCATATACTTCTGAGCCCATGATAATACAACATATACGGACCAGTCTCTGTAAGTATAAAATATCATAAGTTTTTATACTGTTTCTCACAATACTAGAATGCTATAGTATTAATAAAGTTATTTTCACTTACCAATGAACCAGCAATATAAATAAAATTCCGGTCGCAAAATCGGTGGTACATTTACATACTCGGAAAGAATATCCATGCTGACACAGAAAATAGCAAGCATAAAGGGACATCCCCACGCAAAGATCGTATAATATATCAACTTTCTTTTTTCTCGTTGTCTGACGTTTCTTTGTAACGAACATAATTTTCTGCAATTTACACAACATATTTAACAAACAATTGACAACAGAAATTAGAATGTAAAAACGTCAAAATCAAGTCACTATATCATACTATAGAGCAAAGATTCAACTTGAAGAATCCATTCTTAAAATTGCTGTACTATTATTGAACGGTGTTATATGAACGATTAAAGTAAAAATGACATTTTCTCTGCAATTTGCGATAACTTGATAAGTAAAAATCGACATTTACATTTTAAAAAACAATTTTGCAGAGAGAAATTCAAGCTGTAATATGGAAATGTCATGAAATTTAAAAAATTTTTTGTGCACGCGATACGTCTACAAAGTGAGAATAAAATTTTCTATTTCTTTATGTTTCTCGTTTTTTGTATATAAAAAATATCAGAATTGAAGAAAATGCAGAAAGCTAAAAACCATTGAAAGCAGAGATTTTAAGCTTTAAAACACTTTTTAAAATATAAATGCTCATTATTCGAAACAAAGTTACAACTATTTAAAGTTTGCCTATTTTTGGACAATTGTTTTTCTTTTTATTCCTTAAATATTTAAAGGAGTGTATATTTACATAACTATTATGCAGATACGACAATGGTATTAAAATTTTTATTGACTTTAAAAGACAAATTTTTAATTAAAAAATCTACTTTTATTTTGTGAAAACATATCGTGTATTGCTTTATTTTATAAATTAATATGAATTAAAAGAGAAAAAAGTTAAATATCAAGATATCAGAAATTTTTCAAATTTATTTGTGCATGCGACACGTCTACAAAGTAAAAAAAAATTTTCCATTTTGTTATGTTTCTCGTCTTTCGTATATAAAAAATATTAGAATTGAAAAGAATAAAAAAAGCTGTATAATTATTAAAAGAGATTTCAAGATTTAAATTTCTTTCTTAAAATTTAAATTCTTATTATTCGAAACAAAGTTACAACTATTTAAAATTTGCCTATCTTTGAACAATTGTTCTTTTTTGATGCTTTAATTATTATAAGGCGTATATTTACATAACTATTATACAGACACGACAATAGTACTTTAAATTTTTATTTACTTTTGAGAGACGAATTTTTGATATAAAATCTATTTTTATTTTGTAAAAAGTTATCGTGTACTGCTTTATTTTATAAATTAAAAGAAAAAAAAGTCAAATCAAAATATTATTGCATTATATCAAATTATTAGATTGTGTTATAATATTTTATACATATTTAAATTAAATATATAATATGCTTATTATATCTAACACGCCATTTTTACTTTTAAAAAATTAACCGTTTAAAAATCTGTAATTAATTATTAAAAATCTCGAAGAAAACTATTTATTTAAAATTATAATTTGAACCTATTATCTTTATACTCTAACTTATAATGTCCTAAGTCAATTATAATTGTTTTTTCACGTACCAACAAAATATATAAGAAAATTCGATTAATACAGTATTTTGCATGTTATATATTCTCTATCTTTATCTTTAAACCGATATATGTAAAATAAAAAAAAAATTTTTTAAAGATAATTAAAAGGTTAAAAAAAGTAGTAATAATATAGAATATTTTCCAACTTACCTGAATGTGCACCACATATCAAAGCTCATTATACTTAACCAAAAGAAACTCGCCATAAAGCAAAAGTATCTTAAAATGGCTGTAAAAATAAATCAAATTAAAGGCTGTAATAATTACTAATAAATAACAATATACAATATTATTAATGTAAATATAAATGTAATATGTAATTTGCTCTTATAGTTGAGAAATAAATAAGGAGCAGGTAATAAGCCAAAAGAGCAACGTGAAGTATAATAAATATAATTTAATCGCAAATACAATTTTATTTAATAAAAAACTTTTATCTTTTAATAAAGGAACTTTGTATTTGCGACTTAATTACTTTGCGTTACTCTTCTGATCTATTTCCTGCTCCTTATTTATTTCTATATTATTAATAAATAATAATATATTACATAATAAAATATATATGTATATAATAAATACTATTATCAATAAATAATAATATATTATTTATCATTACTCGTTAAAATTTCAGGATCTCAAAGTTATCATATTAATGTTTCTCCATTAGAATAGATTTCTTTCAACTATCTACACTAAATTCTATAATAATATTTACGTAATAAATACTGCTAATATCAAATTAAACATGTTCGATTCAATATGTAGTTCTGCAAAATTCAAAAACACAAAGAAATATATCTATTTGAGACGAATAGCTTATATTAATAATATACTAAAATGTATTTAAATAAAATTTAAATGTCATTCACTGTTTTGCATTTTTAAAATTTTTACAAATAATATATTAATAATATATTCAAATAATTATTAAAATTATTAGTTAATATTTAATATGCAAATATACATTAAATATCTGACAAATATAAATGCGCTATATTGATTGCATACTTTTATGATTTAGATATATACTCTACCTATTGTAACGCAAACGGGATACTGTAAATCCAATTTGATAAAAATATACACAAAGTCAATTCCGTATGCAACAGTCAGGGCACCGCTATAATTGCGCAATATGAAGCCGTGTTTATTTCGGAGTTCTGGCAATATGGAATACACCAGAAATACTGACCCCAAAAGTAATATAGATACTATATCGGCACTCATTTTCAACATATCGTCAGAATTCAAAAGCTCATCATTATCAGTTATCTCCTTGATCTTGTCATAAGTTTCGGAACAGTAGATCACTTGGAATTCACTCCCGTTGACGACGGCGAGACAATATGATGACGATTCAACAAATATTTCATAATAAGGTAAATATATAGAACCGTTGGTAAAAATCTTATAATCGTACTGAAAACCTTCAGGAAGCAGATAGTAATTTTCTTGGCAAGGGAATCCCGAATCATAAAAGCCCAGGTCAAACAATTCGTTCACTCTCTCTTCGCTCTGCGTCGAATCGTTCGTGTATACCTTTGGAAAAATGATTTCTAATTCTTCAGGACTGCAGTTGTCATCAACCAGACGATAGCCAAGCCAACAGCAGAACCGAATGCAAGTATCATTATGACACATTTCGTTTGAGACGAAATTTAACACTTTACTATTATTGTTGAAGATGTAATCCAATTTGACGTCAAAAGAATAATTGAATGTCAATTCAAAATCCCCCGGCATGAAATTTCTTTTATGATTGACATATGTCGAATTCGTATTAGATTTCATCGGTTTTTGCTCATCATCTTTATTCTGCACTGAATGCTTGTAACGTTTATGTTGAATCAAATCATTATCCTCGCGTTTATTATTCATATAAAATTCATGCTGCATTTCTTCATTTTGTGTATGGTTCATCAAATTTTTATGCAAATCATGTCGCAATGTTATTATCTCGTATCGCATTGTCAAATTATCATCTCTGTTGGTAAAACTTTGCTGCGATTTCGATAACGAAATAACGAGGAAAAGCACGGAAAACACAAATGCAAACTTTTTTCCACTCATTATTTCATATGAGAATATAGTTTAGAATAATTAGATAATCAAATATAGTGTTCATATAATTTTTCATGTAAGTTTTAAATTCGCAATAATTAAAACATGTCACATTAAATTTATGCATACCTTTGTTTTTCTATTAATTTCAATAAAATGTGTCAAGTGCAAAATATAATAAAATTAAATTATCTTATTTGTTTCTCAGCAAAATCTCGAAATGTTGATTTGATTTTGGCACCATTACTATTATTATTGGTGATTGCACGTCTTGAATTTTAATTATCTCATTAGATAAAGTCAGTACTATATCACTGTATTCGGCTTTTTCTCGTTAGAAGAATGCACAAGATACATGTTTCTGCGCGGGAGAGAAGCTGAGACTACCAAGCACGACGAGTCGTCGATAGGTTTGCAAAAAACTGTCGGTCTACTATACTACTGACGAGGTACTGTTACGTCAGTGCTGATATCATGGTAAAGGTAGGTTACAGGTAACTCTATTAATGTTACGCATTTTAAATATGTCTGAAACAGTATGTAATTTTATGTTATATTATTCTTACAAAAACAGTGCCGTATCGGTTGTATTTTCACGGGATCAGATCTGTCTGTTTAATTATTACCATTTGCTTATCCATCTCTGCGGCACTGAACATCAAACGCAACGAAAAAGATACAAACCTGCGTCTATCAGATTTGTAAAGCAAGCGATATAATGACAATAAAGAATGGTGAGTATTTTGAAATTTTTGTAACATTTATTGTTAGTGAAAATCTTTTATTATCTTAATGAGATTTATGTAGACATACAATATTTATGTCAATGTCTCTGCCGACAATATTCTATACTTGCTTGATTCGCATTCCAGATGAAGAAAGCAAGCATTTTCACTGTGCTTATTGTTTTCTTTGTTTTTTTTTTTTGTTATGTATAATTATATAATCTATAAGAAAAAAAAGCATGTATTGCGTTAACTTGAATCGTGTCTTTTCAAAATAGTCTGTAATTTTCGAAATGTTGCAATAAATAGTGAAAATAAAGTTAACAAATAGGCATTTATTTTATAAAGAAAATTATATTTTTGAAGAATTTATTTAAACTACTGTTTCTCGTTTTCCTTTTTTAAAGATTGTAATTAATTTCTTTATTTTTCAATTTTATAATTTGGTATATAAGAATTTATTATTTTTATTGAAAAATGACTAACTGTTAATATTTGTTTGTAAATAAATTTGTTTGTAAATATTAATATTTGTTTGTAAATAAAAAATAATGATTCACAATCTTTTTGTCAAATGTATGCAATGAAAATTGTATAAGCATATTTAATTTTTAACAAATTTAAATTTGTGCGCTGGAAGATGTACGAAGAATTCAGTACGTTAAGAGTTTGACAATTGATTAAAATAAAATTAAAGAAAATTATTATATAAAAGCAGACAATGTCGTGCGCGAGCTTGTGTTTTCCAGTATATGTTATGTAACTAGTGCGTTATCTTCTACTAATTGTTATATGTATATAACAATTTTATAATACAATTTGTATTTTATTACAAGTTGTATTTTATAATAGTAGGCAGACAATTGCCTCAGTTTTTATGTGGGTATTGAGTTCCGGCCGCTTTTCAAGTTTCCTAGCTGTGCTCAGTCGAGCGTGAAGATTGACGATTTATTAAGTTTTCATTAATTTATTTCACGCGAGTTATTTAATTCTAATAATACATAAAAACGTTATACTTAAATAATTGCGATATATGTTTATAAGTTAATCTTTCAAGTATTTTTACGAGACTAGAACGCTTATGATTATTATTGCTCGATTTCTTTGCGCAGATGAATTAATAATGCTAAGAACTTTTGCATACTTCTTGCAATCTCTATTTTCATTATAAAAATAGCGATTTTAATGTTTATACACAATTATATTTATCGATTACATTTTATACAATCATCTTATACAATCATATAATAAGACGCAATGTTGAAAATGAATTAATAAAATATGTACATTTAACGCAATTACTACATTTATTTCAATCAAAATTGCTTTGAGAAACAATTGCATTTTTACACGTCGAATTCAGATTGTCAAACGTTTTTTAAAAGATAGATTAAATTAATTTAAAATACGAATTGGAATAATATACATATTAAAATTCGCGGAATTAAAATTATTATTACACAGCGTTTCGAAATCGTTCCATTTTGTCAATCGTATGAAAACTTAATAATTAGATAGAACGATTCCTTCCGGGCTTTGCGCAAGAATGAATAACTTTTAATGTGTACATAATTTCTTTCGTCAAATTTCTATTATGCACATAATTTTAATTCCCGAGTTTTTATTTCTTTTTTATTTTTTTATTTTAATTAGATAAAATTGAATAAAATCATTATATGAAAGCAAATCGTCGTGGATTACGTTTCCGAGTATATACCAAAAACTTAAGATCATATTTTGAAGTTGGTGCATATTGCTGGTATCACTGACGAGGTATAGTACATTGTAAGTAACTATACTATATAGGACTATACACTTATAGCTTTTACATACTATATACAAAGAAAATAAAAAAAATCATTGAAACTACTACTGACGATAGCTCGACCAATCCAGCAGCGAAATGAAAAATACTCTTAATTGTTTTCTAAATATTGAATGCTTAAATAAAGAGTCTTTATATTTTTAAGAATACCGCAAAAAGAAATAAATTGATACGCAGCAAAAGTCAAATAATAAAAATATTGTAGTTATTAATTATTTTTGAAATGTATATTAAATTGTAAGTATTTTATTCGTTTAAATACTTGTATATAAAAATTTGTTTTAAATAATTAATCGATAACGCATGCGTTAAAAAAATTTTATTTATTTCACAAATTTATTAATTTCATTTTTTATGTTTAGACTACAAAATAATTATTAAAAAAGAAAATTATGTTGAATATATGTTTATCGTCATTTGCCAACTTATATATCATCAAATAAGAGATATAGCCTGCACATATAAAGTAAAAACAAAACCTATTCCAAAACCGGTTTATATTTGACATGCATAACAATGAGAGTTATATCATGATCATTTATTTGATTAGAAATTAAAAATAGCGGTAAATCCGATGGCGCTGATGCTATTTAATTTTTCACTCCCAACTTTTACAGAGGAAAAAAATATTTCACAAAAATTACATTGATTTTTTAAAATCAATAATTGAAACTAATAATAACTATAATGTAAATTATATTAGAAAAAATAGTAAGCTACACCGAATTATTGAGATCATAAAAAATTTAACATTTCAATTATTTAAGTATTTATGTTACAATAATTTTATAATAAAATATTTAATTAAGTTATATATATTATACTAATATATATTATATTATACATTTTTATTACAATTCATAATATTAATAAATAAACATATATTTATTTGACATATGTATAATAACAACTTATAGTAATTTCATTCAAATTTTGTAGCAGTTTTCTGAATTTCTACTAATATTCCAAATATAAAAATAGTATTAGCCTACAATTAACAATATTATAAATAATTATGCAAAGGAATGTAACATAATCTCATTTAAATTTGAAAAAGAAACGAGACAAAATAATATGCTTTTGCTACAAAATTCAAAAATATGTGTGAATTATAATTATTGATCTTAACTATAAAGAACAACATAAAAAAACATGATTTCTATTTTCAAATAAAAATTAAATCGGTTAAATCAGTTAAATTACATCGGTTAAATCAGTGTGACTTGCTCGTCCGGAAAAATTCATCTTCTCCTGTATGACTATTTCTTTTGACGTGGTAATAATGCTCGAAAATGTTGCATTCCATCCGTGTCAAGCATTTGGCGACAAACCGAAGCCGAATCGCTTGAATAATATACGCTTGATCCTTTTTTTACACACAAATATGATAAAGACGCATAGACTCTGCATAATAGCCACGAAATTAGTATCATACCATGAAATGTAGTAAATTGATACAATGTCAGCTAATAACGCTGTTATCATTAGCCATTCTATGCCCATTAAGATAAATAGCACGATGAATAGCTGCAGATATAGATTAAACCTGCAAACAAATATATAATTTTCATAGTTCTTGTGAATATATATGACGAATGAAATTGAATTGATGTATATATATATAAACCTTAAGAAATTTTTGAAAGTGTTTAAAATTTGTATTTTTGTGAAATAAAAGTGCATTCTTTAATTTGATTTTCATTATTAATTGTCATGTTATTTAAAATTGTATAGATTTTTGAAAGAACACGTAAAATAATATATTTTCGAAAATATTACAAAATAAAAAGTAAATCGGCGAATAGAAAAGATATCATCTGCAAATGATAATCTATGACCAGTATTCATAATCTGAATTTATATTTAATATCGTTTTAAATCTGATCTTGACTTAAAATTCCATTCAACCAATGAAGCTGGAACTTAAAATTAAATACACGATCGGACTATATTAATTTTATTAATAAAATATAGATTATCATATCTTAATACAACGATATCTGAGTACATACCATTTTTTATTATCGTTAAAGCATTTATATTTCGAATCTTTCAGACAAGGACTCGATTCCTTTTTAAAACGCTGAATTTTTAATGCCGTATAAATAGATAAACAAATGCTACTAATTACGCACATACTACTGAGGCCATGAAAATACAACAAATACGAACCAATCTCTGCAAGTATAAAACATCATGTTGTTATGCTTTTTTTCATCATACTAGAATACTAAAGCATTATCTTCACTTACCAGTAAACCAGCAATTCAAATAAAATTTCGGTCGCAAAATCGGTGGTACATTTACATACGCAGAAAGAATATCCATGTTGACACATAAAATAGCAAGCATAAAGGGACATCCCCACGCAAAGATCGTATAATATATCAACTTTCTTTTTTCTTGTTGTCTGACGTTTCTTCGTAACGAACTGAATCCTCTGCAATTTACACAACATATTTAACAAACAATAAATAAAAGAAATCAAAATGTGAAAACGTTTAAATAATGTGTCTTTGATCAAGTCACTATATCATACTATAGAGCAAAGATTCAGCTTGAAGAATCTATTCTTAAAACTGCTGTACGATAATTTTTAAGGATGTTATGCACGATTAAAGTGAAAATGACACTTTTTCTTCAATTTGCGATAACTTTATATGTAAAGATCGATATTTAAAAAAAAACAATTTTGCAGAAAAAACTTTAGTCTGTAACATGGAAGTGTCAAGTAATTTTTCAAATTTATTTGTGCATGCGACACGTCTAAAAAATGAGAAAAAATTTTCCATTTTGTTATGTTTCTCGTTTTTCGTATATAAAAAATATTAGAAATGAAGAGAATGAAAAAAGCTGTATAATCATTGAAAGAGATTTTAAGATTTAAATCTCTTTTTTAAATTTTAAATTCTCATTATTCGAAACAAAGTTACAACTATTTAAAATTTGCCTATTTTTGGACAATTGTTCTTTTTTGATGCTTTAATTATTTTAAGGCGTATATTTACATAACTCTTATGCAGACACGACAATGGTACTTTAAATTGTTATTAACTTTTGAGAGACGAATTTTTATTAAAAAATCTATTTCTATATTTTGTAAAAAATTATCGTGTATTGCTTTATTTTATAAATTAAAAAAGAAAAACCTCAAATCAAAATATTATTGCATTATATCAAATAATTAGATTCCGTTATAACATTTTATACATATTTAAAAATATATAATATGCTTATTATATCTAATACACTATTTTTACTTTTAAAAAATAACCAATTAAAAATCTGTAATCACTTAATAAAAATATCCAAAAAAACTATTTATTTCAAATTATAATTTAAAAGATGTTAAAAACTGTGAACTTACCAGATGATAATTAAAAAATGGTAGTAATTTAATCAACCAACTGTGGCAAATTAAGTGATTTTTATTTAATATTCACGACGTTACGGCCATGGGTTTCGGATATAGTTAATTGTTTGACATCATATCTTGTCACATTCTAAAATCAAAATTAAGGTTTTTTAAAAAAAGTTATGTTTTAGCACTTGATAAGGACCTAAACCCATGGCCGAAACGTCGTGAATATTAAATAAAGATCACTTAATTTGCCAGAGTTGGTTGATTAAATTACTATAATTTTATAATTTAAATCTATTATCTTTATACTGTAACTTACAATGTCCTAAATATAATTGTTTTATTATTAAATATTATTTTCAAATATATAGTTGTTTTTGCACGTACCAACACAATATGTAAAAAATTCGGTTAATACAGAATTTTCATATTATATATTCTCTATCTTTATCTTTAAACCAATATATGTAAAATCGAAAAGAAATAATTTTATAATGATAAATGAAAGGTTAAAAATAAGTAGTGATAATATAGAATATTTTCCAACTTACCTGAATGTGCACCACATATCAAAGCTCATTATATTTAACCAAAAGAAACTCGCCATATTGCAAAAGTATTTTAAAAAGGCTGTAAAAATGAATAAAATTAAAGATTGTAATAATAATTAATAAATAACAATATACAATATTATTAATATAAATATAAATGTAATATGTAATTTGCTCTTATAGTTGAGAAATGAATAAGAAGCAAGAAATAGGCCAAAAGAGCAACGCAAAGTATAATTTGGTCGCAAATACAACTTTATTTAATAAAAAAATCATTTTTTATTAAATAAAGGAACTTTGTATTTGCGACCTAATTACTTCGCGTTGCTCTTTTGATCTATTTCATGCTCCTTATTTATTTCTATATTATTAATAAATAATAATATATTATATAATAAATATATATAAAAAACACTATTAATAGATAATAATATATTATTATTATTCATTATTACGCGTTAAAATTGCAGGATCTAAAAGTTATCACATTTATGTTTCTTCATTAAAATAGATTTACTTTAACTTTCTACACTAAATTTTATAGTAATATTTAATGAATATTGCTAATAAGAAATTAAACAATATTTGATTCGGTATGTTATTCTACAAAATTCAGAACACAAAGAAATATAACTATTTGTGTGAGACGAACTTATATTAATTATATATTAAAATGCATTTAAATAAAATTTAAATGTCATTTACTGTGTTGCATTTTTTAGATTTTAACAAATAATATATTTAAGTAATATTTAAAATTATTAATTAATATTTAATGTGCAAATTTAATATGCAAATTTAATACCTATGCAATATTTAATATATATACATTAAATATCTGACAAATATATATACCCTATACTTATTACATAGTTTTATGATTTAGATATATATTCTACCTATTGTAACGCAGACGGGATACTGTATATCCGATTTGATAAAAAAATACACCAGGTCAATTCCGTATGCACCAAACACGGCACCGCTATAATTGCGCAACATAAAGCCGTGTTTATTTCGGAGTTCTGGCAATATGGAATACACCAAAATAATTGACCCCAAAAGTAATATAGATACTATATCGGCATTTATGTGCATAATTTCTTTGTCAGAATTCAAAGGCTTACTCGTATTATCAATTATCTCCATGATCTTGTGATAAGTTTTGGAACAGAAGATCACTTGGAATTCAACCCCAATTGACGACGGCGAGACAATATGATGACGATTCAACAAATATTTCATAATAAGGTAAATATATAGAACCGTTGGTAAAAATCTTATAATCGTACTGAAAACCTTCGAGAAGCAGAATTCCCGAGAAGTGATTATCCTGGCACGAATCATAAATGGCCAGATCAAACAATTCGTTTATTCTCTTTTCGCTCTGCGTCGAATCGTTCGTGTATACTTTTGGAAAAATGTATTCAATTTCATCAGGAATGCATTCATCAAACAGACGATCGCCAAGAGAACAGCAGAGCCGAATGCAAGTATCATTATAACACATTTCGTTAGGGACGATGTTAGTTCTGTTAGCATCTTTGCTAAAATTTTTGAGAACTTCAAGTGACATGGAATCATTCTTTTCAATTACATTTTCATAAACTTCCTGAGCCGTGAAATTTCTTTTATGATTGACATATGTCGAATTTGTGTTAGATTTCATCGATTTTTGCTCATCATCTTTATTCTGCATAGAATGCTTGTAACGTTTATGTTGAATCAAATCATTATCCTCGCGTTTATTATTCATATGAAATTCATGCTGCATTTTGTCATTTTGTGTATTGATCATCAAATTTATATGCAAATCATGTCGGAATGTTATTATCTCGTATTGCATCGTCAAATTATCATCTCTGTTGGTAAAACTTTGCTGCGATTTCGATACCGAAATAACGAAGAGAAGCACGGAACACACAAATGCAAACTTTTTTCCACTCATTATTTCACATAAGAATATAGTTATGAATAATTAGATAATCAAATTTAGTGTTCATATAATTTCTCATGTAAGTTTTTAGTTTGCAATAATTAAAACATATCACATTAAATTAATGCACACCTTTGCTTTTCTATTAATTGCAATAAAATGTGTCAAATGCAAAATTTAATAAAATAAAATTATCTTATTTTGTTTTTCAGCAAAATCTCAAAATGTCGATTTGATTTTAGCACCATTACTGTATTCGACTTTTTCTCGTTAGAAGAATGCACAAGATACATGTTTCTGCGCGGGAGAGAAGCTGAGACTACCGAGCACGACGATTCGTCGATAGCTTTGCAAGAAGCTGTCCGTCTACTATACCACTGACGAGGTACTGTTACGTCAGTGCTGGTATCATGGTTAAGGTACGTTTCAGGTAACTCTATTAATGCTACGCATTTTAAATATGTCTGAAACAGTATGTAATTTTGTTATATCATTCTTACAAATACAGTGCCGTATCTGTTGTATTTTCACGGGATCAGAACTGTCTGTCTAATTATTACCATTTGCTTATCCATCTCTGCGGTACTGAACATTAAACGCAACGAAAAGGATACAAACCTTCGTCTATCAGATTTGTAAACCAAGCGATATAATGACAATAAGGAATGGTGAGTATTCTGACATTTTTGTAACACTTAGTGAAAATCTTTTATTATTTTAATGATATTTATGCTGACATATTTATATCCATGTCTCTGCCGACAATATCCCATACTCGCTTGATTCGCATTCCAGATGAAGAAAGCAAGCATTTTCACTGTGCTTATTGTTTTTTTTATTTTGTTATGTATAATTATATAATCTATAAGAAAAGAAAGCATGTATTGCGTTAACTTGAATCGTGTTTTTTCAAATAAGTCTGTAATTCTCGAAATGTCGCAATAAATAGTGAAAATTAAGTTAACAAATAGGCATTTATTTTATAAAAAAAATTATATTTTGAAGAATTTATTTAAACTACTGTTTCTCGTTTTCTTTTTTTAAAGATTGTAATTAATTCCTTTATTTTTCAATTTTATAATTTGGTATATAAGAATTTATTATTTTTATTGAAAAATTTTTATTTTTTTAATTTAATTACATAAAATTGAATAAAATCATTATATAAAAGCAAATCGTCGTGAATTATGTTTTCGAGTATATACCAAAAAAACGTAAGATCATATTTCGAAGTTGGTGCGTATTGCTGGTATCACTGACGAGGTATAGTACCTCGTAAGTAACTATACTATATAGGACTATACACTTATAGCTTTTACATACTATATACAAAGAAAATAAAAAAAAATCATTGAAACTACTACTGACGATAGCTCGACCAATCCAGCAGCAAAAGGAAAAATACTATTGATTGTTTTTTAAATATTGAATGCTCAAATGAAGAGTCTTCATATTTCTAAGAATACCGCAAATAAGAAATAAATTGATACGTAGCAAAAGTCAAATAATAAAAATTTGTAGTTATTAATTATTTTTGAAATGTATATTAAATTGTAATTATTTTATTCGTTTAAATACTTCTATATAAAAATTTGTTTTGAATAATTAATCTATAACGCATGCGTTAGAAAAATTTTATTTATTTCACAAATTTATTAATCCCATTTGTTGTCTTTAAACAACAAAAAATTATTAAAGAAGAAAATTATGTTGAATATATCAGTTTATCTTTATTCGCTAACTCTTATATATCATCAAATTAGAGATAATGCTTACACATATAAAGTAAAGACAAAACCTATTCTGAAACCGGTTTATATTCGACCTGCATGACTTTGAGAGTTATATCATGATTATTTATTTGATTAAAAATTAAGAATAGCAGTAGATCAGGTGGCGCTGATGCTATTTAATTTTTCACTCTTAACTTTTACAGAGGAAAAAAATATTTTACAAAAATTACATTGATTTCTTCAAAATCAATAATTGAAACTAATAATTACTAAAATGTAAATTATATAAAAAAAATAGTAAGCTATACCGAATTATTGAGATCACAAAAATCTAAAGTTTCAATTATTTAAGTATTAATGTTACAATAATCTCACGATAAAATATTTAATTAAATTATAAAAATTATAATAATATTATAATAAAATTATAATAAAATTAAAAGTTGATCCTATCAGTGTGATTTCTTGCTCGTCCGAAAAAACTCATTTTCTCCTGCATGACTATTTCTTTTGACAGTGTAAGAATGCTCGACAATGTTGCATTCGATCCGTGTCAAGCATTTGGCGACAAACCGAAGCCGAATCGCTTGAATAACATGCGCTTGATCCTTTTTTTACACACAAATACGATAAAGACGCACAGACTCTGCATAATGTCCAGCGAATTAACAACATACAATACAATGTAGTAAATTGGTACAGTTTTAAATATTTCATAAGCTGCTATCACAAGCAATTCTATGCCCATTAAGATAAACAGCACGATAAATAGCTGCAGATATAGATTAAACCTGCAAACAAATATATAATTTTTATAGTTCTTGTGAATATATATAATGAATAAAATTTAATTGATTTATAAACCTTAAGAAATTTTTGAAAGTGTTTAAAATTTGTATTTTTGTGAAATACAGGTGCAATCATTAACTTAATTTTCATTTATTATTCGTTATTAATTGTCATTTTGTTTAGAATTGCATAGATTTTCGAAGAAACACGTAAAATGATATATTCTTGAAAATATTACAAAATAAAAAAAGTAAATCGGCGAATAGAAAAAATGTCATCTGCAAACGACAATCTATGACCAGTGATCATAATCTGATTTTATATTAAATATTGTTTTAAATCTGATTTTGACATAAAATTCCATTCAACCAATCAAGCTCGGATTTTAAATTAAATATACGATCAGACGATTAGTTATTAATACCGGTTAATTTCTCTCTGTTATAAAAAAAAAAATGCGAATCAATTATGCGATGCTGTTTGCATAAATGTTAATATAAGTAGCATAAATTTTATTAATAAAATAGATTATCATATCTCAATACAACAATATCTGAATACATACCATTTTTTATTATCGTTAAAGCATTTATTCTCCGAATCTTTCAAAAAGAACCCGATTCTTTTTGAAACGTTCAATTTTTAATGCCGTATAGATAGATAAACAAATGCTACTGGTGACGCACATACTCATGAGCCCATAATAATACAACACATACGAACCAGTACCTGTAAGTATAAAACATCATGAGTTTTTATGCTCTTTCTCACCATACTAAAATGCTATAGCATTATCTTCACTTACTAAAAAAAAACATTCTCCTTCATAAAAGTCCGGTCGCAAAATTGGTGGTACATGCTGGTACTTAGAAAGAATATCCATGCTGACACATAAAATAGCAAGCATAAAGGGACATCCCCACGCAAAGATCGTATAATATATCAACTTTTTTTTTCTTGTTGTCTGACGTTTTTGTAACGAACAGAATCCTCTGCAATTTACAAACATATTTAACAAACAACACATAAAAGAAATCAGAATGTAAAAACGTTAAAATAATGTGTCTTTGATGAAGTCACTATATCATACTATAGAGCAAAGTTTCAGCTTGAAGAATCCATTTTTAAATTGCTGTAGAATGATTTTTAACGATGTTATGAACGATTATAGTAAAAATGACATTTCTCTTTAATTTACGATAATATTTGATAAAAAAGATCAGGATTTACCTTTTAAAAACAATTTTGCACGTAAAACTTCAGAAAGTAACATGGAAATGTCATGAAATTTTTCAAATTTTTGTGCATGCAACACGTCTACAAAGTGAGAAGAAATTTTCCATTTTGTTATGTTTTCGTTTCTTGTATATAAAAATGTATATAAAAATATCAGATTTTAAGAAAATAAAAAGATGTGAACTACTGACAGTAGAGATTTAACGTTTTAAAACTCTTTTTAAAGTTCAAATTCTTATTATTCGAAACAAAGTTATATCTATTTAAAGTTTGCCTATTCTTGGACAATTGTCTTTTATTATCTTTTTTTATGCCTTAATTATTGTAAAAGTGTTTATTTACATAGCTATTATGCAGACACGACAATTGTATTAAAATTTTTATTTACTTTTAAAAGACAAATTTTTAATTAAAAAATCTACTTTTATTTTGTGAAAACATATCGTGTATTGCTTTATTTTATAAATTAATATAAATTAAAAGAAAAAGAAGTTTAATATCAAAATATTATTGAATTATATTGAATTATTAGATTTTATTATAATGTTTTATATATATTTAAATAAAATATATAATATGCTTATTATGTCTAATACGCAATTTTTACTTTTAAAAATTAACCATTCGAAAATGTGTAATCAATTAATAAAAATATCCAAAAAACTATTTATTCCAAATTATAATTTGAACTTATTATCTTTATACGCTAACTTATAATGCCCTAAATATAATTGTTTTATTATCAAATATATAGTTTTATTTTTAAATATATAGTTGTTTTTACACGTACTAACACAATATGTAAGAAAATTCGATTAATACAGAATTTTCATATTATATATTATCTATCTTTATCTTTAAACCGATATATGTAAAATCAAAAGAAAGAATTTTATAAAAATAAATAAAAGGCAAGTGTTAAAAATAAGTAGTAATAATATAGAATATCTTCCAACTTACCTGAATGTGCACCACATATCAAAGCTCATTATAATTAACCAAAAGTAACTCGCCATATAGACAAAGTATTGTATAAAGGCTACAAAAATGAATAAAATTAAAGACTGTAATAATAAATAATAATATATAATATTATTAATATAAATATAAATGTAATATGTAATTTGCTTTTATAGTTAAGAAATAAATAAGGAGCAGGAGACAGATCAAAACAGCTACGCAAAGTATAATTTGATCGCAAATACAGCTTTATTTAGTAAACAAATTTTTCTATTAAATAAAGAAACTTTATATACAGGGTTTGTCCGGAAAGTAATGCGTCGTATTTTTTTGTGACGCGACTATACATCGCAGAGCGATGGGACCGGTTGGGGAGGAAGGGGGGTACCCTTAGCTTTCCAACGGTAGGTCGCTCAATTGTTTCCATGCGCTTGGAGGGTTAGGACGGCTTATTCTGTGAACCTCTGCTTAGTGGTCGCGTCGAACTTGTGATGGAGAGAACGATAGAGCAACGCTATGCGATAAAGTTTTGCGTGAAGCTGGACAAGACGCCGCTGGAAACTTTTGAAATGCTCAAGAAAGTTTTCGGGGACGATTGCCTTTCCAAATCGCAGTCAAACAGATGGCACAAGATGTTTAGAGAAGGTCGGAAGGAGGTCGCCGACGAGGCCCGCGCAGGACGCCCGTCAACATCGCGAACGGACGACAATGTGACTCGTGTGCGCCAATTATTGAATTCAGACCGTCGAATGAATGTTCGCTTAATGTCGGAATTATTGAACTTGCCGAAAACGATTGTTCACGAGATTGTATCGGAAGACTTGGCCATGCGGAAGATTTGCGCAAAACTTGTGCCCAGAGTGTTGACCGATGCGCAAAAGCAACACCGAGTGGAAGTTTGTGAAGAACTCAAGCAGCCGCCCTACAGTCCCGACTTGGCCCCGGCGGACTTTTTATTTCCTCGGCTGAAAAGGGAGCTCAAAGGACAACAGCTCGAGTCGGTTGACAACGTACAAGCTACTTCGACGGCCTCCCTGAACAGCATCCCAGTCAAGGAGTTCCAGAAATCTTATGACGCATGGAAATCGCGTTGGCAAAAATGTATTGACGCAGAAGGGTCATACTTCGAACAATTTTAAGTTGTTTTACCTATGCGATCAATAAATTCTTTTTTAAAAAAATGCGACGCATTACTTTCCGGACAAACCCTGTATGCGACCTAATTACTTTGCGTTGCTCTTTTGGTTTATTTCCTGCTCCTTATATATTTTTATATTATGAATAAATAATAATATATTATATAAAATATTATAATAAACTATTATATAATAAAACATATGTGTGTGTATATTAAATATTATTATTAATAAATAATAATATATTATTTATCATTACTCGTTAAAATTGAAGGATTTCAAAGTTATCACATTTTTATGTTTCTCCATTAAAACAGATTTACTTTAACTTCTTACACTAAATTTTATTGTAATATTTACGTAATAAATACTGCTAATATTAAGTTAAACATGTTTGATTCAATATGTAATTCTGCAAAATTCAAAAACCCAAAGAAATATATCTATTTGAGACGAATAACTTATATTAATGATTTATTAAAATGCATTTAAATAAAATTTAAATGTCATTCACTGTTTTGCTTTTAATAGATTTTAACAAATAATATATTCAAATAATTATTAAAATTATTAATTAGAATTTAAAATGCAAATATACATTAAACATCTAACAAATATAAATATATTGATTGCATAGTTTTAAGATTTAGATATATACTCTACCTATTGTAACGCAGACGGCATACTGTATATCATCCGATATGATCACAAATTTCACAAAGCGAATTCCGTATGCAATAGTCAAGGCACCATTGTAATTGCGCAACATGAAGCCGTGTCTATTTCGGAGTTCCGGCAATATGGAATACACGAAAAATGCTGACCCCAAAAGTAATATAGATGCTATATCGACACTCATTTCCATAATATCTTTGTTTTTAATAGTATTCATGATCTCATTAGTTTTATCTTTAGTTGTTATCTTCATGACCTTGTCATAAGTTTTGGAACAGATGGTTACTTCGAACTCACTCCCGTTGATGACGGCGAGACAATATGATGTCGATTCAACAAATATTTCATCATAAGATAAATATATAGAACCGTTGGTAAAAATCTTATAATCGTACTGAAAACCTCTGGGGACAGAGAATGACTTCCCTTGCACGAATCATAAATAGCCAGTTGAAACAATTCGTTCAGATTCTTTTCACTCTGCGTCGAATCGTTCATGTATACTTTTGGAAAAATGTATTCAATTTCTTCATGAGTGCAGTTGCTTACAACCAGACGATCGCCAAGAGAACAGCAGAACCGAATGCAAGTATCATTATGACACATTTCGTTTGGGACGATGATAGTTTCATTAGCATCTTTGCTGGAATTTTTGAGAACTTCAAGTGACATGGAATCATTCTTTTTAATTACATTTTCATAAACTTCCTGCAGCGTAAAATTCCTTTTATGATTGACATTTGTCGAATTCGTGTTAAATTTCATCGATTTTTGCTCATCATCATTATTGTCATTTTGTGTATTATTCATAATCTTTTTATGCAAATCATGTCGCAGTGTTATTATTTCGTCGTTATAATTTGTTGTAGAATCCGTATTTATCTCGTATTGTATCGTCAAATTATCATTCTCGTTGGTGAAATTTTGCTGCGATTTCGATGACGAAATGACGAGAAGAAGCACGGAACACAGAAATGCAAATATCTTTCCACTCATTATTTCCTGTAATAATAAACATTCGAATAATTAGATAATCAAATTTAGTGTTCATCATTTCTCATATAAGTTTTAACTTTTCAATAATTAAAAAATGTCACATTATATTTATGCACACCTTTCTTTTTGTATTAATTGCAATAAAATGTGTCAAATGCAAAATATAATAAAATAAAATTATCTTATTTTGTTTCTCAGCAAAAAATTGAAATGTCGATTTAATTTTAGCATCATTACTATTAATATTGGTGATTGCACGTCTTGAATTTTAATTATTTCATTAGATAAAGTCAGTACTATATCACTGTATTCGGCTTTTTCTCGTTAAAAGAATGCACAAGATACATGTTTCTGCGCGGGAGAGAAGCTGAGACTACCGAGCACGACGATTCGTCGATAGCTTTGCAAGAAACTGTCCGTCTATTATACCACTGACGAGGTTTTGTTACGTCAGTGCTGGTATCATGGTAAAGGTACGTTTCAGTTAACACTATTAATGCTACGCATTTTAAAATTGTTTGAAACAGTATGTAATTTTATGTTATTTTCTTAGAAAAACAGTGCCGTATCTATTGTATTTTTACGGGATCAAATCTGTCTATAATATTAATAGCGTTTGCTTATCCATCTCTGCTGCACTGAAGTTTTAACGCTACGGACAGGGTACAGATTTTCGTCTTACAGATTCAGAAAGCAAGCGATATAATAACAACAAGGAATGGTGAGAATTTTGACATTTTTGTAACACTTAGTGAACATTTTTTATTTTCTTAATGAGATTTATGCAGAATTATTTATTTCAATGTCTTTGTCGACAATATTTCATTCTCGCTTGATTCGCATTTCAGATGAAGAAAGCATTTTCATTGTCCTTATTGTTTTCTTGTTTGTTTTTTTTGTTTTTATTATATATAATTATATGATCTACAAGAAAAGAAAAACATTTATTGCTTTAACTTGAATCGTATCTTTTCAACATAGTCTGTAATTTTCGAAATGTCGCAATAAATTAGTGAGAATAAAGTTAACAAATACGCATTTATTTTATAAAAAAATTACATTTTTAAGAAGTTATTCAAACTATTGTTTCTCTTTTTTTTTTGAAGATTGTAATTTATTCTTTTATTTTTCAATTCTATAATTTGATATATAAAAATTTATTATTTTTTATTGAAAGATGATTTAATATTAATATTTGTGTGCAGGTTCAAACTATATATAACTATATAAAAAAAGTTATATCACAGATCAGGCACCAACGAGCAATCAGCAATTTAATATAATTTTATTAAAATTGAAATAATTAATTTTACAGTTTTATATTTTGATGTAAACGTTTCTTTAAAGGATTTAGTTTAAAATCTTATATAGAAAATTTATATTACTTTACACATTATTGAATCAAATCAATGATTGCAATACTGTGAAAAATACGTAGAAGTGCAAACTGGATTTGCGTAAAATTACATAGTTTCCATCTTGATAAACATATTATGTTGTATAAATCGCAGTTAAAGAATGCATAAAATATTTTTCCTGATGTCCATACTTGAATAATTATTTTCTGAGATAAATTCTTCGATTACATCATACATTTACACCAATATAAATATATAATGTAAGTAAAAATCTCTTCATTATTTATTCATTGACTTCATCGTTGTTTTTAAATACTTTAATATTTTTGAAAATATATGTAATGATTTTTTGATTAAAAAATAATGTTTTAAGCGATTAAACGTGTTGGATAACATCGATTAATTCATCTATCATGAGCAGAAGTTTATTAATATTTTTCTTACATTTTGTATACATGATTTCGCGATAAATAAATTGCCTTCCAACATTATCAACAATTTGTTATTCACGATACATTCTTGTTTTAATGATCGTATTTGTGCTTCTCATGTAATTTTCTCATATGCATGTTAAAAATAAACTAATAAAATATGCATAGTATATTTAACGCAATTACTACCTTTATTTCAATCGAATAATCAAAAATTGCTCTGAAAAATAATTGCTTCTTTGCATATGTCGAATTCAGATTGACAAATGTATTTTAAAAGATAGATTAAAATTATTTAAATTAAGAATTATAATAATATACATAATAAAATTCGGCGAATTAAAATTATTATTGCACAACGTTTCGAAATCGTTCTATTTTGTCAATGCATATGAAGCACTTTAATTTTTCGGAACGATTGCTTTCGGGCTTTGCGTAAGAATTAATAACTTCTTTTGTGTACAAAATTTTTGTTTGTCAAATTTCTATTATGTATGCACATAATTTTAATACCCGTATTTTTATTTCTTTTTATCTTTTTATTTCTTTAATTAAATAAAATTAAAATAATCATCATATAATATGTATACAGGGTGTCCCATAATTCGCGAATCACCTTTCATGGGCAGATAGAGCGTGTTAAACTGAATAGAAAAGTCCTGTATCATTTTGCGATATTCGCAATAATTATTGAGTTATTTATTAAAATATCTAAACAAATAAGCGGGTAGAAAGCGGTAGGCCGGACTCGATGTGCATATCGGATGACTTATTTGTTATATGCCGCTTAGTATCAAAAGTATCATCTTACTTTTCGGCGCCACTACACTGGTCGCCGCTCGCTGCATGACGCCGTCTCTCGATCAAATAATGCTTTCTACCTGCTTATTCGTTTAGATATTTTAATTAATGACTCAATAGTTATTGCAAATATCGCAAAATGATACATGAATTTTTTATTCAGTTTAACACGCTCTATCTGCCCATGAAAGGTGATTCGCGAATTATGGGACACCCTGTATAGTTATTAGTAGATTTCGGATTATATGCAAATTGCATATTTGTTATTTTTGCATATTCTATAAGAAGATTAATAATGTGAATAAATTATAATTTTTTTAATTAATAAACATTAATTAGTTGAAACTATTACAATTTTTTCACATTATCAATGCTGTCATAAAATGTGCAAAAAGTAACAATTATGCAATTTGCATATAATTCGAAGTCTAGTTCTTAGTATATAATTTGATAACAGTATACAGACAGTGTGTGTGTGTGTGTGTGTGTGTGTGTGTGTATGTGTATGAGTAGGTGTGTTTGTGACTGTTTGTGTGTATGTGTTCCCTAGAATTAAAATTATTATTGCACAGCGTTTCGTAATAGTTTCATTTTGTCAATCGTATGAAGCACTTTAATAATTAATAATTAGGAACAATTGCTTCCGGGTTTTGCGCAAGAATTAATAACTTCTATTGTGTATAAAATTTCTCTCGTCAAATTTTTATTATGCACATAATTTTACAAGGATAGAGAATGTATCGCTGCAAAGAGCCAAATATAATACTTAGAAATTCGCTAAGAGAAGAGAGGAATAATCTCTAAATTGAGATTTAAATTCCACTTACCTTTTTACCCTCTTAAAACTGATGTAGACGAGAAAAATATATCGATCCGAAAAAGTCGGCTGAATCGGGAAACGAACTCGAGACCTTTCGCTAATTGGGCGACTGCTCTTTTCTCTTGCAGCGGTACATTCTTTATCTTCTTTATTTACGATAAGAGCGTTCTAGCCATATTATTTGTCACATAATTTTAATTTGCGAGTTTTTAGTTTTAAAAAAATGTTTTAGTTTAATTAAGTAAAATTAAATAAAATTATTATATAAAAGCAAACAATGGCGTCCGCGCAGTGCTCCATTGTCTATTTATGTAATAATTAAATTTGATTGTATTTTAATTAATGAAATAAAAAGTGTTGTCAAGCATACGTAAATGTGTATAATTTTATAATAGTAGATAGACAGCATGTGTGCGTGATTTCTCTCAAAACTATGGAAGACTCGTCGCTCTCGATAGTTTCATTTTCTTTCTTGTAGAAACACGTTTCCTTGTGCATTCTGCTCTTCTTTTAGAAATACAAGATAATATCGGATACATTGATATATAGTATATGTTATAACGAATCTAGCGAGATAATTAAAAATCAATCGTGCAATCGTCTACATTAATAGCAGAATAATCAAATCAATCTTTTGAGATTTTGTTAAGAAACACAAAAGCAAAAAGATATTTTGATTTTATTACAAGTGTATATTCTGCATTTAACACCTGAATTTCATAAATTTAATATAAAATCTAAAGCAAAAATTTAATACAAAATTATTTAATTTTTGACAATTAAAAATCCATATGTGAGAATTGATAAATACTGAAGAATTTGACTGATTTAATTATTTAATTATTACAAAGTATATATTAATATAAAATAATGTGTCATAAAAAATTTGCGTTTTTGTATTGCGGACTTTTTCTTTTCACGTTATCGAAATCTCAGCAAAATTGCACCAACAATGAAGAGGAAGGTCATAATTTGACAGTACGATACAAAATAGATATGAATTCTACAACATTTTCTAAGATCAAGATATAAATACTGCAATATGATTTGCATACAAAATTAACCAGCAAAACGCGATATGTCAATGAATGTAACATAATCTCATTTAAATTTGAAAAAGAAACGAGATAATATAATATATTTTTTCTACGAAATCCAAAAATATGGATGAATTATAATTATTAATCTTAAACATAAAGATCAGCATAAATAAACATGACTTTAATTTTCAAATAAAATTGAAGATCGGTCATATTAGTGTAACTTCATATTCGTCCGGAGGAAATCATCTTCACTTGTATGACTATTTCTTTTTACGTAGTAATAATGCTTGACAATGTTGCATTAGATCCGTGTCAAGCTTTTAGCAACAAACCGCAGCCGAATAGCTTGAACAACATGCGCTTGATCTTTTCTTCCACACAAATATGATAAACGTGCACAAATTCTGCATAACGTCCAGCAAATTATAAACATACAAGTTGTAAATTGATACTTTTTTAAGTATTTTGTAGTTATTTTGCATTGTTATTATGAACCATTTTATGTCTAATAAAATAAATAGCACGATAAATAGCTTCAGATATAGATTAAACCTGGAAACAAATACATAATTTTCATAGTTCTTGTGAATATATATGACGAATAAAATTTAATTGATGTAGAAACGTTAAAAAATTTTTGAAAGCGTTTAAAATTTTTATTTTTATGAAATACAGATGCAGTCATTATATAGATTTTCGTAAGTTATTATTATCATTTTATTTAGAATTGCATATCAATGTTTTCTTTTCTTATAGATTATATAATTATACATAACAGAAAAAAAACAATAAGCACAGTGAAAATGCCTGTTTGCTTTCTTCATTTGGAATGCAAATCAAGCAAGTATGAGATATTGTCGGCAGAGAGATTGACATAAATATGTCTGCATAAATCTCATTAAAATAATAAAAGATTTTCACTAACAATAAGTGTTACAAAAATGTCAGAATACTCACCATTCTTTATTGTCATTATATCGCTTGCTTTCCAAATCTGATAGACGAAGGTTTGTATCCTTTTCGTTGTGTTTGATGTTCAGTGCCGCAGAGATAAATAAGCAAATGATAATAATTAGACAGACAGTTCTGATTCCGTGAAAATACAACAGATACGGCACTGTATTTGTAAGAATGATATAACATTAAATTACATACTGTTTCAGACATATTTACATTGCGTAGCATTAATAAAGTTACCTGAAACGTACTTTTATCATAATACCAGTTCAGACGTAACAGTACCTCGTCAGTGGTATAGTATACGGACAGTTTCTTGCAAAGCTATCGATGACTCGTTGTTCTCGGTAGTCTCAGCTTCTCTCCCGCGCAGAAACATGTATCTTGTGCGTTCTTCTAACGAGAAAAAGCCGAATACAGTGATATAGTACTGACTTTATCTAATAAAATAATTAAAATTCAAGACGTGCAATCACCAATATTAATAGTAATGGTGCTAAAATCAAATCGACATTTCGAGATTTTGCTGAGAAACAAAATAAGATAATTTTATTTCATTATATTTTGCATTTGACACATTTTATTGCAATTAATACAAAAGCAAAGGTGTGCATAAATTTAATTTGACATGTTTTAATTATTGAGCATTTAAAACTTATATGAGAAATAATAAACACTAAATTTGATTATCTAATTATTCGAATGTTTATGATTACGTGAAATAATGAGTGAAAAGATATATGCATTTGTGTGTTCCGTGCTTCTCCTCGTCATTTCGTTATCGAAATCGCAGCAAATTTCCACCAACAAGAATGATAATTTAACGATACGATACGAGATAAATACGGATTCTACAACAAATTATAACGACGCAATAATAACACTGCGACATAATTTGCATAAAAATTTGATGATTAATACACAGAATGACAAAATGCAGCATGAATTTTATATGAATAATAAACGTGAGGTTAATGATTTGATTCAACATAAACGTCACAAGCATTCAATGAAGAATAAAGATGATGAGCAAAAAACGATAAAATCTAACATAAATTCGACAAATGTCAATCATAAAAAAATTTTACGCCGCAAGAAATTTACGAAAATGTAATTAAAAAGAATGATTCCATGTCACTTGAAGTCTTCAAAAATTCCAGCAAAGATGCTAACGAAACTAACATCGTCCCAAACGAAATGTGTCATAATGATACTTGCATTCGTCTCTGCTGTTCTCTTGGCGAGCGTCTAGTTCATGGCAACTGCATTCCTGAAAGAGTTGAATACATTTTTCCAAACGTATACATGAACGATTCGACGCAGAGCGAAAAGAGAATGAACGTATTGTTTGAGCTAGCCATTAATGATTCGTGCCGGGAAGATTACTATCTGCTTTCTAAAAGTTTTCAGTGGGATTATAAGATTTTTACCAACGGTTCTATATATTTACCTTATTATAAAATATTTGTTGAATCGACATCATATTGTCTCGCCGTCGTCGACAGGAATGAGTTCGAAGTAATCATCTGTTTTAAAACTTATGACAAGCTTAAGGAGATACTTAATAAAAAGCGAATGGCGCTTCTGACAACGATTTATCAAAATATTACGGAAATAAGTGTCTATATAATACCTATATTATTTTTGGGGTCAGTATTTCTGGTGTATTCTATTATGCCAGAACTCCAAAATAAACACGGCTTCATGTTGCGCAATTATAGCGGTGCCGTGTCTGTTGTATACGGAATTGATGTTGTGTATTTTTTTATCAAATCGGATATACAGTATCCCGTCTGCGTTACAATAGGTAGAGTATATATCTAAATCATAAAACTATGTAATAAGTATAGGGTATATATATTTGTCAGATATTTAATGTATATATATATTAAATATTGCATAGGTATTAAATTTGCATATTAAATTTGCACATTAAATATTAATTAATAATTTTAAATATTACTTGAATATATTATTTGTTAAAATCTTACAAATGCAAAACAGCGAATAATATTTAAATTATATTTAAAAACATTTTAATATATATATAATATAAGTTATTCGTCTCAAATAGATATATTTCTTTGTGTTTTTGCAGAATTATATATTGAATCAAACATGTTTAATTTGATATTAGCAGTATTTATTACGTAAATATTACTATATAATTTAGTGTAGGAAGTTAAAGTAAATCTATTTTAATGGAGAAACATAAAGGTGATAACTTTGAAATTTTAAAATTTCAACGAGTAATGACAAATAATATATTATTATTTATTAATAAAAATATTTATTATATATATTTTATTATATAATATATTATTATTTATTAATAAAATTAGAAATAAATAAGAGCAGAAAATAAATCAAAAAAACAACGCGAAGTAATTAGGTCGCAAATACAAAGTTCTTTTATTTAATAGAAAAAATTTGTTTATTAAATAAAATTGTATTTGCAACCTAATTATACATTGCGTTGCTCTTTTGCCGTATTACCTGCTCCTTATTTATTTCTCAACTATACGAGCAAATTACATATTACATTTATATTTATATTAATAATATTACATATTATTATTTATTATTTATTATCTATTATTACAGTCTTTAATTTTATTAATTTTTACAGCTTTTTTAAAATATTTTTGCTATATGGCGAGTTACTTTTGGTTAAGTATAATGAGCTTTGATATGTGGTTCACATTCAGGTATGTTGGAAAATATTCTATTTTATTACTACTTATTGTTAACCTTTTATTTATCTTTATAAAATTCTTTCTTTTTGATTTTACATATATCGGTTTAAAGATAAAGATAGAGAATATATAATACTAGCTTTTCGGACCGCGCTTCGCGCGGTCCTCAAAGCCTTTCTCATTCTTCATAGCCTATATTATAAATCCGTTTTAACACAAAAAATTAATTCTTTTTTTGTATTACCGCGAACTACTTCCACATTTGTTGTCCGACTTTCACGAAATTTATATCAAAATAAATGTTTAAATTTTTTTTTGGATGACTACTATGTTATCTATTTCTTTCTCCCAGATATTTTATTTTACACCGCGTTTTGCATATATTTAAATATTTATTATATATTTTTATTTTTATTTTCTTGTTTATTTTAATTTCCACACAATTTTATATTTTTTAAATATAAAACATTATTTTAGTTAATATATACTTTAAATATTTTTTTTATTACTTAATTATTATATCCTTTTTTACATTTTACTCAATTTTTTTATTTCTAATGTACCCACCGCTAACCCGCTATTATTAGCTCTCATACAATGTCATAATTCTTCAATTTACAAAATTTTCCTGTATATTACATTTTTTGTAAAACATTTTTCACTTTCTTCAATTAAATGTCCTTGATTGCTACATTCATCAATTTTAATTTTTACACTTTCTCTTTTTGTTGCTCTAGAAAATGCCACATAAATTTGACCATGAGCAAATACAGGATGTGGCAAATAAATTCCAATTTTTTCTAAACTTTGTCCTTGTGATTTATTTATTGTCATAGCAAATGACACTCGAATAGGAAACTGTCTTCGTTTAAACTTAAATGGCAGTTCCAAATCATTTGTAATTAAATCTATCCTCGAAATCATAACAATTTGTCTTCGAGCAGGACCTGTTATAACTTCTACATAAATTATATTATTTTTCAAATTAGTTATAATAAATCTTATTCCATTACAAAGTCCTTTTTTAGTATTTAAATTTCTTAATAAGATTACTGTAGCACCAACTTTTATTTTAAGCCGATGAACTGGCATTCCAGAAGGTGTCAGTGAGTTTAGAAACTCAGTTGGAAAATTTAATTGCTCCTGTGGATCATCACTTACTAATATATATATATATATATATATATATATATATATATAATACTTGAAGATAACACTTGAAAAAACCACATCGTCGCCATCTCCAAAAAATTTGCAACATTTTGGTACCAATTTTTACAAAAATCCGTTCATAAATATGCGATTGCGTGGGTGGATGCGTGGGTGGGGGCGTAAACTTAAAAAACCCACACAGCAGCTTTCTCAGAAAAATTTGCAACATTTTTGTACCAATTTCGTAAAAATTGGTCCATAAATGCGCATGCGCGTGGGTGGGTGCGTGGGTGGAGGTGTAACACTTGAAAAAACCGCATCGTCGCCATCTCCAAAAAATTTGCAACAATTTGGTACCGATTTAAAAAAAATCGGTTCATAAGTATACGATTGCGCGGGTGGGTGCGTGGGTGGAGGCGTAAACTTAAAAAACCCACACAGCAGTTTCCTCAGAAAAATTTGCAACATTTTGGTACTAATTTCGTGAAAATTGGTCCATAAATGCGCATGCATGTGGGTAAATGCGTGGGTGGGTGAGTGGGTGGAAGTGTAACACTTAAAAAAACCGCATCGTCGCTATCTCCAAAAATTTTGCAACATTTTGATACCATGTGTTCAGAAATATTGCAAAAAAAATTTTTTTTGCAAAAACATACCCTCCTTTGAGGAAAAAAATAAAAATAAAAAAATTAAAAAAAAAACCCACAGCAGCCACCCCCGAAAAATTTACAACATTTTGGTACCAGTTTCACGAAAATCGGTCCACGAATGCGGAAGTAGTTCGGGTACAGACAGACAGACAGACGGTGCTTATATATATAGACAAAACTCTGGATTAATCGAATTTTCTTATATATTGTGTTGGAACGTGCAAAAACAACTATATATAATATTTGAAAATAATATTTAATAATTAAACAATTATACTTAGGACATTATAAGTTAGAGTATAAAGATAATAGGTTCAAATTATAATTTGAAATAAATAGTTTTCTTGGATATTTTTATTGATTGATTTTCAAACGGTAAATTTTTGAAAGTAAAAGTGGCGTACTAGATATAATAAGCATATATTATATATTTAATTTAAATATGTATAAAATATTATAACGAAATCCAATAATTCGGTATAAAGTAATAATATTTTGATTTGACGTTTTACTCTTTTCATATATAAAATAAAACAATACACGATAACTTTTTACAAAATAAAAATAGATTTTTTATGAAAAATTCGTCTCTCAAAATTTAATAACAATTTAAAGTACCAGTGTCGTATCTGCATAATAATTATGTAAATATACACTTTTTAAAATAATTATGGCATGAAAAAAACAATTGTCCAAAAATAGGCAAGTTTTATAAATAGTTTTATTTTGTTTCGAATAATGAGAATTTAAATTTTAAAAAAGAGTTTTAAAGCTTGAAATTTCTGCTTTCAATGGTTTACAATTTTTTTTATTTTCTTCAACTTTGATATTTTTTATATACAAAAAACAAATAACATAAATAGAAAATTTTTTTTCACATGTAGACGTGTCTCACAAAAAAATGTGAAAAATTTTTTGACATTTCTATGTTACAGCCTGAAGTTTTCCCTGCAAAATTGTTTTTTAAAATGTATATGTCGATCTTTCTTTATCAAGTTATCGCAAATTGAAGAGAAAATGTAATTTTCAATTTAATCGTTCATAACATCGTTAAAAATCATCGTACAGCAATTTTAAGAATGGATTCTTCAAGCTGAATCTTTGCTTTACAGTATAATATAGTGACTTGATGTAAAACACATTATTTTAACGTATTTACATTCTGATTTATGTTATTTATTGTTTGCTAAATATGTTGTGTAAATTGCAGAGGATTCAGTTCGTTAGTAAGAAACGTCAGACAACAAGAAAAAAAAAAGTTGATATATTATACGATCTTTGCGTGGGGATGTCCCTTTATGCTTGCTATTTTATGTGTCAGCATGGATATTCTTTCGGCGTATGTAAATGTACCACCGATTTTGCAACCGGAATTTCATTTAGGAGATTGCTGGTTTTTTAGTAAGTGAAGTTAATGCTATAGGATTCTAGTATTGTGAGAAAGAGTATAAAAACTTATGATGTTTTATACTTACAGAGATTGGTCCGCATTTGTTGTATTATTATGTGCTCAGTAGTATGTGCGTCATCAATAGCATTTGTTTATCTATTTATACAGCATTAAAAATTGCGCGTTTCAATAAGGAATTGAATTCTTGTCTAAAAAATTCGGAGAGTAAATGCTTTAACGATTATAAAAAATGGTATGTACTCAGATATCGTTGTATTGAGATATGATAATCTATTTTATTTATAAAATTAATATAATCTGATCGTGTATTTAATTTTAAGTTTGAGTTTCATTGGTTGAATTTTAAGTCAAGATCAGATTTAAAACGACATTAAATATAAATTCAGATTATGATTTCTGGTCATAGATTGTCATTTGCAGATGATATTTTTTTTATTCGCCGATTTACTTTTTTATTTTGTAATAATTTCGAGAATATATCATTTTACGTGTTCTTTCAAAATTCTATACAATTCTAAATAACATGACAATTAATAACAAAAATTAAATTAAAAAATGCACCTTTATTTTACAAAAATACAAATTTTAAACACTTTCACAAATTTCTTAAGGTTTATACATTAATTCAATTTTATTCGTCATATATATTCACAAGAACTATGAAAATTATATATTTGTTTGCAGGCTCAATCTATATCTGCAGCTATTTATCGTACTGTTTATCGCAATGGGCATAGAATGGCTAATAATAACAGCGTCATTATTATATAAAAATTTATCAATTTACAACATTATATGGTATGTTGTTAATTTTATGGGCATTATGCAGAGTTTGTGCATCTTTGTCATATTTGTGTGTAAAAAAAGGATCAAGCGCATGTTATTCAAGCGATTCGGCTTCGGTTTGTCATCAAATGCTTGACACGGATCAAATGCAACATTTTCGAGCATTCTTACCACGTCAAAAGAAATAGTCATGCAGGAAAAGATGAGTTCTTCCGGACGAGCAAGAAGTCACACTGATTTAATCGACCTTTAATTTTTATTTAAAAATTTAAATCATGTTTTTTTATGTCGTTCTTTATAGTTTAGATTAATAATTATAATTCACACATATTTTCGCGCGCGCGGATTTTGTAGCAAAAACATATTATTTTGTCTCGTTTTTTTTTCAAATTTAAATGAAATTATGTTACATTTCTTGACATAAATATTTATAATATTATTAATTGTAGGCTAATAATTTTTTTATATTTGGAATATTAGTAGAAATTCAGAAAACTGCTACAAAATTTGCATGAAATTACTATAAGTTGTTATTATACAAATGTCAAATAAATATATGTTTATTTATTAATATTATGAATTGTAATAAAAATTTATAATATTAGTATAATATTTATAATTTAATTAAATATTTCATCATGAGATTATTGTAACATTAATACTTAAATAATTGAAATGTTAGATTTTTTATGATTTCAATAATTCGGTGTAGCTTACTATTTTTTTTAATATAATTTACATTTTAGTAATTATGAGTTTCAATTATTGATTTTGAAAAATTCAATAAATTTTTTGTGAAATATTTTTTTTCTCGGTAAAAATTAAATAGCATCAACGCCATCGGATCTACAGCTATTTTTAATTCCTAATCAAATAAATGATCAGGATATAACTCTCATAGTTATGCATGTCGAATATAAACCGGTTTTGGAATAAGTTTTGTTTTTACTTTATATGTGCAGATATTATACTTAATATGATAATGTATAAGATTTGGCAAATAACGATATTCAACATAATTTTCTTCTTTAATAATTTTTTTGTTGTCTAAAGACAACAAATGGGATTAATAAATTTGTGAAATAAATAACATTTTTCTAACGCATGCGTTATCGATTAATTATTCGAAACAAATTTTGATATACAAATATTTAAATGTATAAAATAATCACAATTTAAAATATATTTAAAAAATAATTAATAACTACAAAATTTTATTATTTGAATTTTGCTGCATCAATTTATTTTTTATTTGCGGTATTTTTAGAAATATGAAAACTCTTTATTTAAGCATTAAATATCTAAAAAACAGTCTAGTGTATTTTTCCTTTTGCTGCTGGATTGGTGGAGCTATCGACCAGCCTTTTTCTTTGTATATTTTATGTAAAAGCTATATGTGTATAGTCCTATATAGTATAGTAGACGGACAGTTTCTCACGATGCTATCGACGACTCGTCGTCCTCGGTAGTCTCTGCTTTTCTTCCGTGCAGGCACATGTATCTTGTGCATTCTTCTCTCAAAAAAAGCCGGATACAGTGATATAATAAATACTGTTTTATCCAGTGAGATAATTAAAATTCAAGACGTGCAATCATCAATATTAATAGTCATATAATGCTAAAATCAAATCGACATTTCGAGATTTTGCTGAGAAACAAAATGAGATAATTTAATTTTATTATACTTTGTACTTTACATATTTTATTGCAATTAATACAAAAGCAAAAGTGTACGTAAATTTAATGTGACATTTTTTAATTATTGAAAATTTAAAACTTATATGAGAAATTATGTACACTAAATTTGATTATAACACATAAAATTTGCGTTAGACATTGCTTTCTTTTGATTGCCTATATTATTAATAATATTAGCAGCAGATGTCAAAGCAATATTTTTGACAGTATAGTATATGTACGAAATGTTCCCAGTAAAAACAGTGTAGTTATTATACGCATATTTCTAATTATGATAATCTTATATAATTATTATTTTTTTATTTTTTATTTTCGTTTTTTTAAATTTTATTTTGTATTTTATTTTTTATTTATTTTATTCTATTATTTGAATGTTAAGACCTTGTTGGCAGCAGGTAAAAGTGTTATTTTTTTCTTAAAAATTATTTATTATTTATTTTTGTTTTCAAAATGTTTGTTTTCTTTGTATTTTGTTCTTTTCTTTTTTTTTATAGTTACTCATAAACTTTTTTTTTCTTTGATTTACAATCTTCAAAAGGATAATCAAATCAAACTTGTTCTAATAAATAAAGACAAATTAGAATGTTGATTGTACAAATATATAATCATAAAGAAAATACAAAGAATAATTAGTGAAAAGAATATCCGTTTATAATTTGCATAGAAATTTAGAGTTCAGACCCACTGCGTGAACTTTTAACGTGACAGTTATCCTGTGCGTAAGAATTCTTGTCTTGCATAGCCACTTCTGACGTGGTCGTTCTCGATGTTATGTTACAGTCGTTTGTCGAACGTGTGAACCGCATCCAAATCGCTTCAGTAACATCATCTTGATCTTCTTTTTACATATAAATATAATAAAGGTGCAGAGATTCTGTACGATGTCTACGAAGTTAACAGTAAACAAGACGTAATTGGATATACTTTCAGCCAACCATGACGCTGTCATCACGGACCATTTTATACCCATCACGACAAACAGCATAATAAATAGCTTCAGATACAAATTAAACCTGCAAACAAATATATATTTATATTTGGATATCTTTTCAATAAAAATAATACTATTTATTAATTAAAAGTTTAACTATTTATTAAAAATGCTATTTATTAATATTATAAATATAAGGTTCTAATAATAAATAAAAATTAGAAAAACAAGAGCCATAAAGAAACTTATTTATTTTTATTCTACATTGACGTATTAATTACCACGCCTGGCTTTTATAATTGGTCCTTGTTCCTCTATAATTTATAACTATTTATTAAATTATTTTTTTACAAAATAGAATGAATTACAATCCTAAAAGAAAAGAGAAGAAAAAAATAGTTGTTTTTAGAAATTTTTGAAAAATAAAATTTTCTTTATGAAATTAAATGTATTATTTAACTTTATTCTCTCATTATTTTCCACATTTCGAGAATTGCAGACCTTCTCGAAAACAAAAACAGAATTAAAGTTACAACAATATATTTTTTTTCTTCTGTAGATTATGTACGTTAAAAAAAAAAAATAGAAACCGAGAAAATACTAAGCACCGAAAAGATGTTTGCTTTAAAATAATTATCGCTTCCTTTCATTAGAATTGCAGATCAATCCTAATGTATTATTGTTGGTAGAAATATTGGCAAAAATAACATATTAGATTAATTCATTAACAAACTACATAGAAGACTATCACACATCGATGCAAAAATTATACAGACCAATTTTTATTATCATTATACCGTTTGCTTTCCGAATCTGTCAGACGAACATCCGTATCCTTTTTGTAACGTTTAATTTTCTGTGCCGTAGAAATGGATAAGCAAACGCTACTAATAATGCAGACACTTTTGAGCCCGTAATAATACAACATAAACGCATCTCTTCCTGTAAGTATAAAATGTCATAAATTTTTATACTGTTTCCCATACAACACAAAATATTTTTAAAATCTTTTAAAAATATTTCTTAAAAGATAAAATAATTCACGAAAATATTTTTGAAATGTTTTTATGTCCGCTTTTTCATGTTCAAAAAATATTTTTGAATATAAATTTAAACTAATATTTCAAAAATATGTATGAAATATTTAAGAAAATATTATCTGAGCGATAAAGAAGAACATTTTTAATAATATTTTTAAGCGTTTTTGAAAATATTATGAAAAATGTTACCACAAAACATTGTTTAAATTATTTTAAAATATTCCTAAAACCATTTTAAAATGTTTTGTGCATTATTTTATAGAAATATTTAGAAATATTTTTTGAAAACTGTCCTAATATTCTGTGTTGTGTGTGGGTTCTCACAATACATTAAAACGCTATAGCATTGATACAGTTATCTTCATTTACCATGGAACCAGCAATCTCCTAAATGAAATTCCGGTCGCAAAATCGATGGTACATACTCGGAAAGAAAATCCATGCTGACACAGAAAACAGCAAACATAAAGGGACATCCCCACGCAAAGATTGTATAATAAATCAACTTTCTTTTTTCTCGTTTATTGACGTTTTTTTGTAACGAACAGAATCCTCTGCAATTTACACAACATATTTAACAAACAATAGATAAAAGAAATCAGAATGTAAAAGCGTTAAAATAATGTGTCTTTGATCGAGTCACTTTATCACCCTATAGAGCAATATACCAACACAATACTACCAACACAATATATAAAAAATTTGATTAATACAGAATTTTGCATATTATTATCTATCTTTATCTTTAAACCGATATATGATCCGATATAAAATCGAAAATGAAGCAATTTTATACAGGTAAATAAAAGGCAAGTTTAAAATAAGTAGTATAATATGGAATATTTTCCAACTTACCTGAATGTGCACCACATATCAAAGCTTATCATAATTAGCCAAAAGAAACCCGCCAAGAAACAAAAGTAGCTTAAGAAAGCTGCAAAAATGAATAAAAATACAGACTGTATTAATAAATAATAATATATTATTTATATAAATATAAATGTAATATGTAATTTGCACTTTTAGTTGAAATATATAAGGAGCAAGAAATAAGTAATTTAGATATATATTCTACCTATTGTAACGCAAACAGAATACGGTATATCACCCGTTCTGATCATAATATTTATAATGTTAATGCTGTATGCAACAGTCAGGGCACCGCTGTAATTGCGCAACATAAAGCCGTGTACATTTCGGAGTTCTGGCAATATGGAATACACCAGAAATACTGACCCCAAAAGTAATATAGATACTATTTGGAAACTCAGATATTTAATTTGTATGTTATAAATCAAGGGCTCATTATCAGTTATCTCCTTGATCTTGTCATGATAAGTTTTGGAACAGATGGTTACTTCGAACTCATTCTCGTCGACGACGGCGAGACAATATCATGTTGATTCAACAAGTATTTCATAATAAGGTAAATATGTAGAACCGTTGGTAAAAATCTTATAATCGTACTGAAAACCTTCGGGAAGCAGAACGTGATTATCCTGGCACGAATCATAAATGGTCAGCTGAAACAATTCGTTCACTTTCTTTTCGCTCTGCGTCGAATCGTTCGTGTATACTTTTGGAAAAATGTATTCAATTTCTTCAGGAATGCAGTTGCCATCAACCAGACGATCGCCAAGAGAACAGCAGAGTCGAATGCAAGTATCATTATGACACATTTCGTTTGGGACAATGTTAGTTTCATTAGCATCTTTGCTGGAATTTTTGAAGACTTCAAGTGACATAGAATCATTTGTTTCAATTACATTTTCATAAACTTTCTGAGCCGTGAAATTCTTTTTATGATTGACATATGTCGAATTCGTGCTCTGTGATTTTTGCTCATCACCGTTATTTTGCAGTGAATGCTTGTTCAGTTTAAGTTGAATCAAATCATTATCCTCGCGTTTATTCATATGAAATTCATGCTGCATTTTGTCATTTTGTGTATTATTTATCAAATTTTTATGCAAATCATATCGCAGTGTTATTATTTTGTCGTTATAATTTGTTGTAGAATCCGTATTTATCTCGTATCGTATCGTCAAATTATCATTTCTGTTGGTAAAACTTTGCTGCGATTTCGATAACGAAATAACGAGGAGAAGCACGGAACACACAATTGCAAACTTTTTTCCACTCATTATTTCACATAAGAATATAGTTTAGAATAATTAGATAATCAAATTTAGTGTTCATATAATTTTTCATGTAAGTTTTACATTCGCATTAATTAAAACAAGTCACATTAAATTTATGCACACGTTTGCTTTTCTATTAATTTCAATAAAATGTGTTAAGTGCAAAATATAATAAAATTATGTTATCTCATTTTGTTTCTCAGCAAAATCTCGAAATGTCGATTTGATTTTAGCACTATATGACTATTAATATTGATGATTGCACGTCTTGAATTTTAATTATTTCATTAGATAAAGTCAGTACTATTTTACTGTATTCGGCTTTTTCTCGTTAGAAGAATGCACAAGATACATGTTTCTGCGCGGGAGAGAAGCTGAGACTACCAAGCACGACGAGTCGTCGATAGGTTTGCAAGAAACTGTCGGTCTACTATACTACTGACGAGGTACTGTTACGTCAGTGCTGGTATCATGGTAAAGGTACGTTTCAGGTAACTCTATTAATGTTACGCATTTTAAATATGTCTGAAACAGTATGTAATTTTATGTTATATCATTCTTACAAAAACAGTGCCGTATCTGTTGTATTTTTACGGGATCAGAACTGTCTGTCTAATTATTATCATTTGCTTATCCATCTCTGCGGCACTGAACATCAAACGCAACGAAAAGGATACAAATCTGCGTGTATTAGATTTGGAAAACAAGCGATATAATGACAATAAGGAATGGTGAGTATTTTGAAATTTTTGTAACATTTATTGTTAGTGAACATCTTTTATTATCTTAATGAGATTTATGCAGACATATTTATGTCAATGTCTCTGCCGACAATATCCCATACTTGCTTGATTCACATTCCAGTTGAAGAAAGCAGGCATTTTTACTGTGCTTATTGTTTTTTTATTTATTTTATTATGTATAATTATATAATTTATAAGAAAAGAAAAACATTTATTACTTTAACGTTAATCGTATCTTTTCAAAATAGTCTGTACCCATACAGCACCGTTAGATTGCAAAAACATTACAATCTTTCACCGCAATATTGCAATATTGCAAATTCACTGCAAAATGTTGCTACATCATTGCTGTTGAATTGCAGCAATGTTAAAATGTCCGCTTTTTGGAAGATAATAAAATTATTGATTATCGTTAACATCTTTTATTGTACAATATTGCAAAAATTATTTTATTATAGTATTATACCCAGCAAATACCAAGTTACATTATATAATTGTTAGTTGTAATTTTCCACTCAACAATATAATTGTTATATACACGTATTATATTTTTGAGTGGAAATTACAACTAACAATTATATAGCTGTAACTTGGTGTTTGCTGGGTATATGTATATATTTACATATATAAATTATAGAATTTGGATTACATGCAATATTTCCGAAATATTAATGTCATGTTGCTACAAGTGTGCTGGAATTTTGTGCACCTATATCTCTGCAATGTCTTTATAATGTTGCATTGCAACTTGCAACATTGCAATGTTGCTGCAATATAATTGCAATAATCTGTGCTATATGGGTACTTTTCGAAATGTCACAATACATAGTGAGAATAAAGTTATTGAATATGCATTTATTATATAAAGAAAATTACATTTTTAAAAAATTTATTTAAACTATTGTTTCTCTTTTCTTTTTTTTAAAGATTGATATATAATTTATTTCTTTATTTTTCAATTTTATAATTTGATATATAGAATTTATTATTTTTATTGAAAAATAACTGAATATTAATATATATTTGTTTGCAAATTTAATCTATATATGAAATTTTTTATCGCGTTATTTATCTTAATGGCTATAAATCGGATCGTGTATACAATATCATGGATACTTAATTCTCCACAAAAATACTCTAGTTATTTTATTTCTTTGTTGTTTACCGTGCAGAATTTCTGCGCTTTTATCATATTTGTATGGAAAAAGAAGATTAAGTTGATGATATTAAAACGATTCAGAATGCGGGATGAATAAATCGTGGACTTGACTACCATGTCAAAGCTGCAGAAAAGATCGAATTCTTGCAGAGAAGAAAATTGTTACGCGAAAGTTTCGTTCGATGGAATTAAATTCTAATAATGCAGTTATGTTAAAAAAAAGTTTTATCGCAAATCAGGCACCAACGAACAATCAGCAATTTAATATAATTATAATAAAACAGAAATAACTTTACCGTTTTATATTTTAATGTTATGTTTTTTTAAAGGATTTAGTTTAAAATCTTATATAGAAAATTTATCTTACTTTACATATTATTGAATCAAATCAATGATTGCAATACTGTGAAAAATACGTAGAAGTGCAAACTAGATTTGCGTAAAATTACACAGTTTCCATCTTAATAAACATATTATGTTGTATAAATTGCAGTTAAAAATGATGCATCAAAAATTTTTCCTGATATTCCGTACTTGAATAATTGATTTTTGAGATAGATTCTTTGATTACATCATACATTTACACCAATATAAATATATAATATAGGTAAAATCTCTTCATTATTTACTCATTGACTTCATCGTTGTTTTTCAATACTTTAATATTTTTGAAAATATATGTAATAGTTTTTTTGATTAAGATTAATGTTTTAAACGATTAAACGTGTTGGATAACATCAATTAATCCATTTATTATGAGCAGAAGTTTATTAATATTTTTTCTTACATTTTTCTTACATTTTGTATACATGATTTCGCGATAAATAAATTGCCTTCCAACATTATCAACGATTTGTTATTCACGATACATATTCGTTTTAATATTTGTAATTGTGCTTCTCATGTAATTTTCTCATATGCATGTTGAAAGTAAATTAATAAAATATGCATAGTATATTTAACGCAATTACTTTCTTTATTTCAATCGAATAATCAAAATTGCTCTGAGAAATAACTGCATCTTTGCACGTCGAATTTAGATTGTTAAATGTTTTTTAAAAAATAGATTAAAATTATTTATAAATTAAGAATTATAATAATATACATAATAAAATTCGGCGAATTAAAATTATTATTGCACAGTGTTTCAAAATCGTTCTATTTTGTCAATGCATATGAAGCACTTTAATAATTCGGAACGATTGCTTCCGGGCTTTGCGTAAGAATTAATAATTTCTTTTGTGTACAAAATTTTTGTTCGTCAAATTTCTATTATGTATGCACATAATTTTAATTCTCGTATTTTTATTTCTTTTTTATTTCTTTATTTTTTTAATTAAATAAAATTAAATAAAATTGTCATATAATATGTATATAGTTATTAGTAGATTTCGGATTATATGCAAATTGCATTATATGCGCAATTGTTGTTATTTTTGCATATTCTACAAGGAGATTAATAATGTGAATAAATTATAATTTTTTTAATTAATAAACATTAATTAGTTGAAACTATTACAATTTTTTCACATTATCAATGCTGTCATAGAATGTGCAAAAAGTAACAATTATGCAATTTGCGTATAATTCGAAGTCTAGTTCTTAGTGTATAATTTGATAACAGTATACAGACAGAGTGTGTGTGTGTGTGTGTGTGTGTGTGTGTGTGTGTGTGTGTGTGTGTGTGTGTGTGTGTGTGTGTGTGTGTGTGTGTGTGTGTGTGTGTGTGAATGAGTGGGTGTGTTTGTGACTGTTTGTGTGTGTGTTTCCTTGCAAAGTTATCAAAGACTTGCCGTTCTCGGCAGTTTTACTTCTTCCTTTATACAAGCATTTGTTACTTGTGTAGTCTTCTTTCATAAAGAGACGTCAAAGCCGAAGTTAGTGATATATAATATATTATCATATATCATTAAGTTTTATCAAATCTAGCGAGATAATTAAAAGTGAACCGCGTAATCGTCTACTTTAACAGTGCTAGAATAAAATCAGATCAATATTTCGAAATTTTATTGACAAACACAAAAAAAAGAATAAATTGATTTTGTTATATGTGTAAATCATGCACTTAACATTTTTTAAATTAGTACATTTAATACAAAAGCTAAGATATACATAAATCTAATATGAAATTTTCAATGATTTAAAATTCGAAATTTATGTGAGAATTATATATATATAATGTGAATATTAAAATAAGTTTGATTAAATAATCTAATTACTTTGACGTATATCTTCGTGTAAAATAATGAATGAAAAAAATCTTACGTTTTTGTGTTGCGGATTTTGTCTCCTCATCACTTCATCGAAATCTCAGCAAAATTGCATCAACAACGAAGAGGAAGGTCGTAATTTGACAGTTCGATACGAGATAGATACAGATTTTACAAGAATTTATAAGAACGAGATAAAAACACTGCAACATGATTTGTATGAAAAGTTATTCAGCAATATGCGATATGAAATGCCGAATGAAATTAATTCCATGAATGACAATGACGATGATGTTGATCTGTTATTATATAAACTAAGCAAGCGTTCTGTTCAAAATCCTGAGGATGAAGACGAAATTCCGGCAAACTCTCCCACCAATTTGACAAATGTCAAACATGAAAAAAACTCTACGTCACCGAAAGTTGACGAAAACTTGTTCGGAAAGAATAATTCCATGTCGATGAATAAAGTCTTTGGAAATTCCACTAAGAATAGTAATGCAAGAAACATCGTCCCATACGAAACTTGCCATAATATTACTTGCATTCTGTTCTGCTGTCCCTTTGGCTATAGCCAAAGGACGAATGACAGCCAATGCATTCCAGCAGGAAAAATGAAATTCGATTTACCGTATGTGTACGAATATGCGAACGATTCAATGCAAAACGAAAGTAAGAGAGTGAACGAATTGTTTCCCTTAACCATCTATGATCCGTGTTTGCGAACGCAACGTATCGTGGTAGACGAGGGTCATCAGTACGATTATAAGATTTTCACCGATGGATCTATTTATTTAGCTTATTATCAAACATTATTTAAATCGACGTCATATTGTCTCTCCGTCTTCTTGAACAGAGGGAAAGAGTTCGAAGTGAATTTTTGTTATGACACTTATCATCAAGTCGTTAGGAACGGGATGAAATACACACCTGAGATCCAGTCGATGTTTTACGCATTTAACATATATGCAGGCTTGCATGTAGTGTGCATATTATTTATGGTACTAGTATTTCTAGTGTATTCCATATTGCCAGAACTGCGAAATGTACATGGATTTATGTTGCGCAATTACAGCGCAGTTTCAATCGTAGCACTGATAATTAACATAGTGAAGCTTATGCAATACAATGCAGAAATACCATATCCCGCCTGTGTTACAATTGGTACAGTATTTCTAATAAATTATAACAATCTAACAATAAATTATTAATTTAATTATTTAATTATTATTAATTTAATTATTTATTATTGAAAAATTTAATTTAATTAATTAATTTAATTAAATTTTAATGCACTTTAATTATAACTAATCCGAATGTGCCTTAATATATATACATATATATTATATATATTATATAACTAACTATATAATAACTATAATATATTTATTATTTTTAACTATAATATTGTAATAACTATATACTATAATATTTATTATTTTTTAAAAAATTATATTATTATTAACATATATATTTGTATATATTACATACATATATGTATAAATACTATTTATCTTATATTAGTACTACCAGTATTCATTAAATATTGGTATTATATAGTGCAAAAAATTAGACTAAATTTATTTTTCAATGGAAAATCACACACAAAAACATGAAAATTTTTAGTTCCTGTATTTTATCGCACGCTCTTTGATTAAAATATTATTTATTATAGCCTTTGATTAAAATATTATTTATTATTATAGCCTTTATTTTTATTCATTTTTACAGCCTTTTTAGAATATTACTTTCTTATGTCGACTTTTTTCTGGCTAAGTGCCATGAGCTTTAATATGTGGTGGACATTCAGGTGAATTACAAAGTATTTTATATTTAACTTGTCTCTAATTCGAATTTATCCTTACAAAAATAATACAAGATAATTTTTTAACATAGATATTTTTTGTCTCTGAAAACTAAATAAAAATTTAGATTATAGAATAAGTTTTTGAGAAAAGTTACGATAAAAAACAAGCACTAATTTAACTTTTTTACATTCAGATTTCTCAGTTAAATATGACATGTAAATTGCAGAAAATTCTCTTCGTTACAAAAAAAGGTCAAAAAAAAAACTGAAAATAAAAAGTTACTGTATTATGGGATTTTCGCGTACGGTGGTCCATTCATACTTGCTATTCTTTGTGTCATCGTTGTGGATTTTATTTCCGTGTACCTGCCAAGAAATTTCCGACCAGAATTTAAATTAGGACTTTGCTGGTATTATGCTAAACGTACGTCTCAAATAATACTATTAATGCTATAGCATTTTAATATATTGTGAAAAACAGTATAAGATTTTATGACATATACGTACAGGGAAGCCAGCGTTTCTATTGTATTTCTACGGGATTAAAACTGTCTGTAATATTAGTAGCGTTTGCTTATCTATCTCTGCGGCACTGAAAATCAGACGCTATGAAAAGAATACAGGTCTTCGTCTGACAGATTCGGAAAGCAGGCGATATAATGACAATAAGAAATGGTGAGTATTTTGACATTTTTGCATTGCTGCGTGTAATAATTAATCTTTTTATTAGTGAGATTTATGCAGATATATTTTTGTCAATGTCTCTTCTGACAACATTACATATTCGATTGATTTTGCATTCAAGATGAAGAAGAATGATTATTTAAAAGCAATACATTTTTAATGTGTTATAATTCTTCTCTTTTTGTTTCCTTTTTTCTTTTTCATGTAATTATTTAAACTATAGAAAAAGAAAAACATTTATTGCTGTAATTTGAATCGTGTTTTATCGAAAAAATCTATAATTCTCGAAATGTTGTAGATTAGTGAGCATAAAGTTCATGAATACAATTATTTAATAAAAAATTACATTATTAAAGAATTTTTTAACAACTATTTTTTGTGTCTCTTTTTTAAGATTATAATTTATTTAATCATTTTTTAGTTCAATAATTTGATGTATAGAATTTATTATTTTTATTGAAACATATCCAAATATTAATATATACATATGTGTTTGCAGGTTTAATCTATATATGAAGTTATTTATTGTGCTGTTTATAGTGTTGGGCATAAATTGGATTGTGCTTACACTGACATGGGTGTTTGTAAAAATAATGAATATTTACCTCGCTTATTTTATTGCTTCGTTAGATATTATTACGAGTTTCTGCACCTTTATCATATTTGTATGGAAAAAGAAGACCAAGGAGATGTTACTGAAACGATTCGGATTCAACACAAATGCATCACGCACTTAACTATACTATGTCAGAAGTGTTTATGCAGGAAAAATCGAATTCTTGCAGAGAAGAAAATTGTCACGCAAAAGGTTCGTCCGATAAAACTGAATTCTAATATTGCAATGTGTAAAAAAAAGTTATATCGCAGTTTATAGACAAACAATTAATTAATTTTAATTTAATACACTAATAAAATATAATATTTTACATTATAATATAATGAACTTGACAAATTAATTCTCGGATTTCAATGTAGATATTTCTGCATCATAAATAGCAGAATATCTAATAGCGATTATGTACAAAAATATATTTGATATGTATAAAGAAAATTACAAGTTTATGTTGTAAGTTGAAAAAATACATTTAATATGACTTGCATATAAACAATTAATTTTAAATTAACATGTACGATTATTATTGTCCAATACACGCAATAAAAATTGTAAAACATATTTAATTTTCGACAAATTTAAATTACAAGAAAATGTAAAGTGTTTGTGAACATTAATCAATTGAATTCTCTAGTTTAGTCAATTATTTAATTATTCCACCTACAAACATTAGAAGACAACTATCAGAAATGTTCTTTTTCTAATTTTTCTGCGTAATTATTACTGTGTGTTATTTGTTTCTCTGTGTATATCATATATTTTTTTAATAAAATTATTAAGCGAGAGTTCTCAAATCGAATAAATATTAATATTTTTTTAATTTATAATCTCGATTTTATTCTTAAAATTAAAAAAGTACAAATAAGAATATAAGGTGTGTATATGTATATATATATATATATATATATATATTGAAATAAAAAATATTAAAATAAAAATATTGATATATTATTCGATTTGAGAACTCTCGCTATCTTTAACATCTCATAAAATGAATCATATAATGATTTCCTTGATGCAAACTATATGAGATACTGCAAACCAGATTGTACATAAAATTCCATAGCTTCTATCTTTACAAACATATTATCATATAAATTGAGGTAAGAAATGAACGAGATCTTTCTGATATCCGTACTTGATGTTTTCCAAGATAAAGTCTTTAATTATAGAAGAAATCAAGGACAAAAGTTATACCGTCATGAAAATAGCAAGTTTCCTGCCATCTTACACAACGTCTTGAATAATTTCCATTATATAGTTAATGCGTACATCTCGATCTTTTTTCTCTCAATCTTTATATATAAGCACCGTCTGTCTGTATGTATGTACGCGAACTACTTCCGCATTTGTGGACCGATTTTCGTGAAACTGGTACCAAAATGTTGCAAATTTTTTGGGGGTGGCTGCTGTGGGGTTTTTTTTTTAATTTTTTAATTTTTTTTTTTCTACAGAGGAGGGTATGTTTAATCTTTTTTTGCAATATTTCTGAACACATGGTATCAAAATGTTGCAAATTGTTTGGAGATAGCGACGATGCGGTTTTTTCAAGTGTTACACCCCCACCCACGCACCCACCCACGCATTCACCCACACGCATGCGCATTTATGGACCAATTTTCACGAAATTAGTACCAAAATGTTGCAAATTTTTCTGAGAAAACTTGTTTTATTTTTTTAAGTTTACGCCTCCACCCACACACCCACCCACGCAAATGTATATTTATGAACCAATTTTTTTTAAATTGGTACCAAAATGTTGCAAATTTTTTGGAGATGGCGACGATGCGGTGTTTTCAAGTGTTACATCTCAACCCACGCACCCGCCCACGCATTCACACAAATGCATGCGCATTTATGGACCAATTTTTACAAAATTGATACCAAAATGTTGCAAATTTTTCTGAGAAAACTGCTGTTTTATTTTTTAAGTTTACGCCTCCACCCACTTACGCAATCGCATATTTATGAACCGATTTTTTTTAAATTGGTACCAAAATGTTGCAAATTTTGTGGAGATGGTGACGATGTGGTTTTTTCAAGTGTTACACCTCCACCCACGCATTCACACATTTATTCACAGATTTTTTCGAAATTTGTACTTAAACTTTGTCGGGGATGGCTACTATGATTTTAACAAATTTATATCATCCTATTTATCCACCCATGCACCCATGTGCATACGCATTTATTGACTTGGTCACACCAAGAAGTAATTTAAAAAAAATTTGTGTACGTGTTTGTGATTATGTGTGCAATTCGTGTAAATAAACCTTTAATTTGTATGCCTTGACCATAGTAACATTTAAATTCAATATTCTTATTTTATACAAACATTTCCTTAAACTTTTTTTAAATCAATGTGACACATAATACGGCTTAACCAACATGTCTAAAGAGAGCAGCGAAAATGCATGCAGTTCAAATCAGCATAATGTAAGTAGATTTTAATTTTAGAGAGAGAGAGCGTGTGTCTTAAGAAAGAGAGAGAGAGAGAGAGAGGTGTGTCTTAAAGAGAAGAGAGAGAGAGAGAGAGAGAGGCGAGAGCTCGCGGGGAGAAGAAGTTCACTCGCTTTAGAGAGAGAAGAGATGTCGTTTAGTGACGGAGAGAAGAGAGAGAGAGGTAGAGATTGTTTGATCTGAGGAACTCCCGGTGGAGCAGCCTCGGCGGAGGGGAGAAAGAGACGAAACGAGAAGAAAGAAAGCGGTGATATAGGGGAAGAGAGAGCGAGAGAGAGAGAGCGAGGAGATGATGTACTGAAAGAGGAAGAGAAAGAGAGAGAGAGAGAGAGGGGGGAGGAGCGGGACTGTTGTCGAAGAGAGCGTTTTTGCGTTCTGTAGCTGCTGAGGAGGATCGATGAAGAGTTGATGAGAAGAAAGAAAGATGAGGAGATTGCGTATACCCCCGAGAAGTAGAGAGTGAGAGGAGAGAGCAGAGCAGAGAGGGAGAGAGAGGGAGGGAGGGAGAGAGAGTGACGAGGAGAGGTGAAAAGAGAGCAGAAGAGAGGGAGAAGAGAGAGGAGGAGAGAGAGAGAAGAGAGAGAAAAGAGAGAGAGGAGAGAGAGAGAGCGGTGTCTTAAAAGAGAGAGAGAAAGAGAGAGAGAGCGCGTGTCTTAGAGAGAGAGATGAGAGAGTAGAGAGAGAGAGAGAGAGAGAGAGATGAGAGAGAGCGTTGTGTTTAAAGAAGAAGAGAGGAGAGAGAGAAAGAGAGAGAAAGAGAGAAAAGAGAGAGAGAGAGCGTGTGTCTTAAAGAGAGAGAAAAGAGAGAGAGCGCGTGTCTTAGAGAGAGAGAGAGAAAAAGAGCGTGTGTTTTAAAGAGAGAAAGAGAGAGAGAGCGTGTGTCTTAAGAGAGAGAGAGAGAGAGTGTCTTAAAGAGAGAGAGAGAGAGAGCGTGTGTCTTAAAGAAAGAGAGAGAGAGTGAGGAAGGGGGAGAGGGGGAGAGAGAGAGGGGGGAGGGATAGTAAAAGTGAAAAGAGAGAGAAAAAGATAGATATGTGTGTTGTGTGTGTAAAGAGAAAAAGAGAGAGAGAGAAAATGATTAATCTATTAATTTATCTATTTTTAGTAGTACCTCATGTACACAAAACAGCGATAATTGAATCGACTGTAAAATACAACCCTATATGAAGGAATGTAATTAAGGTTAAATTACAGCAAAATATGAGAACTGGGGAAGAAAAAGAATTTGCAAATTGGTTAATGCAACTCGGAGATGGTAAATTATCAAATACAGATGGACTAAATCTAGACACGATTAAAATTCCACAAGATTTTATATCAAAAGAATCTCTTATTAATGAGATTTTTGGTGATAGAATTACCATGAAAAGAATTAGAGAAAATCAAGATCGAGCAATTCTTTGTCCTAAAAATGAAGATACTTTCAAAATTAATGATGAAATTCTTTGTCTAATGGAAGGAGAAGAAAAGGAGTATCTCTCTATTGACTGTATTGTAAGTGATGATCCACAGGAGCAATTAAATTTTCCAACTGAGTTTCTAAATTCACTGACACCTTCTGGAATGCCAGTTCATCGGCTTAAAATAAAAGTTGGTGCTACAATAATCTTATTAAGAAATTTAAATACTAAAAAAGGACTTTGTAATGGTACAAGATTTATTGTAACTAATTTAAAAAATAATATAATTTATGTAGAAGTTATAACAGGTCCTGCTCGAGGACAAATTGTCATGATTCCGAGGATAGATTTAATTACAAATGATTTGGAACTGCCATTTAAGTTTAAACGAAGACAGTTTCCTATTCGAGCGTCATTTGCTATGACAATAAATAAATCACAAGGACAAAGTTTAGAAAAAATTGGAATTTATTTGCCACATCCTGTATTTGCTCATGGTCAACTTTATGTGGCATTTTCTAAAGCAACAAAAAGAGAAAGTGTAAAAATTAAAATTGATGAATGTAGCAATCAAGGACATTTAATTGAAGAAAGTGAAAAATGTTTTACAAAAAATGTAATATACAGGGAAATTTTGTAAATTGAAGAATTATGATATTGTATGAAAGCTAATAATAGCGTGTTAGCGGTGGGTACATTAAAAATAAAAAAAATTGAGTAAAATGTAAAAAAGGATATAATAATTAAGTAATAAAAAAAATATTTAAAGTATATATTAACCAAAATAAATGTTTAAATTTTTTGTGGATGACTACTATGTTATCTATTTCTTTCTCCCAGATATTTTATACACAACATTTTGACAGACAACAAATGTGGAAGTAGTTCGCGGTAATACAAAAAAAGAATTAATTTGTTGTGTTAAAACGGATTTAATATAGGCTATATAAGGACCGCGCTTCGCGCGGTCCGAAAAGCTAGTTTACTTATAATGTAGAAACTGTTAATTTTCCTCTCTTTATTACGCATTAGCGAGCAGTAATTTCGTTCTTTGCGATGTTAATAATGTCAATGTCACGATCGAATTACATATTAATACATTTTTAACATATTAACATATTAATGATATTATGAGTAGGTTTGTTTCCGCAATTCAAATTTTGCTCATGCAATTCAACTTCGAAATTAGTGCTGCATTATTATCTAACAATATAAAATTTGTACAAAAAATCATTTATTATAAATATTATCTCTTTGTTGCATAACAAAAGTAAAAAGGTTCAACTAATTTTTTATTTGGTTTGTTTCTTTCAGAAGAATCGACACTTTTATTTGATATACATATAAAAGCCATTTGAAATATATATATATTTTTCACTAATCGTGTGTACTCTGTGTATCTCTTTTACAATTATAAAAATATAGTAGCTTAACATTTTAGCGTCAAATATCTAAAAAACAATCAAGAGTTTATTTTAATTATTTTGTTGTTGAATAGATCAAACTACGTCAGCAGGAAGTTTCTGCAAAGATTCCAGTTTTCCTTGCATATACAAAAGTTATATGTGTATAATTTTAGAGCAATGTATATGTAGCAGTATATATAGTATGTATGTGTATGTGTGTGTGTGTGGGTGTGAGTGTGTGTATCCTGAAAAAGCTCGAAAACATGTCTTAATTGACAGTTTCACTTCTTCCTTCATGCAGGCATTGTTATTTGTGCATTCTTATTTTCTTTCAAAAACAGACGTCAAAGCCGAAAATAGTGATACATTATAGGTTTTATTAAATCAAGATAATTAAAAAACAACCGTCAAGTACTCAAACTACCGTCAATCACACTACCCTCAGTGAAAATTTAGCAAATGTTTTTTTCTTTCTATATGTAAATGCTATAATAAATGTATATAATTTTATAATAGCAGATAGACTATGTATGTGTGTTGCGTCGCAAACTATCGATGACTGGTCGTTCTCGGTAGTTTTATTTCCTCTCTCGTAGAAACACGTTCTCTTGTACATTCTTTTCTCCTTTTAGAAAATGAAGACAAAGTCGGACATAGTGATATAATATATGTTTTATTAAATTTAATAAGATTATTAAAAAAAATCGCGCAATCGTCTACATGAATAGTGCTGGAATAAAATTAAATCAATCTTTTAAGATTGAGTTAAGAAACATAAAAAGAAGTTAATAATTTGAGTTTATGTGTAAATATTGCATTTAACATCTTTCTTTCTTACATTTAATATAAAACATAAAATATGCATAAATTTAATAAAGAATTTAGTAATTTTTAAAAATCCTAAATCTATGTGAGGACTGATGAATACTGATAAATTTGACTGATTTAATTATTTATTTATTTTAAAGTATCTCCTTATATGAAACAATGTGTCAAAAAAATTTCATGTTCTTGTGTTACGGATTTTTTCTTCTCATCGCTCCAACGAAATCTCTGCAAAATTTTACCAACAATGAGAAGAGAGGTGATAATTTGACGATGCAATATGAAGCAGACACTGATTCCACAACAATTAAGGATGATGATCAAATACCGATAAACTCTCACACCAATTTGACATATGTCAATTATAAAGAAAACTCTACGTCTCAGGAAGTTTATGAAAATCTGCTTGAAAAGAATGATTCCATGTCGAAAGAAGTCTTTGAAAATTCCATTAAGGATATTGAACGTAACTTCGTTTCATACGAAATGTGCCATAATATTACTTGCATTCAGTTCTGCTGTCCTCTTGGTACCAGTATGATCAAAGGCACCATATGCGTTCCAGATAAAACTAGATACGAATTTCCGCATGTGTACGAATACGAGAACGATTCAATGCAAAACGAGAATAAAAGAGCGGATAAATTGTATCGGTTTGCCGTTTACGATCCGTGCTTGGAAACTCAACGTTACTTGGTGGAACGGGGTCATCAGCACAATTATAAGATTTTTGCCAATGGATCTATTTATTTACCTTTTTATAAAAAATTATTCAATTCAAAATCGTATTGTATTGTTCATTTCTTAAACTGGGGGACCAAGTTCGAAGTGACTGTTTGTTCAGAAACTCATAATCAAATTTACAGGAACTCGATGAAGCTCCTGCCTGAGCTCCGCTGGAGACTTAAAACAATAACGATATATGCCAGCATGTCATTAGTGTGTTTATTATTTTTGTTACCAATATTTATAGTGTATTCCATATTGCCAGAACTCCGAAATGTACACGGCTTCATGCTGCGCAATTACACCTTTGCTGCATCCATCGCAATCACAATTACGGCACTAAAATATATATATTACCAAACAGAAATGACTTATTCCGCCTGCATTACACTTGGTAAAGTATATCTAACATATAATTATATAACTATATAATGTATGTAATATATGTAATACTTGTAAGAAATATAATTATTAACAAATTAAATACAAATTTTATGCATTTTAATTATAACTATAATCTGAGTTCGTCTCAAAATATTCATATATTGTATATGTATATAATGTTGCGTTTTAGAATTTTGCACTGTTATGTCAAGAAATACAATTTAATTTTACATCAGTAGTATCAGTAATCATATTAAAAAATAAATATTGTTATAATATAATATAATGTATATTAATAAATAAATATTGTTAAAAGTTCCCCAATTTAACACGTGCTCAGTGATTAAAATATTATTTATTATTATAGCCTTTATTTTTATAAATTTTTCAGCATACTTGAAATATTTTTTGCTTATGTCGAATTTCTTCTGGCTAAGTACAATGAGTTTCAATATGTGGTGGACATTCAGGTAAATTGCCAAGAATTTTATATTGTACTCTATTCCTTGATCTGTCTCTTCTTTCTGGATTTTTTTATAGTATGAAACAAAACAAAAATTTTGTTAAAACAACGTAAATTTTTTTAAATTAAAATGGCAATGTCAGATAATAAACATATATTTAACTTATAAAATATTTATAAAATATCACAACGTAATCTAATTCGCAAAAAATGAAACAAACTATTATTGAATGTTTTTTTACATTATACTAGCTGGATATTTATATCGTGTTTATGTTTTTTTTATGTATAAAATAAGACAAGATAATTTTTTAACATAAATATATTTTCTTGCTTCTAAAAACTAAATAAAAATTATGATTACCTTTCTCTGTAGAATATTTATGTAAATATATAATAGTTTCTAAATGTTATATAATGTTATACGTCATATCACTTTTCATGGTACTTGAGTGTCGTGTGTCGTATTATGTATAAATATACTTGTTAGTTGCGTAGAATTAAGTTTTCGAGAAAGTCTTGATCAAAGGCAAACATTAATTTTACCTTTTTATATTGAGATTTTTTGTATTTATACTTATATAATTAAATATGACATGTAAATTGCAGGGGATTTGCTTCGTTACAAAAAAACGTCCGACAATCTGGAAACAAAAGATGTGTTGTATTATACGATTTTTGCGTACGGTTGTCCATTTATACTTGGTATTATTTGTGTCATTGCCGTGGATTTTTTTTCCAATTATATACCAAAAAATTTGAGACCAGAATTCGAGACAGGAAGTTGCTGGTATAATGGTGCCCGTACGTTTCAGAACACTATTTATTAATGTTACTCATTTAAAAGTGTGTGTCACATTAAACATGTGAATAGTAACAATTTTATGTCATATCATACTGACAGGTACTGGAGCATATGTGCTGTATTTTTACTGGATCAAAACTGCATGTACCATTAGTAGCGTTTGCTTTTCGATCTCTGCGGCAAGGAATATCAAACGCTACGAACAGGATACAAACTTTCGTCTGTCAGATTCGGAAAGCAAGCGATATAATGACGACAAGAAATGGTGAGTTTTTGACCATTTTTGCATTTCTGTGTGATAACTTTTTACTGTGTTAATGAGATTTATGCAAATATATTTTTGTCAATATCTTTTCTGACAGCATCTTACTCACTTGATTCGCACGTTCACAAGTGAAAGAAAGCGATGATTTTTAAAAGCAATACATTTTCACTGTGCTTATTCTTTTTTTTGTTTTCTTTTTTTTTTCTGTCATGTAATTACATGATAATTTAGAAAAAAAACATAAATTTTTGTAACTTGAATAGGAAATCGTGTTATTTCGAGATAATCTGTATTTCTGGATATGTCGCACATAATAAAAAAAACTTACTGAATCTACATTTATTTTATTTTATAAAGAAAATTACATTATTTAAGAATTTCTTTAAACAATTATTTGTTTTCCCTCCTTTTTAAATTGTAATTTATACTATCATTTTTCATTTAATAATTTGATATATAAAATTTATTATTTTCAATTAAAATTAATATTAATCAAAATTAATATTGGTCGCTAGTGGTGAAAATAAGCTTAGAAAACTTGACTTCGACGTAACTAGCAAATTTTATTTAATTATTTCACGACGTTTCGACCATTTGGTTGTGGTCTTTTTCAAGTGAAATTTCCATCAATTAAATCGAGGTTAACGTAACATCACACTGGTGTTAGTTAACTTTCGATTTTAAATAACACCAGTGTGATGTTATGTTAACCTCGGTTTAATTGATGGAAATTTTACTTAAAAAGGACCACAACCAAATGGTCGAAACGTCGTGAAATAATTAAATAAAATTTGCTAGTTACGTCGAAGTCAAGTTTTCTAAGTTTATTATTTTTATTGAAAGATGACTAACAATAAGTATTAACATATATTTGTTTGCAGGTTTAATCTATATAATTTTATGCAGATATATTTTTGTCAATATCTCTTCCGACAACATCTCATATTCGCTTGATTTGCATTCCAGACGAAAGAAAGAAATGGTTATTTAAAATCAATACATTTTCACTGTGCTTATTTCAAAAAATTCTGTAATTCTCGAAATGTCGGAAATAATGAAAGTAAAGTTAACGAATACTATTTCGAGCATTTATTTCATAAAAAAAATTACATTATTTAATAATTTTTTTTAAGCAACTATTGCTTTTTCCTTCATTTTTAGGGTTGTAATTTCCATTATTTTTCAATTTAATAATTTAATATATAGATATTATAATTTTTATTAAAAAAAGTCTATGTTTTAATATTGTATATATTTGTTTGCAGGTTTAATCTATATATGAAGTTATTTATCGCGATGTTTATCATAATGGCCCTGAATTGGTGTGTGCTTACAATGACATGGTTGTTTAACAATCGTACATATTATTATTTATTATATGGTGCTGGTTCGTTAGAGATAGTGCAGAGTTTCTGCACCTTTATTATATTTGTTTGGAAGAAGAAGATCAAGATGATGTTACTGAAACGATTTGGGTACAAGACGAATGTATCGAACACTTAACCATCATGTAAAAGGTATTTATGCAAGAAAAGTCGAGCTCTTGCGAAGAAGAAAATTTTTACGAAAGATTGTCCGATGGGACGGAAATCTAGTATTGCAGTGTATAAATAAAGTGTTTTATTGCAGATCAAGGATCAACGATCAATCGCAATTTAATAAAATCTTATAATTTAACTAAAGATATCTAAGCCTATATTATATAATCCTAAGTATATATAATCCTATATTAATTAGAAAAAAATCTAATAACTCTTCTAGATTAGTAATTAATAGGCTGTAACCTCTTAACGACGAATTTGCTATCGCTACGATCGTTGTGCATCTTTTTGATACATGAAAGATATAGTATATACTCAAAAACACATTAACGATAGCAACATCGCCGTTACGAATTATAGAATCGCAGTCTTGGATTACTCAAATTACCGTCAGTGGAAGTGCAGAAAATGTTTTTTCCTTATATAATATCTATATGTATAATTTTATAATTGGAGACAGACAGTGTGTGTGTGTGTTTTGCGTTGTAACTATTGACGACTCGTCATTCTCGATAGTTTCATTTTCCCTCTCGTGGAAACACGTTTCTTGTACATTCTTCTCTTCTTCTAGAAAAAACAAAGCCGGATATAGTGATATAATATATGTTTCATTAAATTTAGCAAGATTATTAAAAACATCGCGTAATCGTCTACATGAATAGTGCTGGAATAAAATCAGATAAATCTTTCGAGATTAAGTTAAAAAACATAAAAAGAAAATTATAATTTGAGTTTATTATATGTGTAAATATTGCATTTAACATCGTTTTTTCTTACAATTAATATGAAACAAAATATATACATAAATTTAATATAGAATCTTTTAATTTAAAAAAATTCTAAATCTCTATGTGAGAATTGATGAATACTGATAAGTTTGACAGATTTAATTATTTAACTATTCTAAAGTATATCATTATATGAAATAATGGGTCCAAAATATTTCACGCTTTTGTGTTGCGGATTTTTTCTCCTCATCACTTCAACAAAATCTCAGCAAAATTTTACCAACAATGAGAAGAGAGGTGATAATTTGACAATGCAATATGAAGCAGACACGGATTCTACAACAATTTACAGCGACGAAATAAAAACACTGCGATATGATATGTATGAAAACTTTGCCAACAATGCACAATACGTTTACAATCATGAGGATGATGATCCAATATCCATGAATTCTCACACCAATTCGTCAAATGTTAATCATAAGAAAAACGCTACGTCCCAGAAAGTATATGAAAATCTCCTTGAAAAGAATGATTCCATGTCGAATGAAGTCTTTGAAAATTCCATTAAGGATATTGAACGTAACTTCGTTCCATACGAAATGTGCCATAATATTACTTGCATTCAGTTCTGCTGTCCTCTTGGAACTAGTATGATCGAAAGCACCACATGCGTTCCAGATAAAACTAGATACGAATTTCCGCAAGTGTACGAATACGAGAACGATTCAATGCAGAACGAGAATAAAAGAGCGGATAAATTGTATCGGTTTGCCGTTTACGATCCGTGCTTGGAAACTCAACGTTACTTGGTGGAACGGGGTCATCAGGACAATTATAAGATTTTTGCCAATGGATCTATTTATTTATCTTTTTATAAAAAATTATTCGATTCGAAATCATATTGTATTGTGCATTTCTTAAACAAAGGGACCAAGTTTGAAGTGACTGTTTGTTCAGAAACTCATAATGAAATTTACAGGAACGCGATGAAGTACCTGCCTGAGCTCCGCTGGAGACATAGAACAACAACGATATATGCCAGCATGCTATTAGTGCGTTTATTATTTTTGTTACCAATATTTATAGTGTATTCCGTATTGCCAGAACTCCGAAGTGTACACGGCTTTATGTTGCGCAATTACACCTTTGCTGCATCCGTCGCAATCATAATTAAGGCGCTGAAACTAATATATTATCAAACGGAAATGACTTATCCCGCCTGTATTACACTCGGTAAAGTATATCTCACATACAATTACATAATCCAGCAAACACCAACTAACATTTATATAACTTTTAGTTATAATTTCCTATTCAACAGTGTAAATGCAGTAGAACACGTGTGTTATATTGCATTTACAGTCTGTATTTAAATAAAGAATAAAAAACGTGGAAATTTCGAGTTTCTCTTATTTAATGAGCTCTAGGGATTAAAATGTTATTTATTATTACAACTTGCATTTTTAATAATTTTTCAGCATTCTTTCATTATATCTGTTCTATGTCATGTTCCTTCTGGTTGTTAACCATGAGCTTTAATATGTGGCGGACATTCAGGTAAATTGCCAAGAATTTTATTGTACTTTATTCTTTGACCTTTCTCCTATTTTAATTTGTTTTTACTGGATTGCTTTGTAGTATTAAACAAAACAAAAATTTTAAGATAACGTAAATTTTTTTAAATTAATATAGCGATATCAGATAATAAACATTTATATATTTAATTTATAAAATATTTGTAAAATATTATAACGTAGTCCAATTCGCAATAATAAAACAAACTGTTCTTGAATGTTTTTTTACATTATACAAGTTAGATATTTATAACGCATTGATGTTATTTTATGTATAAAATAAAGCAATGCACGATCATTTTTTTAACATAAATATATCTTCTTGCCTCTGAAAACTAAATAAAAATTTTGATTACTTTTTTCTGTAAAATATTTATGTAATAGTTATTATTTATGTAATTATATAATAGTTTCTAAATGTTATATTATGTCATATGTCATATCATTTTTCATGGTAATTGACTGTCATGTGTCGTGTGTCGTCTTATGTATAAATATACTTTTTTGTTGCGTAGAATTAAGTTTTCGAGAAAGCCTTGATCAAAAGCAAACATTAATTTCACGTTCTTACACTGAGATTTCTTTTATTGTTACTTATATAATTAAATATAACATGTAAATTGCAGGGGATTCTTCTTGTTACAAAAAAGGATCCGGAAATCTGAGAAAAAAAGTTTGCTGTATTATGCGATTTTTGCGTACGGTTGTCCATTTATACTTGGTATTATTTGTGTCATTGCCGTGGATTTTTTTTCCAATTATATACCAAAAAATTTAAGACCAGAATTTGAGACAGGAAATTGCTGGTATAATGGTGCCCGTACGTTTCAAAAAACTATTTATTAATGTTACTCATTTTAAAAGTGTGTGTCACATTAAACATGTGAACAGTAACAATTTTATATCATACTGACAGGTACTGGAGCATTTTTATTGTATTTTTTCTGGATCCAAACTGCCTGCATCATTAGTAGCGTTTGGTTATCGATCTCTGCTGCACAGAGCATCAAACACTACGAAAAGGATACAAACCTTCATCTATCAGATTCGGAAAGCAAGCAATATAATGAGAATAAGAAATGGTGAGTATTCTGACATTTTTGTAGCACTGAGTGATAATAGTTTATTATGTTAATGAGATTTATGCAGATATATTTTTGTCAATATCTCTTCCGACAACATCTCATATTCGCTTGATTTGCATTCCAGACGAAAGAAAAAGATGGTTATTTAAAATCAATACATTTTCACTGTGCTCATTCTTTTTCTGTTTTTTCTTCTTTTTGTAATATAATTGTATAATTTATAAGAAAAAAGACATTTATTTTTTTGTAACTTAATAGGAAATCATAATATTTAAAGAAATTCTGTAATTCTCGAAATGTCGGAAATAATAAAAGTAAAGTTAACGAATACTATTTCGAGCATTTATTTCATAAAAAAAATTACATTATTTAATAATTTCTTTAAGCAACTATTTCTCTTTTCCTCCTTTTTTAAGGTGGTAATTTATTCCATCATTTTTTATTTAATAAATTAATATATAGATTTTATTATTTTTATTGAAAAAGGACTATGTTTTAGTATTTATTTGTTTGCAGGTTTAATCTATATATGAAGTTATTTATCTTGGTGTTTATCATAATGGCCATGTATTGGACTACGCTTATAATAGCATGGTTGTTTGAGAATCGTATATATTATTATTTATCATATGTTACTGCTTCGTTAGAGATACTGACGAGTTTCTGCACCTTTATCATGTTTGTTTGGAAGAAGGAAATCAAGATGATGTTATTGAAACGATTCGGGTACGGAACGATTGCATCGAGCCCTATATAAGAGCAATATTTATGCAAGAAATATATAAGAGTTGTTTATGCAAGAAATGTCGAGCTCTTGCGAAAATAGAAAATTTTGCGAAAGATTGTCTGATAGAAATGAATTGTTACAATATCTAAAAAAGAGCGGTTTTTCGCAAATTATGTATTAACGGTTAATCGCAGTTTAATATAATTTTACAATATAATTGAAATCTAAAGTAACTTTACAGTGCTATATTTTGATTTTTACATTTCTTCACGGGATTTAATTTAATGTTTAACATAGAAAATATGTTTTATTGGTAAATATTCTTTTATCTAATCAATGGTTGTAATTTTGTATAAAATTTTCTATTATAAAGACATATAAATATATACAATTTATAACATATATTGTATAAATTATATAAAATGTATTATTTCTTCAAAAGTTGAGAGTGAAAAATTATTGTAAATAGTATCAACGTCATCTGACCTAACGCTATTTTTAATCACCAATTAATTAAATAATGAATATATAAATATTAAAGGGTGGAAAATTGAATCTAAACCGGTTTTAGAATAATATTTTGCTTTTATTTTATATACGACAAAGTGCCTATTTTGAAACAAAATACAAGATTTGGGGAATAACGATGAACTGCTATATTCAACGTAATTTCATCTCTTAAACATTTCTCTGTATTTTATAGAGTTAATAAATAAATTAAAAAATTAATAAATGACTTGCTATAAAATATGCTATATAAATAAATTAAAAAACTCGTAGAATAAAGAAAATTATTTTCAATTATATATTTATTGTTACGTTCGCGGGTCGACTTCGCGATAACTGTTCACAGAAAAAAAGGAATCCTTGATTTAAGTATATTTTTATTCTTGAACGCTATTTGATTCATTTAATCATAGAATGCTCTTTGTAATCACAAACTTCATTTGCTTTAATAATAAATAAGTTTGTGTAAAGTATATTCATCCTTAAGATACATTCTTGTTTTAAAAATCATTATATGATACAAACAAATTTAGTCACATTTGAATTAAGAATTACATACTTGATAATACTGCTTATATCCGATTATTATAAATTTTATTTATTTATAAATTTCAGCTTCAATCAAGAATATTTTGCATTTTGTTTTAAGGATAAATTATTCTTAATCCAAGATTTATATTTGGCGCTATTATAAGAATAAAATAGCTTTTAATCAAGGCATATTTGCATTTTCTCGAGGATACTGTTTTTTTTTCTGTGAAAGATATATATGCGCAACGACACATTAAAGATAGTTACATTGCCGTTACGAGTTATACAGAATCGGTCCTGAATTGGTCAAACTGCCGTCAGTGGTCCGGCAAATGTATTTTTACTTTCTATATGTAAATGTTCTGTATGTGTATAAAAAGCTTTCTATCACAGAAAAAACAGTATCCTTGAGAGAATGCAAATATGCTTTGATTCAAGTATATTTTATCCTTATAATAGCACCAAATATAAATAATTTTGGATAAAGGATAATTTATCCTTAAAACAAAGTGCAAAATATTCTTGGTTGAAGCTAAAATTTACTTATAAATATTGCAAGGACAAGTGACAAGTGTGCATCGGATATAAGCGGTACTTTCAAATAAATATAATAATTCTTAGTTTAAATGTGACTAAGTTTGTTTTTACCATATGCGATTTTTAAAACAAGAATATATCTTAAGGATAAAATATACTTTACACAAACTTATTTATTATTAAAGCAAATGAAAATTTGTGATTACAAAGAGCATTCTATGCTTAAATCAATCAAATAGCGTTCAAGAATAAAAATATACTTAAATCAAGGATTTCTTTTTTTCTGTGATATATGTATAATTTTATAATAGTAAACAGACAGCGTGTGTGTGTGTGATTTACGTCGCAAACTATCGACAACTAGTCGTCCTCGATAGTCTCATTTCTTCTATCGTGGAGACATATTTACTTCTTTGTACATTCTTCTCTCCTTTTAGAAAAAGAACAAAGCCGAATATAGTGATATATTGCTTTATTAAATTTATAGCAAGATTATTTGAAAAAATCGCGTAATCGTCTACATGAATAATGCTGGCATAAAATCAGATCAATCTTTCGAGATTAAGTTAAGAAACATGGAAAGAAAAAGATAATTTGAGTTTACTATATGTGTAAATATTGCATTTAACACCTTTCATTCTTACATTTAATATAAAACATAAAGTGTGCATACATTTAATATAGAATTTTTTAATTTAAAAAATTTTAAATCTTAGTGAGAACTAATGATTACTGATAAATTGGACTGATTTAATTATTTACTTATTCTACAGTATATCCTTATGAAACAATGTGTCAAAAAAAATTAACGTTTTTGTGTTACGGATTTTTTCTCCTCATCACTTCAACAAAATCTCAGCAAAATTTTACCAACAATGAGAAGAGAGGTGATAATTTGACAATGCAATATGAAGCAGACACGGATTCTACAACAATTTACAGCGACGAAATAAAATCACCGCGATATCATATGTATGAGAAGTTTGCCAACAATACACAATACGTTCACAATCATGAGGATGATGATCAAGTATCGATGAGCTCTCACATCAATTCGACAAATGTCAATTATAAGGAAAACTCAACGTTACAGGAAGTTTATGAAAATCTCCTTGAAAAGAATGATTCCATGTCGAATGAAGTCTTTGAAAATTCCATTAAGGATATTGAACGTAACTTCATTTCATACGAAATGTGCCATAATATTACTTGCATTCAGCTCTGCTGTCCTCTTGGAACTAGTATGATCGAAGGCACCACATGCGTTCCAGATAAAACTAGATACGAATTTCCACAAGTGTACGAATACGAGAACGATTCAATCCAGAACGAGAATAAAAGAGAGGATGAATTGTTTCGGTTTGCCGTTTACGATCCGTGCTTGGAAACTCAACGTTACTGGGTGGAACGGGGTCATCAGCACAATTATAAGATTTTTGCCAATGGATCTATTTATTTATCTTTTTATAAAATATTATTCAAATCGACATCATATTGTATCGTTCATTTCCTAGACAGTGGTACCAAGTTTGAAGTGACTTTCTGTTCAAAAACTTATAATCAAATTTACAGGAACGCGATGAAGTACCAGCCTGAGTTTGTCCGGGTACATCGTATAATAAATATATATGCCAGCATGCTATTAGTGTGTTTATTATTTTTGTTACCAATATTTATAGTGTATTCCATATTACCAGAACTCCGAAATGTACACGGCTTCATGTTGCGCAATTTCAGCTTAGCTGCGTCCATCGCAATCACAATTAAGGCACTGAAACTAATATATTTCCAAGCAGAAATGACCTATCCCGCCTGTATTACAATTGGTAAAGTATATTTAACATATAATTATATAACTATATATGTAATACTTATGAGAAATATAACTATTAACGAATTAAATAAAAATTTTATGCATTTTAATTATAACTATAATCTGAGTTTGTCTCAAAATATTCATATATTGTATATGTATATAATGTTGCGTTTTAGAATTTTGCACTGTTATGTCGAGAAATACAATTTAATTTTACATTAGTAGTATCAGTAATCATATTAAAAAATAAATATTGTTATAAATATAATATAATGTATATTAATAAATAAATATTGTTAAAAGTTCCCCAATTTAACACGTGCTCAGTAATTAAAATATTATTTATTATTATAGCCTTTATTTTTATAAATTTTTCAGCATACTTGAGATATTTTTTGCTTATGTCGAATTTCTTCTGGCTAAGTACAATGAGTTTTAATATGTGGTGGACATTCAGGTAAATTGCCAAGAATTTTATATTGTACTCTATATCTTGATCTGTCTCTTCTTTCTGGATTTTTTTATAGTATGAAACAAAACAAAAATTTGTTAAAACAACGTAAATTTTTTTAAATTAAAATGGCAATGTCAGATAATAAACATATATTTAACTTATAAAATATTTATAAAATATTACAACGTAATCCAATTCGCAAAAAATAAAACAAACTATTATTGAATGTTTTTTTACATTATACTAACTGGATATTTATATCGTGTTTATGTTTTTTTATGTATAAAATAAGACAAGATAATTTTTTAACATAAATATATTTTCTTGCTTCTAAAAACTAAATAAAAATTATGATTACCTTTCTCTGTAGAATATTTATGTAAATATATAATAGTTTCTAAATGTTATACAATGTTATACGTCATATCACTTTTCATGGTACTTGAGTGTCGTGTGTCGTATTATGTATAAATATACTTGTTAGTTGCGTAGAATTAAGTTTTCGAGAAAGTCTTGATCAAAGGCAAACATTAATTTTACCTTTTTATATTGAGATTTTTTGTATTTATACTTATATAATTAAATATGACATGTAAATTGCAGGGGATTTGCTTCGTTACAAAAAAACGTCCGACAATCTGGAAACAAACGTTTGTTGTATTATACGATTTTTGCGTACGGTTGTCCATTTATACTTGGAATTATTTGTGTCATTGCCGTGGATTTTTTTTCCAAGTATATACCAAAAAATTTGAGACCAGAATTCGAGACAGGAAATTGCTGGTATAATGCTGCCCGTACGTTTCAGAAAACTATTTATTAATGTTACTCATTTTAAAAGTGTGTGTCTCATTAAACATGTGAACAGTAAAAATTTTATGTCATATCATTCTGACAGATGCTGAAGCATATGTGCTGTATTTTTACTGGATCAAAACGGCATGTATCGTTAGTAGCGTTTGCTTATCGATCTCTGCGGCAAGAAATATCAAACGTTACGAAAAGGATACAAACTTTCGTCTATCAGATTCGGAAAGTAAGCGATATAATGACGACAAGAAATGGTGAGTATTTTGATCATTTTTGCATTACTGTGTGATAACTTTTTACTGTGTTAATGAGATTAATGCAAATATATTTTTGTCAATATCTTTTCTGACAGCATCTTACTCACTTAATTCGCACGTTCACAAGTGAAAGAGAGCGATGATTTTTAAAAGCAATACATTTTCACTGTGCTTATTCTTTTTTTTGTTTTCTTTTTTTTTTGTCATGTAATTACATGATAATCTAGCAAAAAAACATTAATTTTTGTAACTTGAATAAGAAATTGTGTTATTTCGAGATAATCTGTATTTCTGGATATGTCGCACATAATTAAAAAAAACTTACTAAATCTACATTTATTTTATTTTATAAAGAATATTACATTATTTAAGAATTTCTTTAAACAATTATTTGTTTTTTCCTCCTTTTTAAATTGTAATTTATACTATCATTTTTCAATTTAATAATTTGATATATAGAATTTATTATTTTTATTGAAAGATGACTAATAATAAGTATTAACATATATTTGTTTGCAGGTTTAATCTATATAATTTTATGCAGATATATTTTTGTCAATATCTCTTCCGACAACATCTCATATTCGCTTGATTTGCATTCCAGACGAAAGAAAGGGATGGTTATTTAAAATCAATACATTTTCACTGTGCTCATTTTTTTTTTTTTCTTATTTTTGTAATATAATTATATAATTTATAAGAAAAAAGACAATTATTTTTGTAACTTAATAGGAAATCGTAATATTTCAAAAAATTCTGTAATTCTCGAAATGTCGGAAATAATAAAAGTAAAGTTAACGAATACTATTTCGAGCATTTATTTCATAAAAAAAATTACATTATTTAATAATTTCTTTAAGCAACTATTGCTCTTTTCTTTCATTTTTAGGGTTGTAATTTCCATCATTTTTCAATTTAATAATTTAATATATAGATTTTATAATTTTTATTAAGAAAAGTCTATGTTTTAATATATATTTGTTTGCAGGTTTACTCTATATATGAAGTTATTTATCGCGATGTTTATCATAATGGCCCTGAATTGGTGTGTCATTACAATGACATGGTCGTTTAACAATCGTACATATTATTATTTATTATATGGTGCTGGTTCGTTAGAGATATTGCAGAGTTTCTGTATCTTTATTATATTTGTTTGGAAGAAGAAGATCAAAATGATGTTACTGAAACGATTTGGGTACAAGACAAATGCATCGAACACTTAACCATCATGTAAAAGGTGTTTATGCAAGAAAAGTCGAGCTCTTGCAAAGAAGAAAATGTTTACAAAAGATTGTTTGATGGGACTGAATTCTAGTGTTGCAGTGTATAAATAAAGTGTTTTATCGCAGATCATGAATCAAGGATTAATTTAATATGATCTTATAATTTTACGAAAGGTATCTAATTCTATATTATATAATCCTAAATGTATAATCCTATATTAATTAGAAAAAGGATCCAAATATATAATCCTATATTAATTAGAAAAAGGATTTAATAACACTTCTAGATTAGTTATAAACTAAAGAAATTAATAGAATCTTTTATGATAAATGTCTTTTTTCTTCAAAAGTCGAGAGTAAAAAATTAAATAGTATCAACGTTATCTGACTTAGCGCTATTTTTAATTACCAATCAAATAACTAATCAGTATATAAATATTAAAGTCCAGGAAGTTGAATCTAAATCGATTTTAGAATAATATTTTGCTTTTATTTTATATTTGGCAAAGTATCTACCTACTCTGGAACGAAATACAAAAGGAATAACGATGAGTTGCTATATTTTCAACGTAATTTCATATCTTAAACATTTCTTTGTATTCTAGAGTTAATGAATAAATTAGAAAATTCGTAGACTAAATAAGATTATTTTCAATTACATATATATATTGTTACGTCCGCGGGTCGACTTCGCGATATATCGCAACGACACATTAACGATAGCGACATCGTCGTTACGAATTAAGGCTAGAAAACAGATCTTTGCATAACGCATATGCATACGAAATTTAATTGGTCCATAAACGTGCATCACGCATGTGCATAAAAAATTTAACCAATCGAATTTCTTATGCTTATGCGTTATGCGTCATGCAAAAGTGTGTGCTCGGGCCTTTACAGAATTGCGGTACTGGATTGTTTAAATTACCGTCAGTGGAAATGCAGAAAACGTTTTTTCCATCTATATAATTGCTATGTGTATATTTTATAATTGTAGACAGATAGTGTGTGTGTGCGCGCGCGCGCGCGCGCGCGTGTGTGTGTGTGTGTGTGTGTGTGTGTGTGTTGCGTCGCAAATTATCGACGATTCGTCGTTCTCGGTAGTCTCATCTCTTCTCTCGTGGAGACATATTTACTTCTTTCTTATTAGAAACAGAAGACAAAGCCGGATATAGTAATATCATATATTAAAAATAAATAGATACAAAGTTTCGCTCGTATATTGAATAACAAAAAGTGATAAATGCAAGGCCAACTATCGAGCAATTATTCAAGCTCTTCAATCAAATAACATTTATTTTATATATAAATTATTAAGTTACAATTATTGAATATTAAAATTAACGCAAAAATAGTAATTCTAAAATAAACGTTTCGACCGCACGCGGTCTTCTTCAGTATATTATTAAAATATATTATAAAATCATAAAAAATTCATATAATGTCGAAAATTAATTTTAGTTCTTCAGAGTCGAGAGTTTATGAGCAGTTAACGCGTGTTTCCATCCATTATGTGTAGGAAAAATGTCAAACCAATGTTCGCCTCGGTATGATCTTTGATTTTAATCAGATCTCGAAAAGTTTCGTCGTTAATAAGCGAGAAATTAAAATGTTCCGTAGGCGTTGACATCGTCCTTCTTGACAATTTTTAACCACGTCTTACTTAAAAAAGTTGTTGAAGATGACACAAGACAAAACCAACAATATAAAAAGGCAACTCATTTTGAACTCCCTTATTTTAATATTCAATGATTGTAACTTAATAATTTATATATGAAATAAATGTTATTTGATTGAACAGCTTGAATAATTGCTCGATAGTTGGCCTTGCATTTATCACTTTTTGATATCATATATGTTTTCTTTAATATAGCAAGATTATTAAAAAAAATCGTGTAATCGTCTACATGAATAGTGCTGGAATAAAATCAGATCAATCTTTCGAGATTTTGTTAAGAGACATAAAGAGGAAAAGATAATTTGAGTATATTATACATGTGTGTACATTGCATTTAACACCTTTCTTTCTTACATTTAATATACATAAAGTATGCATAAATATATTATAGAATTTTTTTATTTTTTAAAATTCCAAGTCTATGTGAGAACTAATGAATACTGATAAGTTTGACTGATTTAATTATTTATTTATTTTAAAGTATATCCTTATATGAAATAATGTGTCAAAAAAATTTCACGTTTTTGTGTTGCGGATTTTTTCTTCTCATCACTCCACCAAAATCTCAGCAACATTTTACCAACAATGAGAAGAGAGGTGATAATTTGACGATACAATATGAAGCAGGCACGGACTCTACAACAATTTATAGAAACGAAAAAAAAGCACTGCGATACGATATGTATGAAAAATTTGCCAACAATATACAGTACATTCACAGTCATGAAGATAATGATCAAAAATCGATGAACTCTCACACCAATTCGACAAATGTCAATCATAAGGAAAACTCTACGCCACAGGAAGTTTATGAAAATTTGCTTGAAAAAAATAATTCCATGTCGAACAAAGTCTTTGAAAATACCATTAAGGATATTGAACGTAACATCGTCCCATACGAAATGTGCCATAACATTACTTGCATTCAGCTCTGCTGTCCTCTTGGAACAAGTATGGTCAAAGGCACCACATGCGTTTCAGATAAAACTAAATACGAATTTCCGCATGTGTACGAATACACGAACGATTCAATGCAGGACGAGAATAAAAAAGCGGATGAATTGTTTCGGTTTACCGTTTATGATCCGTGCTTGGAAACGCAACGTTTCTTGATAGAACGGAGTCATCAGTACGATTATAAGATTTTCGTAAATGGGTCTATTTATTTATCTTTTTATAAAAAATTATTCAATTCGAAATCATATTGTCTCGTTCATTTCTTAAACTGGGGGACCAAGTTCGAAGTGACTGTCTGTTCAGAAACTTATAATGAAATTTACAGGAACGCGATGAAGTACCAGCCTGAGGTCCGCTGGAGATTTTATACAACAAAGATATATGCCAGCATGTTATTAGTGTCTTTATTATTTTTGTTGCCAATTTTTATAGTATATTCCGTATTGCCAGAACTCCGAAATGTACACGGTTTCATGTTGCGCAATTACAGCTTTGCTTTTTCCGTCACAATTACAGTTAAGGCTCTGAAATTAATTTATTACAAACCGGAAACGATATATCCCGCCTGTATTACACTTGGTAAAGTATATCTAACATTAAACTATATAACTATATACAATCAATGCAGTGTACATGTTTGTCAAGCATAATGCGCATATTCACATTTCAGTTTAATTATTTAATAATTTAATAATTTAAATAGTAATAATTTAAATATTTAATAATTTATTTAATAATTTAAATATTTAATAATTTACTAATTTTAATAATTTAAATTTATTTAAATTTTTTAATAATTTAAATATATAATACTTATTACAGCTATAATACTTATGTTTAATAGTATATTATTTATTATTACATCTGTTATTTTTATTAATTTTTCAGCCTTCCTGGAATATTTCTGTCTTATGTCATGTTACTTTTGGTTATTAGCCATGAGCTTCAATATGTGGCGGACATTCAGGTAAAATGTCCAGAATTTTATATTGTACAAATTTTATTCCTTGACCTTCCTCTCATTTTAATTTGTCTTTACTGGACTGCTTCGTAGTGTTCAACAAAATAAAAATTTTATTAAAATAACGTAAATTTTTAAAAATAAAAATGGCAATATCAAATAATAAGCATTATATATTTAATTTATAAAATATTTGTAAAATATTACAATGTAGTCCAATTCGCAAAAATGGAACAAACTTATTTTGAATGTTTTTTTTTTTACATTATGCAAACTAGATATTTATAACGGGTTGATGTTCTTTTATCTATAAAAAAGAAAATACCACGATAATTTTTTAACATAAATATATTTTTTTGCCTGTAAAAACTAAATAATAATTCTGATTACTTTTCTGTAGAATATTCATGCAAATATATAATAGTTTCTAAATGTTATACAATGTCATATTATTTCTCATTGTGGTAATTAAGTGCCTTGTATCATATTACGTATAAATGCTTTTTAGTTGCATAAAATTAAGTTTACGAGAAAGCCTGCTTGATCAAAGGCAAACATTAATTTTACATTTTCACGTTGAGATTTATTTTATCTATAATTAAATATATGTAAATTGCAGAGGATTCTCTTCGTTACGAAGAAACGTCCGACAATCTGGAAAAAACAGTTTGCTGTATTATGCAATTTTTGCGTACGGTTGTCCATTTATACTTGGCATTGTTTGTGTCGTAGTCGTGGATTTTGTTTCCGAATATATACCAATAAATTTGAGGCCAGAATTCAAAATAGGAAATTGTTGGTACACACAATTCCGTACGTCTCAGATAACTCTATTAATACTACTCATTTTTCAAGCGTATGACACATCGAGCAACGTGAACAATATACAATTTTATGTCATATTATTTTTACAGGTAACGGAGCATTTTTATTGTATTTTTATTTGATCAAAACTGCCTGTGTCATTAGTAGTGTTTGCTTATCGATTTCTGCGGCTCGGAACATCAAACGCTACGAACAGGATACAAACTTTCGTCTGTCAGATTCGGAAAGCAAGCGATATAATGAGAATAAGAAATGGTGAGTAATCTGACATTTTTGTAGCACTGAGTGATAATAGTTTATTATGTTAATGAGATTTATGCAGATATATTTTTGTCAATATCTCTTCCGACAACATCTCATATTCGCTTGATTTGCATTCCAGACGAAAGAAAGAGATGGTTATTTAAAATTAATACAATTTCACTGTGCTCATTCTTTTTCTGTTTTTTCTTCTTTTTGTAATATAATTGTATAACTTATAAGAAAAGGAAGACATTTATTTCTGTAAATTAATAGGATATCGTAATATTTCGAGAAAGTCTGTAATTATCAAAATGTCGCAAATTGTAAAAGTAAAGTTAACGAATATTATTTCGAACATTTGTTTCAAAAAGAAAATTACATTACTTAAGAATTTTTTGAGCAACTATTTTTTTCCTCTTTTTTCCTCTTTTATAATTTATTATTATTTATATATTTATAAATTTAATAATTTAATATATAGATTTTATTATTTTTATTGAAAGATGACCATTTTAATATATATATAATTTTTAATATATATTTGTTTGCAGGTTTAATCTATATATGAAGTTATTTGTCTTGACATTTATCATAATAGCTATGAATTGGTCTTTGCGTACAATGGTTAATACATTGTTGTTTAACAATCGTATTTATTATTATTTATTATTCGTTGCTGCTTCGTTAGAGATATTGCAGAGTTTCTGCACCTTTATCATATTTGTATGGAAAAAGAAGATCAAGATGATATTACTGAAACGATTCGGATTCGGGACAAATGCATCAAGCATTTAACTATCATGTAAGAGGTGTTTATGCAAGGAAAGTCGAGCTCTAGCAAAAAAAAAATATTTTATAAAAAATTGTTAGATTGAACAGAATTCTAATGTTGCAGTGTCTTAAAAAGTGTTTTTTTCACGGATCTTGAATCAACGATTAATCGCAATTTACTATTATCTTTTGTAATTAAAATCTAAAGTAACTTTACAGTGTTATATTTTGATGTTTACGTTTCTTCAGAGAATTTAATTTCAATTTTCACATAGAAAATTTATTTTATTGTTATAAATATTATTGTATCAAATCAATGGTTGTAATTTCGTAAGAAATTGTTTTCAAAAAATAATCTTGTATAAATGTACGCTATAGATATGGTACACTGTGCTGCATTAGGATGATAAAGAAAGATTTAAAATAAATAAATAAAATTTATAAAATATATAAAAGAAAATTAAAATATTCTTTTTTGATTTAATGTGATTCACAAATGAATTACGAATAAATTCGTACACGACCATACTATATATCCATGTTCTACATATATTGAAATCTAGTAATATGTACGATAAATGAATTTAATTTGAAACAAATTTGAAAAAATGTGAATGATATACTAACTTGGCTTGAAAGTTAGCACATCATTTCGTAATATACAAGAATATAAACTTAATGAATGTTTTTTATCAGTATGTTACTTGAAATATTATTAATCATGACAACAAAAAACAGTCTTATAAATAGACATTTGTTATTTATTGCATACAGTACTCTTCACAAGTTTGGTAACACCTTACATTTTACAGTTAAATAATCATATAGCAACGATCTGTCAAATAAAAATGTCACTTATATATTTTATGATTTATTCATACAAAAAATCTGCACGCTTCCATACGATTGTTTAACTGTAAAATATAAGGTGTTTCCATACTTGTGGAGGGTACTGTAATTTTATAATAGAAGAAGCAGACAAACAGTGTGTGTTTGTGTGTGTATGTGTGTGTTGCGTCGTAAACTATCGACGACTCATCATCCTCGATAGTTTCATCTTCTCTCTCGTGAGACACATTTCCTTGTACATTCTTCTCTCCTTTTGGAAAAAGAAGACAAAGCCGGTTATAGTGATATGTTATATTAAATTTAGCGAGATTATTAAAAAAAATCGCGTAATCGTCTACATTAATAGTGCTGGAATAAAATCAGATCAATCTTTCGAGATTTTGTTAAGAGACATAAAGAGGAAAAGATAATTTGAATATATTATATGTGTATAAATTGCATTTTAATACCTTCCTTTCTTACATTTCATATAAAACATAAAGTATACAAAAATTTAATATAGAATTTTTTAATTTTTCAAAATTCCAAATCTATGTGAGAACTAATGAATACTGATAAATTGGACTGATTTAATTATTTATTGATTTTAAAGTATATCCTTATGTGAAATAATGTGTCAAAAAAATTTCACGTTTTTGTGTTGCGGATTTTTTCTCCTCATTACTTTACCAAAATCTCAGCAAAATTTTATCAACAATGAGAAGAGAGGTGATAATTTGACGATGCAATATAAAGCAGACACGGATTCCACAACAATTTACAGCGACGAAATAAAAGCACCGCGATATAATATGCGTGAAAAGCATGCCAACAACACACAATACGTTCACAATCATAAGGATGATGATCAAATACCGATAAACTCGACATATGTCAATCATAAAGAAAACTCTACGTCTCAGGAAGTTTATAAAAATCTGCTTGAAAAAAATGATTCCATGTCGAATAAAGTTTTTGAAAATTTCACTAAGGATAGTGATGAACGTAACATCGTTCCATACGAAATGTGCCATGATACTACTTGCATTCTGCTCTGCTGTCCTCTTGGCAATCGCATGAGTATGCTTAACAGGAAATGCATTTCCGAAGAAATAAAATCCGTTTTTCCGAATGTCTACGGATACACGAACGATTCGATGCAGAGCGAAAATAAGAGAGTGGACGAATTTTTTCAGTTAGCCGTCCACGATTCGTGTCAGGGAACAAATAGTTATATAGCTCCCTTTGATCTTAAGAACGATTACAAGATTTTTGCCAATAGTTCTATTTATTTATCTTATTTTCAAACATTTGTCAAATCGACATCATATTGTCTCGTCATATATTTGGAAAGAGAGGATGATAAGTTCGAGGTAAATTTCTGTTTAGAAACTGTAGATGAAATCAAGAAATCATTAGTGTGGTCAACTGAGGTCCGCACAAGATTGATTACAACAGTCATATACGTGAGCTTCCGTGTAATGTCCTCACTACTTTTGATGTCAATATTTCTGGTGTACTCCATATTGCCAGAGCTCCGAAATGTACACGGCTTCATGTTACGCAATTACAGCGGTGCCTTATCCATCGCGTACACATGTATGGTTATCAATATGACTACGGGGCAAGCGAATGTACTGTATCCCATCTGGATTGCAATTGGTACGGTATATCTAATTATATACCCATACTGCACAAAATATTATAAATGTTTTTAAAAAATACTTTTAAATATTTTTTTCTGTAAAATATTGCATAAAACATTTTTAAATGATTTTAGGAATATTTTAAAACACTTTTAAAAATATTTTTAAAAGTGTTCCTCTTTGTTGCTCAGATAATATTTTCTTAAATATTTGATACATATTTTTGAAATATTAATTTAAATCTATATCCAAAAATATTTCTGAAAATATTTTTTAAACATGAAAAAGTGGACATAGAAACATTTTAGAAATATTTTCGAGAATTATTTTATCTTTTAAAAAATATTATTAAAAGATTTTAAAAATATGTTATGCTGTATGGGTACTTATATGCAATTAATGCTGCGTTTGTCAGGCATAATATATATTCGCATATTAATTAATTTTTTTAATAATTTGAATATATAATTTGGTTAATATTTTAAAAATGATTAATAATAAATTAAATTGAGATTTAGATGAACTTAATATATAACTAATATCTGAGTTTGCTTTAGTATATATATTCTGTTTTAGAATTTTGCAGAGTTGCCTTGAAATTTAATTTAATATCAATAATATCAGTATTCATTAAATTTTATTAAGATTATTAAATTTATAAATTATATTAAAATAAATTAAATAAAATTTTATTAAATTTTATTAAGATTAAGATATTATTAATTATTACAGGCTTTGTATTTATTTATGTTTACAGCCTTCGTTAAATGTTTCTGTTTTATGTCGGGTTACTTCTGGCTAAGTGCCATGAGCTTTAATTTGTGGCGGACATTCAGGTAAATAGTCAAGTATTTTATGTTGTACTTTATTTATCTTGTTCAAAAATCTGGAAATAATAGAGAGTTAAATTATAATTTGGAATAAATAGTCGTTTTTTTGAGATGTCTATTACATAAAAATTTATAGACGCAGTTATATAGTTTCTATTTTAAAATAAGATAAATAAACCTTAATATACACTTAATTATACACTTAATTTATAAAATATTTATAAAATATTTCAACGCGGTCTAATAATTCGCGATGTAATGTAACAAACTTGCTTGAATTTTTTAAATTTTATATAAACCTAATATTTATATCGCTTTGATCTCTTTTCTTTTTTTATGTATAAAATAAGGCAATACACAATTTTTTAATATACATATACACTTTTTGTCAAAAATTCGTTTCTGAAAAGCAAATAAAATTTAGACTACTTTTGTCTGTAGAACATTTATGTAAATATATAATAAATATTAAATATTATAAAATGTTATACTATTTCTCTAATAATTGAGTGTTGTGTTTCGTATGTCGAATTATGTAAATGTATGTTTATAGTTGCATAGAATATGTTTTTGTGAAAGCGTCGATCAAACACAAATACTAATTTAATCCTTTTACATTGAGATTTCTTTCATCTATAATTAAATATGACATGTAAATTGCAGAGGATTCTCTTCCTTACGAAGAAACGTCAGACAATCAGGGAAAAAAAAGTTGATGTATTATGTGACTTTTGCGTACGGTTGTTCATTTATAGTTGCTGTTATTTGTGTCATCATGGATTTTATTTCTCCATATGTATCAAAAATTATGCAACCTCAATTTCAATTAGGATTTTGCTGTTTCCATGGTAAATAAATGGTCTCAAATAATTCTACTGGTGCTAATGCATTTATAATATAGTGTAAGAAACAATATAAAAATTTATTATTACATCAAATTTACAGACAATGACACATTTGTGTTGTATTATTACGGGCTCAAAAGTGTCTGTGTCATTAGTAGCGTTTGCTTATCCATTTCTACGGTACTGAACATAAAACGCTTCGAAAAGGATACAAGTCTTCGTCTAACAGATTCGGAAAGCAAGTGCTATAATGACAATAAAAAATGGTGCGTATTCTGACATTTTTGCGTCGCTGTGTAATAATTAATTTTTTATTTTATTAATGAGATTTATGCAGATATATTTTTGTCAATATCTTTTCTGACAACATTAAATATTCTATTGATCCGCATTCCAGATAAAAGAGAGAAATGATTTTCTTCTCTTTTATATAATTACCTAATTATAAAAGAAAAAAAATCTTTCTGTGACTTAAATCGTGTTTTTACGAGAAAGTCTCTAATTCCCGAAATGTGGCAAATTATACGTGAGAATGAAGTTAATGATTATATTTTCTTCATAAAGAAAATTACATTTTAAAGAAGTTCTTTTAACGACTATTTCTCTTTTTTTTTTATAGGCTTGTAATCTATTTAATTTTTTTTTCTTAAATAATTAAAGTATATTTGCAGGTTTAATTTATATCTAAAGTTATTCGTCATGCAGTTTCTCGTGATGGGCACACGTTGGTCTTTGGTTGCAATGTCACGGTTGTCTGGAAATTTACTCAATTATTACATTACTTTTATGATTAATTTGTTGGAGATTGTGCAGAATTTCTGCATCTTTATTATATTTGTATGGAAAAAAAAGATTAAGATGATGTTACTGAAACGATTCTGATGAAAGATGAATAATGCAATAACATCGAGCACTTGATTACCACGAACTGTCATGCAAACAGTATACATATTATTTAATCAAATCCATGAATAAACATAAATTATTATCCCATAAATAATTTTTAAAAAAATAATCTTGTGAAAGCTATACTGTGTATTAATAGTGATACGTGTGAAACTTTGATATATGTATAAAAAAATTATAAATTTAACTTATAAGTTTAAAAAACACATGTAATACAACTTATACATAAAATACTAAATTAACGAGAAAAGTGTCGTTTTTTGTAATTAATGTAAAATTAACATGATCATTAAATTATTTTTGCATGCAATGAAAACTGTAAAAGCATATTTAATCTTCAACAAATTTAAACTTTAAGCATTAAAGGAAAAGTATAAAAAAATTTTCTTTTCTCTAGTTTTTTTACGTAATTATCATTTTGTGTCGGTATCTTACATCCCTTTATTAATTATTATTTTTATCTAATAATTGAATTAATATAGATACCTTATATCCCTATTTGTACTTTTTTAATTGTAAGAATAAAATCAAAGATTACAAATTCTATTTAATTAAAATATTGATATCGCTGATGTAAATATTCTCTACTGAAAATAGTTATACATTACTCGGGATTGGATTTCAAACATTCCGCCCTTGAAACCATAGACCTTTTATAAGTATGAAGTGGGAATACATAAAGCAGACCTTCTCCGAAGAGTGTTAGAGGAAACGAAATATTTCTTTTTTGGACCAATCGTATTTCGATACACCTGGAAAAAGAGAAAATACTCTCTCTCTCTTTCTATCGAAAAATTCGATTGGTGCAAAAGAGAAGTGGTATGTTTCCTTCTTCAACCCCCTCTGGAAAAGGTTCGCTTTATGTATTGCCGGTCGATCTCGAAGGTCTATGGCCGAAGTTTCTACCTCAAACGTTTCTTCGGGACGAAAACAGAGGAAGTCGCAACCGCGGTCGAGCATATGTTTAACACGTGGTTCACCAAAATGAAAAGTCATGGATTCGGCGCGGCGAAATATTTTGACGATTGCTCTTGAGTGACACAAGTCTTGTGATGCTGTGGTAAATTGGACGCCCCCGTGATTCGAGCGAAGATCCGAGCAAGGTATTCCCGGCTTCTCAGCTATTCAGGTAGAACGGGCGCAAATTGGAGTGAGGAATCTAGAAAGGTTCCTTACAGGTAAGAGTGCATTCTCGTGTGGTTTTTAGCATAAAGCGATGGGTTTAACGCCGTTTATTATCGCAGATTTATTCCTCTTCGCGTATGACAATTCGATCATGTAATTTCGCCGATTTGTCATCCTACGGAATCTGGCCGGTTGAATTTCATGAATTAAGTCCGTCTTATTTTTTTCTATAAAAGATCGAACGTATATATAAACGACGATAAGGGAAAATGTAACATCTTGATCAAGCAATTCATTTTCACTGAGAAGAAGGAAAGGAAAGAAACTATTTTTTTTTGTTTGAGCACAAATTACACGGTTACAGGTTTTCCAGCCCCCGAGCTGTTGAGGAAGATACCAAATTTCTTAACTGATTACATAAAGATCGACGCGGACGTATTTGATCAGGGTGCAGCCTCTCGATCCTGACGAGAAGTTTGGCGGTATAGTTTCATTGCGCACTCTAAGTTAGTTATTTATTATTTTAGTAATTAATGTTCAATAGTTAATTTTTTTTTTTATTTTTTATACTCGTCTCTTTTTAAATTTAGCAGCTACGTGTTTTCGTATTTTGTCTTGTATTTATCTCAAAGTAGAAATTGTAAGTAATTTATGATATTTTTTGCTTGTGACACTTTGTTAGTATATGATATAAATAAATTAAATATGTGTCCTTCTAGTATTGTTATCGATTGATTCTCAGTTCAAATATATCTTTACAAATTACATAAAATCTATTTACCTGTTATGTTCCATATTTATTTACAATATAGGTATTTTCGTTTCTTAAACGTTTCTTCTTCTTGCCAACACATTCCATATATAATATTTTTATGACGTATGATGTTTGCGCGATTTGTAATTAAAGAATCATCTTTCCGATTGTATTGGTAAACTGTTGAAATTTAGACGAATTATTTAATAATTAATTATTTAATAATTATAATTAATCATCAATCATTTAAATTAATCATTTCATGTACCTGTAATAAAGTACAAATCATTGGTGAATATTGTATATGTATTTCACATACCACTATATATATATTACACATTTAGATATTAATATTAATTTTTTTCTATCAATCTTAAAATATATTAATAGGAGATAATCTCTGAAAGATCAAAGATATTATTAAATTGTTTCTATATTTAATAATCTAAAATTATAACATATATATTTTTACAATGTTAATATATTTTGTGTGTGTATATGTGTTTGTGTGTGTAAGTATCTGATTGAGTAATAAAGAAAGAATATTATAAAAAGAAAATTTTATAAATACAATTCATTTTTTAAAATCAAAATTTACATGAAATTTAAAAACCAATTTATTGAATTTTAAATTGTCTGATATATAGGTACATAAATTTATTAACTTTTAAAGCTCGTTACAATTATTTCATGTAATATTTTCTTATGCTCTATTTTATTTATTAATAATATTTTTTAATTGCTTACTCTAGCTATTAATTTTCTATTACTTATTTATTTGATTCATAATTAATTATACATATTAAAGAAAAAATATATATTTGATTTCTGACTGTAACTACATTTCTGTTACATACTTATTTAATAATTTTGTTTTAAAACTTGTACATATTAGACAGGCCTATTACAAGTTCAAAATGTGGGACTATCGTATGGGCCCAAAAGTAAAGATAGATTTGTTTGTTCCTAAAGTTGAAGAACTAATTAAAGGTAAATATAATATATATATATTTTTAATTTAAATCATAAAATACGACGATTTTATTTATCACATATATATTGTCATGTATTTAGTTCTACAAGAAGGACTTAAGCAGCATTTTAAAGAGGTTTCTGTCGAATGGATGGTTTGTCCTGACCTGACACAAGAACCTTTTAAACTTGCGGCACCAGGTAAATAAAATTTAGTATGTTTTCAAATACACGCGTATACGAAGACAAACAAAATTTTTAAATATTTTTTTAAAACAGCAAAATTAATAAGATTCTCTCTCTTTTTCTTTTTTTTTTTTGTAAAGTATGTTATATAGAATTTACATGATATCCAACAATATATAGGGTGTACTATTTTAATGCCTCAGACAAATATAAAAAATATAGAAGATGCGGAAAACATTTCATACAAAAATTGTAGAGTTTCGAGAGACACATCTTGTAATCTTTTCTTCAGTTTTAAAAATCTTTTTTTTTTATATTATTAGATTAGAATAATTTCCTAAATATTGCACTAAAATGAAACGTTTATTTACAGGAATATGTGGCGATCCTATGCTTGTGGAACTTGGTTGCATATCGTATTTGTTTCCACGACCGTACAAGAATATGTATAGTATGAAAAAAGTCTTAGAAAATATTAATTATAACAAGCACAAAACTATGTCTATTATTGGAACAACTATTGCTCCACGAGAGTCAGATGCGCAACTAGGCGAAGTATATACATATACATACATACATACATACATACATATATATATATATATATATATATATATATATATTTGATTCAAATTTTTATGCAAACTCAAATAAAATCATTGTTGTTTTAGTATGTCTTTAGTTTTCACTTCTGCTTATTTATCATTACTTTTAATTTTATTTCTGCTTTCAATCTGTTAATATTTTATTATTTATCATAAACGCTATTTTTGTACAGCTCCTTATGAACGCTTCATTATTACAAATGACTGAAAACTTAATGGAAGTTAAAAACCAAAGCTGTATGACATTTCAAGATGAAAAAACGAAAAACTCTAAGATAGAATATGTAAATGATACTAATCTAAAGTGCTATCCATATGGCAGTTTTTTTATTAGCAAAGGTACACGGGAAAAAGTTCTCAAAGTTCATGTTAAAAAACGCATCAGCAATACCAGTTTTGTAGAAGCGTTGCAATCTATACTTGATCTTAAATATTCTGATGGTGGTCAGTCGAAACAATTAGTTGGTAAGAAAGAATATAATATTATATTAACGTATAACTTTAAAAGCATAGAAATGCTTTACCATTGAATTATAATTTATAAGTTGTAAATATGTCAACCAGATCACAAAAAAATAAGAAAATGCCAAATACTAAAAAAAATAAGAATTATTATTGTACTCTATTTTATTATTGTCGAAAGATTTCTCTCTTTTGTAGTATTTAAAAAAACATCTAAAATTAATAATACTATAACTCTTTTATTCCAACTCATTTTTTAGTAATATTTTGTAATGTGTAAGCTTTTCACAAACGCATATTCTTATTCCATTAAAAGCCAATAAAAATGACGAGTTTATTTGCATACAATAGTATTTCATTTTAATAAAACAGTTTATTTTATTTAAAAATGTTAACTGTTGAGTTTTAACAATTTTTAATAATTTACTTGTCATTTCGTATATAAAAAAATATTAAAGAACAAAATTTTTCACTATTTAATGCTATTTTGATTTTTTTATGCATTTGTAATCGCATATTTCAAATATTGTACATATATGTTAAATATTTAATTGTTTTGATAATTTTTAAATATATGCAAAAGCATAAAATATGACTTTTATCTTTTTATATACAAATTCTATCTAAAGAATAATATATTTGAGATTGTGTTTTCTCGTTGGAAAAGAATTAACATAAAAGTACAATAATTAACCGCTTTTATATCCAGTTCATTTAATAGCAAATAAATTTGTTTGTATTTTGGTTTCGTAGGTTTAGGCGGAACATTTCTGGTGCGAAATACAAGAGCAAAACATCATGTTTTGCCATATTCTTGGGATGCTCGGTTATATTCGTCGAAAGATGTTCGTAATTGGCTTCATTATTTTGAATTGAATACTCCTTTAGTGGCAATGGGCACACTTGTTAGCAATCCCGATATTTATACAAATCTCTGTCATACGACTGTAGGACAGGTAATCATCAATGTTTAAAAATTAATTATGTACTTCGTAAAATATTTATGCCTAAGAATTAAGAACTAGATACTTCTTAAAATATTTATATTTTTATATATTTTATATATTTTATATATTTTATATATTTTTATATATTTTTATATATTTATATTTTTTGTTTTTTCAGTATTATGACATCCCTAAAAGTCGTTTTCATGCTGTTTCCCGAAGTGGAGCAGCAGGTGGATACTTCTACAAAGCTGTTGAATTATTTGATACAGCAGAATATGTGGGATACTTTCAGCTTGCGAATATATTGTATCATATAGATCCAAGTGTTAAAAGTCAATACTACCAACACTTTGCCGATATATTGACACGCTAATAGAAAAATTGCACATTATTTGCACTCGAGTTTAATTAAAACAGTATTGCAGCAATTCGATTATTATATTGTTTTTATATTATTGTACATTTTCATAATTTTAGTATTTCCTATTTTTTTTATATATATCTTATACATTTTTTTCTTCTTTATTTTACTTTTCTCATTTATTACTTTTTCCATCTCTTTCTCATTTATTACTTTTTCCATCTCTTTCTCATTTATTACTTTTTCCATCTCTTTCTCATTTATTACTTTTTTATGTGCTTCTATAAGTTTTTTGTATAATTAATTTAAAATTTTTATGTTTTATTATACAAAACATTTTATATTAATAAATTGTAAAGATTATTTATTCAGTTGCATTTTATAAAGTATATCAATTAAATACTACGAAAAAAATAATTATAATATTAATACAAATAAAAATGTGAAAATAATAAAATACCTATCTACCGCTATTTAATGTTATAATCTATTATTGTATTATTGTATTCATTTATTTCTATTTTAATTATAATTTAAATGTTTTTTGAAGAATTGCTGAAATAAAGAATTATAAATATTAATTATTAAATCATTTATTTATCATTTCAAATATTACCATTATTATAAATATTCTATTCAATACTTAATTCTTGCTGTTAAACATAAAATATTAAATATGAAATGATGTTAAATATACGTAAATTTAACAAAATAAAATCTAGAATAGTATCTCTATCGCACTGCATCATTACTTGATTAAATTGATAACTTAGAATAAAAAATATTATACATATGTAAATATATAGAATAAAATAATATTAATATAAATAAAATATTTTATTCAATATTTTATAATATTTATATTTTATATATATGTAATTTTTTTGAAAACATTTTTCTCAATAGCACAAATATTGGAAAAATGTACTACATTTTTATAACAAATTTTTATGATCTTATTGTATATATTATCTTTAAATCTAATAATTGAAATATTTGATAGGAGTTATGTTAAATGTAACATAGATTATCATTTATTAATACTTTAATTCAGTTCTATTGGTGATGTTGCATGTTGCCAATGTGAGAAATAACTAAAATGAATTACTACGTGAAAATAGTTTAATTAGTCACATATTGAAAAAAATCGTAACATTTATTTCATTTAAATTTAAATCAAGAATGATTGAGATAATGTCGACACTTTACAGTTCACACTTATTAACCTTGATTTGCTTTATGGAAAAAGTACATCGAAAGGCTCGATTGGCTTGAAAAAAATTCTTCGAAATAACGTAGCCTGAAAATTAATTGAAAATTAATAAATTGTATTAAAAAGGATTTGATACGTATTCTAGCAGTTTTGCTAATTACAGAAATAATAATTATGCGTGCATTTTCGAGACAAATGAGAAAAGAATATCTAACGTGAGAAACATATGCCTGATTATGCGAGGAAATGCGGAAATGCTAGTCATTGATGACATTGTGGAAAAACCAGCAGGCTATTTATTATTTTAAATTTATGCGCGTATATTTATTACATTCACAAGGTGAACAAGAAAAATTGTCGATAAACTCTATAAACGATAGCTTGATCGATTCAGTAGTGAAATAAACGGTTGTCTGTTTCTTTAGATATTAATCTTGAGGTAGTCACGGTGTTAAAAATGAGACATTATAAAGATCACATGGATTACATTTATTATCTATCATCTATTTCTATAAAACAAAAATAAAGGTATATATATCATAACAAATTAAAATATAAAGATACATATTATGAGCATATTATTTAGAATAAACTTATTAATCAATTAACTAATATATTTAATAAATTAACTAAAAAAAAAAAATAATTACAGTATCAATATTAGCATAAATATGAATATAAAAATAATATAGTAAAATATTCCTTCTGTGTGGTATATAAACGTAATTTGAATTATTCTATTAATGAGAATTTATGATTTTTAATGAATAATATATATTTCTAGAATTATAAATAATTTGTAATACGTTTCTGCTTGTAATACTTGGTTCGTATAATATAAATAAATTGAATATTTGTCCATCTATCATTGTTATCGATTGATTTTTAGTTAGAATTTTTAGAAATTATTATGAAATAATATTTACCATGTGTTTATTTGTTATGTCTCGTATATTTGTTTATACATTATATATATTTTTGTTATGTCTTAAGTAGGACTTTTTCTTGACACAACATTTTATAATTTTCATATCATGTTGATGTCCTGGCGCGACCTGAGAATCATCTTTTTGAGATATTAGCAAATTGTTAAAATTTAAACAAATTACAACTAATCATCAGTCATTTACATTAATCATTTCACGTACTTATAATAAAGTACGAAACATTGGTAAGTGATATATTACATATTTTAATATAAAACTTCTCTTTTGATCAATCTTATAAAATATATTGACAAGATATTTTTAAAAAATTATAAAAATTATTTTTTATATTTAATAATCTGCAATTAATATATTTTTAATTTATTATTAATATATAACATTTTATGTGTATAAATAATATATAATTGCGTAAAGAAATTTAAGAATTTCGTAAGAATTTAATAACGAAAATTTTTGTAAATAAACTATTCATTTCTTAAAAACAAAATTTCCATAAAATTTAAATTCTAAATTGTCTGATATAAATATATAGATATGTAGATTTATTTATTTAATAACTTCATGTTTTATAAACTTGTGCAGTCCTAGTACAAGTTTCTGATGTCGGACATTTTTTGCTTAAAGAAGACACATTTGTTCGAACCTGAAAATGAGGAACTAGCAAAAGGTAGATATAATATACATGCATTCGTTATTTAAATCATAAGACGATATATTAATCACATATATATTTTCATGTACTAAGTTCTACAAGATGGATTTAGACAGCATTTCGTAGAGGCTACAGTCGAATGGGTCATGTGTCCTGATCTGACAGAAGAACCTTTTAATCTTTCAGTAGAAGGTAAATAAAATTTATATTTTGTAAAATTTACACGGTATCTAATAAAAAAAATATATATATATATATCTAATAAAAAAAATATATGTAGACACACAGATATATCAAGCAACAATCTGTACTTTCATTGTCTTTATGGATTTTGACAAAATTTAAGAATTTGTTTTTTGAAACTTTAAATGCAAGAAAACTTTTTTTATATTATTAGATTAGAATAATCTCCTAAATATTGCACTAACAATAAGATGAAACGTTTATTTACAGGAATATGTGGCAATCCTGTACTTCTGGAATTCGGTTGCATATCGTATTTGTTTCCACGACCGTACAAGAGTATGTATGATATCAACACATTCTTAAAAGATATTTATGGGAACTACGAACTTATCTCCATTATTGGAGCAAGTGTTAGTCAACGAGAGTCAAATGCGCAACTAGGCGAAGTATAGTATATTATTGAAACTTTAAAATCCTGCGCACAATAAAGAAATTAATATTTAATATTAAGAATAGGAATTATATGAAAATAATAAAATCGGAAAAACTGATCCAAATACAAATTTGGGTATAAAGGATTTTCGAATTTGTATTTTTATATATCAAAGTTTTTTTTCGATTTTATTATTTTAAAATAATTCTTGTTTCTCTAAAATATTTCACATTTATTCCTAATATTTTCTTTATTGTGTACAGATCTTTATACGAATCAAATATAATTAGACATTGCTTTTTATTGCTGTCTAATTCTAGTTTCTATTTTTTTATTTCTCATTAATTTTAATTTTATTTCTGTATTAAATCTGTCAAAATTTTATTGTTTTATACTTATTTTTCATAAACTCTATTTTTGTATAGCTCGCTGTGAATGCATCAATAATACAGCTACCCAATATGCCACCAATAACTATAAATCAAAGCTATCTGGCATATCAAAATAAACGAACGAAAAAATGTGCATTAGAAACAATAATTGATTCCAATATACCATGCTACCCATATGGCAGCTTTTTTGTCTGTAAAGGTAGACGGGAAAATGTTCTCAAAGTGCAAACTAAAAAACGCCTTAGCAATTTTAGTTTTTTAGATGTATTGAAGTCTACACTTGATGTTAAATATTCTGATGATCAATCGAAACAATTAGTCGGTAAGAAAGAATAAAATCGAATATATAGATTTAGAAAAGAAAACATACAAATACTTTTACCGTTGAATTTTATAAACTGTACTTAGATATGTCGACTAAATCACAAAAATAAGAAAATGCCAAAAACTAAAAATAGGAAATATTATATGGCATTCTATTTATTATCTTATCTAGGTCCATTCTATGAAATTAAGCAATTCTTTATAAAATTGTTCGGTTTAATTTTTCGCAATATTTTTAAATGTATTTTTGAAAATATATTTCTTACAAACGTATATTTTTCTTATTGCATTAAAAAATAATAAAATTGATGAGTTTATCTGCATACAATGAATTTTGTTCATTTTATTAAAAAATGACAACTATTGAGTTTGAATAAATTTAAATAATAGTCACTTTGTATATGAAAAAGACATTAGCAAATAAAATTTTGAATTATTTAATGCATTTTTTAATCGCATATTTTATAACAATTATCATAGTTTTAAAATCATTGGTATAAAAAATTTAATTGTATGATTTAAATGTATATATCAAGTTATATTTAGGTGTTTCTATTTTTAAATATATACAAAAAGACTTATGAAAAATATGTATCTTTTATCTTTCTCTATATACGAATCTTAGACTAAAGACTTGAACTTGACTAAACACTTGAAATTGTTTTCTTGTTGGGAAAAAATTACATAGAGGTAGAATATAATTAAGCCGAATTTTCTATATTTAGTTTATTTAATAACAAATTACAAATAATTTTTTTGTATTTTGGTTTCGTAGGTTTAGGTGGAATATTTATGGTAAGAAAAGCAAGAGTGAAACACCATGTTTTGCCATATTCTTGGGATGCTCGGTTATCATCGACAGCAGATGTTTATAATTTTCTTCATTATTTTGATATAAATGCTCCTTTGATAGCAATGGGCACACTTGTTAGTAATAACAAAATTTATACGGATATTTGTCGAGATTCTGTAGGAGAGGTAATCGTCAATGCATAAGAATTAAAAGCTATTTACTTTGTAAAATATTCATAAGTTTTATTTTTCCAGGAATATGACATCCCTAAAAGTCGTTTTCACACTTTTTCCTATACAAAAAAAGTAGGCGGACATTTTTACAGGGATGTTGGATCAAATAACACAGTAGAATATTTGGGATACTTTCAGCCTGCGAGTGTATTGTATCATCTTGATCCACAAGTTAAAAATGAGAGTTTCCGAAACTTTGTCGATATGACATAATGCTAATACAAAAATCGTTTATCATTTGCACTCGACTAAAACAGTATTAGTGATTTGATTATTGTATTGTTTCCTATATTTTATTTTATTTCTTTTTTGAAAACTTTAGTTGTATTTTTTATTCTTTTTTGATACTTTTTTATATATTTTTTTATTTATTTAATTTTTTCATTATTTCGTCCAATTTATTAGCTATAAGTTTTTTATATCATTAATTTTAAAAATGTTTACATTTTATTAATATAAAATACACTTTGTACTAATAAAATGTAAAGATTATTTATTTATTTGCCACTTATAAAGTAAATTAATTAATTAATTAAAATTAATTCATTATATAATTAATACAGTAAAATAATAATTACGATATTACTAAAAATGTAAAAATAAAATGCATCTACTCTTATTTAAATGTTATATTATTGTCTTTATTTATTTTTATTATAACTATATTTTATATGTTTTTTTAAAACTTTTATAATTGACACTTGATCTTGATTTGCTTCGTAGGAATAAAAGAAATATATTGAAAGATTTGATTGTTTTAAACAATTTTTTTAAATAACAATTGTTTAAATAAAAATATATTGTATATTAAAAAGTGTATAATATACATACTTTAGCAGTTTCGCTAATTACGTTAATATTGAAATTATACGTACATTATGATAATTTTATGATAGCAAGCAATCATATTTTATGGCAGCAAATAATTACAATTATATAAAAATATTCTATTTATAAGTTTTTTATTACAGTCTTTAATAGAACAATAAAATAGTTCATATTTATGTACTATAATATTATTATACAATAATTATAATAATTATAATAATGTCATTCAGTTCTACAGCAGCCTTGCAAAGCGTATAATAAAAATTTACTATATAAATAACATTAATAATTTTAAAAATTTGAAAAATAAACATATATCTTTTAGACAGTAAACTACATGAAAAAAAATTTCTAAATAAAATAATGAATAAAATTTATTAAATAATAATAAAGATCGAAAAAAATAAGTTTTCTATGTAAAATGCACTAAGCATGTTAAAGATCCAACTAAAAAATCAATGTTTAATACTATAAAGTTATACTTGATTAGAAAATTATAAGACTATACTTGCTGCTTAAATTGCAGACTTTTCGTGTGACATTTCTGTCTACAAGAACTAGTCTTTTTTTGTGTAAATATCGACGATGTTGAATTCGTTCCGGATTGTCCTTTTAGAAGCAGATCGAGTCGCTTCCATAATTTTTGTTTAATCTTCTTTTTCCACACAAGTATGATAAAGGTGCAGAGGTTCTGTATAACGTCCATCAAATTAATAGCATGCAAGATATAATTTGATTTATCTTCAAAGATAATTAACGCTGTCTTCATAATCCATTTTATGCCCATTATAATAAATTGCATGATAAATAGTTTTAAATACAGATTGAACCTGCAATTATATATAGATATATTTTCAAAAGATGATTAAGACGTTCTTTAACAAGAAGAAATATAAATATGATCATTAATTTTATTCTCGTTAGTTGTTGCATTTTGAGAACTGTAAATTTTTCAAAAAAATTAAGATTTACAGCAATGTGTTTTTTAGATTATGTGATTAAAAGGGAGAAAGAAGAGCAAAAAGAAAAAAAGAATATGCAGAAAAGATGTTATTTCTCTAAATAATCATCTCTTTCTTTTATCAGAAATACAAACCGATCGATTATGATTATATGATACTATTAATAGAGATATTAGCAAAAATATATCTGCATAAATCTCATTAACAAAATACAAGATTATCACATAAATATTAAAAAATATTTAATTACAGACCATTTTTTATTGTTATTATAGTGCTTGCTTTCCGAATCTGTCAGATGAATGCTTGTATCCTTGTCGTAGTGTGCAATTTTCAGTCCCGTAGAAATGGATAAATAAATGCTACTAATAACACAAATACTTTTGAATCCGTAATAATACAATGCTAACGTTTCCTTCTCTGCAAGTATATTTTAAAAATTTGTATATTATTTCTTATAGTATATTAAATTGCAGTAGCATTATTAAAGTTATCTATTAGAGATATTTACTTACCGGCGAACCAACAATTTCCCGCGCGAAATTTAGGTCGCAAAATTTGCGGCAAATCTTCGGAAACAAAATCCATGATAATACAAGCAACAGCGAAGATAAAAGAAAAACCCCACGCAAAGATCGCATAAAACATCAATTTCTTTTTTTCTCGTTGTCTGTTTTTTTGTGAACAAATTTTTCTGGAAAGAGCACTTTACATATCATATTTAGGCATAAAGTAAATCATAATATAAATGCATAACATATTACATAATTAACATAAATGCGTTAAAATATTGTTTGTTTTTCTGGAACAGTCATATTCTACACAACTACAAAAGTAATTTAATAATTTAATATTTTTAGTAATTTAATAAAGTGTCATATAATTCTGTATTTTTAATTCTTTTTTAACTTTTTTTATCGATATATAAAATATAAAATACGTTTATATATTGCAAAAAATTATATTGACGTCTCGTGCGTTATATATTTAATCTGAAAAGCAAATTAAAGAAAACATTATATATAATATGGAATATTTGACAACTTACCTAAATGTACACCACATGTCAAAACTCATCACAGTTAACCAGAGGGTGCTTGCCAAAAAACTGTAGTAGGTGAAGAAGGCTAAATAAATGAAATAAACAACAAATTGTCTGCACTAAAATTTTATAGCAAAAATAATATATTGAATAAAAACATGCCGATATTAAATTAAATAATATTTCGATTCAAGACATATGCAAAATTCTGAGAGAAATATATGTCAAAGTCACGCCAAAAATTTAAACTATTATATTAATTCTTGATTTTTAGATTTAAAAAATTATATATATTAGAAAATTATATTAATTATATTTTTATGTTATTAAATTTTATAATTAATAAATTTAAAAAAATTTTGAGAATCTAAAGATATATTTTGGAATAATTAGATAATCTAATCGAACTTATCGTTAGTGTATTTTATTTGTAAAATCGTTTAAAAATATTTCTTAAAAAATAAAATAATTCTTAAAAATATTTTTAAAATGTTTCTATGTCAACTTTTTTATGTTTAAAAAATATTTTTGAATATAGATTTAAACTAATATTTCAAAAATATCATATGTATCAAATATTTAAGAAAATATTATTATTGTAATTGCATATGTATATATAGTTATATAATTTGCATATACTGTACCGATTGTAATACAGACGGAATACTGTACAGCCTCCGCATTGATTAGAAAATTTACAATCCACATTACGTATGCGATGAACAAGGCACCGCTATAATTGCGCAAGATGAAGCCAAATGCGTTTCGGAGCTCTGGCAGTATGGAATATACCAGAATTATGAGCAGCAAAAATAATATACACATTATATTAGGAGTTGTACATATTAGTATGTCATTAATTGACAAAATTTTATTATTAGTTGTCGCACTAAAACTACCGTCGAAAGGAACAAATGAGGTCTTGGAACAAATTATCACTTTGACTTTATCTTCGTCCACGACGGCGAGACAATATGACGTTGATTTGTCGAATATTTTATAATGAGGTAAATAGAGAGAGCCGTTGTCAAAAATCATGAAATTATAACTTTCGTATAAGTGATGATTTTTCTGACATGAATCGTAGACGACCAGCCGAAACAATTCGTCCAAATTCTTATTTTTGCTCTGCAACGAATCGCTCAAATTCGTGTATCCGTAAAAATTCGGGAAGAAGTATTTCCTTTTTTCAGAGATGTATTTGTTGTCAATCAGGCGATCGCCAAGGGAACAGCAGAATGCAATGCAAGTAAAATTCTCGCATATTTCGTACGGAACAATGTTACTTTTATTGAAATTTCGAAAGAACTCGTGCAACATCGAATCGTTTTTGTCTTCAATTCTCTTCAAGTTTTCATAAACTTCTTGTAATGTGAAGTTTCTTTCATGCTTGGCATTTATAAAATATATGCGAGATTCCATAGGTATTTGCTTGTCATCCTTATGTTTTTGTATGAAATGCGTGTCCGATTTATATTTATACTGTATTGAATCATCATCTTCGTCATCGTTACTTGTGGAAGTATTAATAGATGCAAACTGCATATTGTCGTATTGCATATTATTGATAAACTTTTTGCACAAATCATATCGCATCTGTTCTATTTTGTCGCCATATTTTGTCGTAGAATTTAATTCGTCCAGCTCGTATCGTATCATCAAATTGTCATCTGTCTCTTCGTTGTTTATGACTTTTCTCTGAGTTTTCGACGATATCACGAGAAGAAGAAGCACGCAACACCAAAATGCGAAAGTTTTTCCACACATCGTCCACAGTTTGACGCGTCGAATTTATATTCGGAAAAAATGTATTTGATTCTTTTTACGGAAAATTCATAGTCAGATGTTCGACCGCAGCGATGTAAACCACGACACTAATATTGTTAATTCGCGACGGTTTGATGTGACAATTTAGTTTTATCCTACTCCTCGAGATTAAAAAAGTTGTTTTCGTAGGATATTTTCACGAATGTATGTTAGAAGAGAATTTATGCAGATAGAATAGCACTTCATAAAATAAGTCAGGACCAAAAAGCCGACACAGAAGACTGCCGTTAAGTGTTTTAATTTTATGTATTTTTAGCACGTATATAAATGACATGCGTGAATGCTTGATATTTTTAATTTTAAATGCTTTTTTTATACTTTGACATATATTTTAATTTTATGTTTAAACGAAACTTGTTAATCACTACCGAAATGTTCGAAGAATATTTATTTTTTATTATACGTATTGGTTTTACATAGTTTATTTTGATACCTACAATTTTATTAATTAAATTTAATTATTAATTTTGTATAATTAATTATATTTTTATTTTATTAAATTTTATTAATTAATAAATTTTAAAAAATGTGAGAATTTAAAGATATATTTTGGAATAATTAGATAATCTAATCGAACTTATTGTTAGTGTACATCATATTTTATGTAGATTTCAAACCTTTGCTTTTATATTAGTCGCACAAAAAAATGCTCTAAATACAAATATATAAAAATGTAATAAGATGAAACTTTTTTAAATTTTATTTTTTCGATGAAATCTCTCGAAAGATCTTATTATTGTTCCAACACTGTTAATGTTGATTATGATTCATTTTTAATTGTCGCACTAAATTCAATAGACTAATACTGTATGCGGTTTTCCTTTTTCCGAGATAAATGAGAGAAGAATATATGAGAAACATGTGCCTGTTCAGGCGAGGAAATAAAACTATCGAGGATGAGGAGTCATCGATGACTTTAAGGAAAAAACCAGCTATCTGTCTTATTATGTGTAAAACTATACACATGTATCTATTATATTTACAAGGTAAACAAGAAAGTGAATAAGAATAAAAGTCATTGATAACCGATTAAACAGATTAATTTAATTAAACCAGTAGCAAAAAAAATAAATTATTTCTTTAGATATTAATCATAAAGTGATCGCGTTGTTAAATAAGACGTTAAAAAAATTATATGGACATATATCATTCATTAAAAAAAACAAATTAAAATATATCATGTATCTATTTATTAAAATATATGTGTAATGTGTATTATTAATTATTAAAGTACCTCTAATTAAGGTCAAAATGACCTCACCTTTATAAAATAAATGGATATTAATTAATTAGAATTGCAGTTTATAATTGTAACATAAAATAATTCTATTACGTTAATTATTATCTCGCATGATTCCACTATCAAGTTTGTTTATCTATTCACTTTGTAGTGTTGGAAGAGATAAATATTTTATTTCCAGGAATATAATTCCATAAAAATGATAACTGCAATTTTATCGTATGTAATTTCATTGTATATGTATAATGTTGCTTTCAAAAGCATATAACAAGAACACAATATAAATATATTTTTGTTATCATTCAAATTCTATTTTATTCAAATATCTGTTTTATTCAAAATTTACTTTATTGCAAATAAAGTTTGTTGTAATTATTTTTGATAATTACATATATTGAAAATAACTGACAAAAATTTAATATAATTTGATATTTCATAATTTGATTAGAAATGTTGAAATAATATTTTTTATTATAATAATTAAAATTTTTAGAATAAAATATGCATGTAGACAATTTAATTATCGTAGAATTATTTTTTAATAATAAAATCTCAAAAATTGCGACGCATGCATGCAAAAATTATCATTGCCATGAATGCATAAAATATATATTAATTAATTATGCAACGCATAAAAATTCAATATTTAAATCTTTAACAGAAAATACAAACAAAGAAATAAAATTTTCTACAAGAATTTTGTCATCAAATATCTACGCTTTAATTAAACTCGTGCGAAAATTCATATCCCACATACTCTTCACGCTGCGCGGCTCGCGCGAAACTGATTCTCGTGCGAGGTATCGCAAGCGCGGGCCCGATGGTCACATGACCAGTGGTCACGTGACTGCTGGTCCCGCGTTCGCGATACCCCACACGAAAATCAGTCTCGTGCGAGCCGCGCACCCTAATGGACTTGTGGGGTGTATTAATCTGATCACGTGATCAGTTTCGCGCGAGCAGTGCAGCGTAACGAACACATACAGACTCGCGAATCTAATAGAAACACATATATTTTAATTGAAAGATTCTTTTGATTTTGTATTTTTGTATTGTATTTTTGTAAATTGTATTTTTTTATTTTCTGTTAAAAAATATTGAATTTTTATGACTCACGTAATGAATAAATATATTTCTATGCATGCACTGCAATAATAATTTTATACATGCATTGTAATTTTTAAGATTTTATCAAAGAATAATAACTTTGCACGTAATTATATTCGATTAAACTAAACAAACTGAGAAAAAATATATAAAGTGATACAAAAGTTCTGAAACAATACAATAGAAATTCGGCGAATTAAAATTATGTACATAATAGAAATTCGGCGAATTAAAATTATAGTCTTATTCATAGCATCAAGCAACTGTTATCGCGAAGATTAACAATTTTAGAGTTGTAAACTAAATAATAGAAATAATCACAGACGCGCGCGAAGCGCGCTTGTGTAGTCTAGTTTTCTAGTTAGATAAATTTTTTCTGACATATTCGTGAAGTTGTTCACTATAACAACTGCTGCGTGTTGAGGTTTTAAAAATAGATTCGCGATTTTAACAGAATCGTTTTAATATCAGTCGTATGATTGGTTTTTTACACACAAATATGATGAAGATACTGATATTTTGTATAGTTTCTATCAATTGAAGAATCAACCAGAAGTATGTCAATGAAATATAATTAATCATCAATTCCCAGAAAAATTCTAATGATGATGATAAAATCCAATGTACAGCCATTATAATAAACAATGTGATATATAGTTTCAAATATAGAGTCAACCTGCAAGTAAACATATCTATTTACATATTCTAATACAACTATAATTATAAAAATTATGAATTATAAATAAATGCATTCTAAGCAACTGATGTTTCATAGAAATAAATATTTTTTTCGAAAAATTATAATTATTATAGATTACTTTTCAGTTTTTCAGATATGTATAAACACATATACATATGTACATACACATACACACACACACACACACACACACACACATATATGTAAAACAGAAAACAAGTATTTATTTATTAAATGTTATTCATTAAATAAAATTAAAATAAAATAATAAAATAAATTTACGTTTAAAAAAAAAGAAAAAAAGAAAAAGAGAAAGAGTTATATATTTTCAAAAAACAAAAATGTAATTTTTACATTAAGAAAATTAATAGAATTAAAGCATTTATCATAATTTTGATCTCATTATTTCTCATGTTTTCAAGAATAGCAGACACTTGAGAATAAATAAGTTGCATTGAACAGCGTTAAGTTCATTATACAAGAGATCTGAATATGAAAATATTCCTTTCAAAAAATTAAAAAATTATCATTCCCTCTTATATTAAAAATAATCAAAAATGATTAATTTTGTAATGCTGTTGACAAATGAATATATTAGCAATATTATGCATTATTTTATTAATTCAATACTATGCATCGATATAAATATGTTTGTGTACGAACCATCGCTTGTTGTCATTATAACATCGACTTTCTGAATCTCTCAAATGGCGAATCGTATCCTTCTCGTAGGATGTAATCTTTAATACTGTATAGATAGATAAACAAATGCTACCGATAATACAGATACTTTTAGGCCCATAAAAATATAACTGATATGTTACAGCCTCTGAAATAAACTTATTCTTATGTTATATCAAATATTGCAAATACAGAGAAATCATATTTTTTACTTGTAACATGAATTCTCTCGAATAAATTAATCATAATTAAATTGTTCATAAATGTAGTTAATAGAGTTATGTTAACAGTAACATGCACTCACCATAGAACCAACAAGAATAATGGCTGCCAAAATCCGGTCGAAATTTTTTTGGCACGTTGGGATTAAATTCCATAAAGCCAAAGATGATAACGAGAATGAAGGGACCGCCCCAAGCAAAAATAGAATACATCAATTTCTTTTTTTCTTGTCGTTTCGCATTTCTTCGTAACAAACGAAATTCTCTGCGAAGTGCAACACTTCACATTTAGCCAATAACAAATAAAAAATTACGATAAAAATGCACATTAAATTAAATATGCAAGTTTTCAAAAAGTCTGTTCTATATGACAATTTATAATATAAAGATAAAGAAGAATAACATGAATAATATACTTGGCAATTACCTAAATGTCCACCACATGTCGAAACTCATTACACTTAACCAGAAAAAACTCGCTAAGAGAAAGAAATAATTGAAAAAACCTGCAATAATAAAATAAACGTCTAAGTGAAGAATGTATTTTAAAATATCACTACTCTATATCTCAATAAAAAAGATTTTCTTCAATTTCTTATATAAAAAGCAATACAATAATAAATATATAAAGCGATACGAAAATAAATATATCAAATTAAATAATTTTGATTTAAGAGAGATATGCAATTCTTCAAAATTTTAATGACACATTTAAAAAGATGTTTATTAAAACCAGCTCAAATTATATGTGTGATTGTACGTTAAAATGTACACACAAAATTTCAATATTATTTATTATTAATTTTTTTATTATATGATTTACTGTATTATTATATTATTTACTACATATTATATGATTTACCAGTCAAAAGACAGAAATCTGTCGGATTCATATGGATTAGGTCGCCTAAAATGTCGATCATGTTTGCTATAAAAGACAAACTACTATATCTACGCAGAATGAAACCATGTGTATTACGAAGCTCTGGAAATATTGAGTACACTAAGAATATTATGAGTAAACAGAGTATAGACACTATATGAAAACCAAAATATAAAATGGTGATAATCATCTTTAATGTACGATTATACATATTGATACCAATTTCTCTTTCTTTATCATTGGTATTGTTCAGAGTCTCCGAGCAGACAATCGCATCAAACTGATTTTGATCCACAACAGCCAGACAATAGGACATTGATTCGATAAATATTTCAAAATAAGGAAGATACAGAGAACCGTTTGTGAAAAATATGTACTTGTCGTAATCGTCGGAATCGTTCGAATTAAGCAGAAAGTGTTTAGTTTCCTGACAAGGATATTGGACGATTAAAGGGAAAAGTTCATCCACTGTCTTATTTTCGCTCTGCAACGAATCGTTCGAATAGCCATACACGTTTGGAAAAACATATTTATTTTCTCCAGCAATGCAATTCTTGTTAACCAACCGATTACCGAGAGGACAACAAAGTTGAATGCAAGTAATATTATCGCACATTTCGTGTGGCACGATATAATTTGTACTGTTATTTCCATTATTGGATTTATTAATGCTGTCAGCTTTGATAAAGTTCGCCCGAAGGTCCATTTGATTATTTTTTTCAGGATAATTTACAAAATGTGCAGAAAATTCCTCCTGCATCGAGTCATCATCATCGCGATCGTTTCTCGTGGATTTTATTAACTCATATTGCACATCGTTGTTATACTTGGTAGCATTTTTGTGTATATTATTCCGCGATAATTCTGCTTTTTTGTCACAATCTTTTTTGGCGTTCTGGTCAAACTCGCATTTTACAATATTCGAATTTTGATCTTTCTTATCGTCACTCATAGAACTTGATTGGGATACTAAAGATACAATAATGAGTAGAAACACACAACAGCAGAACTTGAGATTTTTTCTCCACATCGTCGATTCTTTTATATGTCAAATGTATTTATAAAAACTGCACTTATTAATTATAAATGTTTAACAGCGAGATGCGCAAAGTATGGAAGTAGAAATGCGTGTGATATCATTAGACTGTGACGGTTTGGCCGATAGGAACACTCTTGTTCCTGTAAAAGATAGTTACTTTTATGATAACTTACGGAATATGTATTGGCAGAACAATGATATATATAATAAAATTTATACGCATCAATCGGGAAATTAATGAATATTTTTAATTATAAATATTTGTACACAGTCAAGTAATCTGTCTAGAAACACAATTATTAAATAATTAAGTAATTCTGAAAATATGTTTATTTTCATAATTGATATATGTATAATAAATTCAAAGTAATTAAAAATCATTTGAGAGTAGAATAAGGACATGAAGAGGAGCAAAAAGAAAGATAATCGCAATGATCTTCAACGTTAATGCCCTTGTTGTTTAATTAACATTTACAGATACATTTACAGATAACATTTGTTTCAGATATGCGAGATAATCTACATCTTATTTAAATGTTCACCGATTATGAGAAAATAATCAGATTAAGAGAAAATATATGTACATGATGAGATATATAAGATATATATTACGTACATAAATAATGTACATATAAATTAAGTTACATACATCAATATTAGATATAAGTATTTTTAAAAAATTAAATAATTGAAAAATGATAAGATACATAAGAATGATCTTAATAGACGAATTCTTTGCACGACGGTTCGCTTTCGTGTATTTGATATTTTTCCTTAGAAAAATTATTTTTCGCATAATGGTAAAGTTGTTTACTCTGACAACTGCTGCGTGTTGAGGTTTAAAGCAGATTCGCGGTTTTAGCAGAATCGCTTTAATATCAGTCGTATGATTGGTTTTCTACACACAAATATGATGAAAGTACTGATATTTTGCATAGCTTCTATCAAAGGAAGAATAAACCACAAGTGTCTCAATATAATACACTCATTCGACGATTCCCACAAAAATTCAAATGTTGTTGATAAAATCCAATGTATAGCTATTATAATAAACAATGTAATATATAGTTTCAAATATAGAGTCAACCTGCAAATAAACACACTTCTTTACATATTCTAACAAAACTATAATTATAAAAATTATGAACTATAAACGAATGCATTCTAAGTAACTGATGTTTCATAGAAATAAATATTTTTTCGAAAAATCCTTTATAGCAATGTATCACTAGTAATGCCAATTTATCACTAATTTCAAGTACTTAATCACTTATTTCGAGTACTTAAACTACTGTATATCAATATTTTAAGTACACTCGAAATAAGTGAAGAAAATTGGCATTACTAGTAATAAATTTCTGCAAGGGATCATAATTATTTTAAATTATTTTTCAGTTTTTCAGATATATGTATATATCGAGACATCATCATTGCGATCGTTTTTCGTGGATTTCATCAACTCATATTGCACACTGTAATTATACTTGATAGCATTTTTATGTATATATCCTTCCGCAATAATTCCGCTTTTTTGTCACAGTTTCTTTTGGCGAAACTTGTATTGTAAAATATTCGAATTCTGGTCTTTCTTATCGTTACTCGTGAAATTCGATTGAGATGCTAAAGATACAACGGCGAGTAAAAGCACGCAACAGCAGAATGTGAGAATTTCTCTACACATTTTTAACGCGTCAATTATACTTGGAAAAACTGACATATTAGTTAAATGTTTAATAACAAGATGTGCAAAACACGGAAATATCATCAGACTATGTTAGTTTTGGACGATAGGAATATACTCTTCTTCCTGCAAAAATAAAGTTACTTCTATAACAATTTATGGTCTATGTATTTTCACAAGCACAGTATATGTATATATTATGCAGAGTATATATATTTTAGGAAAAATGATCAGCATTCTAGAATATGAGATTGTATATACTTCATTTTATACTTAATAGTACACTTAATAGTATCGTGGTGCAAATGTACATTTGTGCCTAAATTTTATTACTTGTGCACAAAAGAGCTTGTAGGCAATAGATTTGTAGACAATATGCCTTGTACGCAAACGATTTGTTGGCAAACAGTCTGTTGGCAATCCATGCTGTTGTCAATCAATTTGTAGGCAATTATGGAGCTCTTCTAAAAAGTTTATATATCATATATGTGTCTTATTTTGGTCGCTTATGAAAATACAATGTGTTCACTGTTCAGAATGAATACATTCATATTATAACTTATTATAACTAAATTTTATAAAATAATTACATAAAATTTTAAGCTTACAATATATTGAAATGACGATTTAAATGATGTGTACAATCATGTCTTAGAGAATGCTGACCATTCCTCCTGTACAACAAATACTGTATATAAATATTTTTATTTTCTCGTTTCATTTAATCCAACCGAATATAATTAAACGCGCGAAGCGAGGTTATATTATTCTTTCATAATATAATCTCAAAAATTGCAAAGTAAGTATAAAAATTATTATTGCAACGCATGCATAAAATGATATTAATTAATTGTGCAATGCATAAAAATAAAGTATTTAATCTTCAGAGAATAGAAACAAGAAAACAGAATATTTTACAAGAATTTTTTTCGAATCAATACATTTTCATTCTACACTTCCGTTAAATTCGCGCGTCTATACACATCCAACAGCGAATCCGACAAGAACATCTCTCTTTCTATTCTTTCCACTGGATTAGTACACTCCACCCATCCGTCATGGAGCGCGTCTCGTGCGCGACTGATTCTCGTTCGAGACATCGCGACTGCAAGCCTGACGATCACGTGACTAGTTTCGCGCGAGTCCGGACTCGAATCGGCGCGCGAATCTAATGGAAGCGCATTTTTGATTGAAAGATTTTTGTAGGACATTCTATTTTTTTGTTCTCTGTTAAAGATTTAAACATTGACTTTTTTATATGCATCGCATAATTAATTAATATATCTTTATGCATGCATTGCAATAATAATTTTTATGCGTGCGTATGAAGTTTTTGAGATAAATAAAAACCATTAAATTTATAAAATTATGAAAGAAACATAATGAGATCGTAAAATGTGACGAGATGAGAGTATTAGTATTATAAAACAACTACAGACTACTGCAGACAATGGAAATAATTTCACGCGTGCATCGAAAATTTTTTTTTTATGCAAATGAAAATATATATTTTTCCATGTCTTTCTACTTTAAATAGAATTTTGTGTCTTTGTTTCACAGAAAGCAATTCTGAAAATATGCTTATCGTTACGATTGAAATATATGCATAATCAACTCAATGTGCAATTATGGTAAATCAAATTATAACAGAAAGACAGGAAGTGGAGCAAAAAAAAATATAATAGATATATTCTTTAATGTATTAATGTCCTTGTTTAATTTCTCATTTAAATTGTTGAAACGACGCAAAGTAGCTACATTTTATTTAAATATTTTCAGATTATGATTAAGAGAAATATACATAAAAGTTGCGTGATACATAAGATGTACATATATAAATGAACATATGGATTATGTAACATACATTTATTTGATATGTTAAATAAGTATCTGGGAAATAGTTAAATGATTGAGCAATAATAAAATACACGAACTTATATAAGACTGTTAGCAGGCAAATTCTTTGCAATTCTCTTACGGTTCGCTCTCTTGTACTTTATATTCTTCCATAGAAAGATTATTTTCATGATGATGAAGTTGTTCACTATAACAACTGCTGCGTGTTGAGATTTCGGAAGCAGATCCGCGATTTTGATAGAATCGCTTTAAGAGCAGGCGCATGATTTTCTTCTTACACACAAATATGATGAAGATACTGATATTTTGTAATGTTTCCAACACAAGAAGACTATAGCTGATGTACATTATTATGATTACATTATAATCAATCGACAATAACAATTCCACACATGTTGTCATAATCCATTGCATGGCTATTATGATAAATAACATAATATATAGTTTCAGATATAGATTAAACCTGCAAATAAATATATATCTCTTTTATTCTGAAATTATGATACGACTGATTATGAAAATTATTCTAATAAGGTAAATTTACGGAAAGAATTATAACATTTTTCTGAAGAAAAAAATTTGTTAAGGTAATTTTCATGTTAAAAAATGGAATTAAAACATTTATCTTGATGTTATTCTCACTGTCTCATCTTTCTAAAAATAGTTTGGATTTTGAAGACATTTGAAAAAATATGCGCGGAATTGAAGAAAATATAATAATGAGTTTATTGTATAAGTAATATGATTATGAAAGCATTGTAAAGTAAGTGAAAAAGTCTAAAATAATAATTTCTTTCTTATATCGGGAACATGATCAAACACAATTAAATTTTGTAATGCTGTTGACAAATAAAATATAGTAGCATGCATGCACAATTATTAATAAGATATACATATAAATATAAAGATGATTATATGCGAACCATTGCTTGTTGTCATTATAACATCGGCTTTCTGAATTTCTCAGATGACGGGCCATGTTTTTTTCATAACTTGCGATTTTCAATACTGTATAGATAGATAACCAAATGCTACTGATTATACAGATACTTTTAGGCCCGTAAAAATACAAGCGATACGCTGCACTTTCTGTAATAAAAAATATACTCTTCGTAATTACATCGTATATTGCAAGGATGCAAAAAAACATACTTTTACTTTTAAATTCTCAAATGGATTAATCATAATTAAATGTGTTGTTAAAGAATTATGTTAACATACACTCACCAAGAGAAAACCAACAATCATTGACACTAAATTCCGGTCGAAATATTTTTGGCACATTATTGGAAATAAGTTCCATGAAGGCACAGATGATAGTGAGAATGAAGGGACTTCCCCAAGCAACGATAGAATATATCAATTTCTTTTTTTCTTGTTGTTTCGCATTTCTTCGTAACGAGCGAACTTCTCTGCGAAGAGAAGTACAGGTTTGTCCGGAAAGTAATGCGTCGCATTTTTTTGTGACGCGACTATACATCGCAGAGCGATGGGACCGGTTGGGGAGGAAGGGGGGTACCCTTAGCTTTCCAACGGTAGGTCGCTCAATTGTTTCCATGCGCTTGGAGGGTTAGGACGGCTTATTCTGTGAACCTCTGCTTAGTGGTCGCGTCGAACTTGTGATGGAGAGAACGATAGAGCAACGCTATGCGTTCAATAATTCCGACATTAAGCGAACATTCATTCGACGGTCTGCATTCAATAATTGGCGCACACGAGTCACATTGTCGTCCGTTCGCGATGTTGACGGGCGTCCTGCGCGGGCCTCGTCGGCGACCTCCTTCCGACCTTCTCTAAACATCTTGTGCCATCTGTTTGACTGCGATTTGGAAAGGCAATCGTCCCCGAAAACTTTCTTGAGCATTTCAAAAGTTTCCAGCGGCGTCTTGTCCAGCTTCACGCAAAACTTTATCGCATAGCGTTGCTCTATCGTTCTCTCCATCACAAGTTCGACGCGACCACTAAGCAGAGGTTCACAGAATAAGCCGTCCTAACCCTCCAAGCGCATGGAAACAATTGAGCGACCTACCGTTGGAAAGCTAAGGGTACCCCCCTTCCTCCCAACCGGTCCCATCGCTCTGCGATGTATAGTCGCGTCACAAAAAAATGCGACGCATTACTTTCCGGACAAACCCTGTATATACATGCATTTGTACATACATTTATATCAAAGATAAATATTTTATCGTATTATATCTAATACATATATGTATGTATAAATCATAATTTTATAAAAATTAATTCATATTATATAGATTATAGATAAAGAATAATAATATGAAAGATATATTTAATTTACCTAAATGCCCACCACATATCGAAACTCATTACACTTAACCAGAAGAAACTTGCCAAAAAAAAGAAATAGGAGATTAAAGCTGCAACAACAAAATAAATAATGTTTTAAGTGAAGAGAATATTTAAAAATGCCGCAAATTGACAAATGCTACTATATTTCTATATATATATATATAAGAAAAGATTTTTTCATCTTTATATACTAAAAATTCATAACAGAAAATAACATAAAAATGTAAAAAAATAAATTAAATAATTTAAATTAAATAATTTGAATTAAATTTGATTGAAGAGAGACATAATTCTTTAAAATTTTAATGACATAAATAAAAATATATTTATTCAAACTCAAATTGTATGATTGTGTTAAAGTGCACACAAAATTTCAATTTTATTCATTATTAATTCTTTGTGTTTCTCTTTAAAATTTTAATAAATTATGCATTCAAGTTTTATCGTTATTATAATTCATAATAAACAGAAATATAGCTAATGTATGTAACACTACATTAATTATTATATGTTTTATATATTGTACCACTTATAATACAGATGGAATATATCTCACTCGCATCGATTAGACAGCTCAAAATTTCGATCAGACATCCTATAATCGACAAACTGCTGTATCTGCGTAGCATAAAACTATGTGTGTTACAAAGCTCTGGCAATATAGAGTATACCAAGATTACAATAAGCAAAAAGAACATAGACACTATTTGGCAACTTGTAAAAAAAATTATAATCCTTGTCAGCTTCTCCTGTATTAAATCTATATACATGTAGTCATTTTTATCCAAACTAATTTCTTGAATGGTTTTGTTCAGACTCTCCAAACAGACAATCGCATCAAACTGATTATGATCCACAACGGCCAGACAATAGGACGTTGAATTGATGAATCTTTCAAAATAAGGAAGATACAGAAAACCGTCTGTAAAAAACATGTACTTGTCAGAATCGTTTGAATTAAGCAGAAAGGGTTTAGTTTCCTGGCATGGAGGTTGGACGATAAATTGAAAGAGTTCATCCACTGTCTTATTTTTGCTCTGGAACGAATAGTTCGAATAGTCATACACGTTTGGGAACACATATTCATTTTCTCCAGCAATGCATTCTCCATCAATCAAGCGATTACCGAGAGGACAACAAAGTTGAATGCAAGTAATATTATTACAATTTGTACTGTTATTTCCATTATTGGAACTATTAATGCTGTCAACCTTGGTAAAGTTTGCTCGAAGATCCACTGGATTATCCTTCTCAGGATAATTCACAAAATGCGCAGACAATTCATCAGCATCGCGTTCGTTTCTCGTGGATTTAATGCGAAATTCGTGTTGCACGTTTTCATTGTACTTCTCATTTTTATGTAAATTATTCCATGCCAATTTGACTTTTTGTCACAGTTTCTTTCCTTGTTCTCGTCAAACTCGCATTGTACAGTCGAAGTCTGATCTTTCTTATCGGCACTCGTTGAACTCGATTGAGACACTAAAGATAGAATGATGAATAAAAGCGCGCAACAGCAGAACATAAGATTTTTTCTACTCATCGTTGAGTTGTTGACGCGTCAAATATTACTTGGAAACAGCAGATTTAGTATTAATTAAATGTTCAACAGTTGCAGCGAGATATGCGAAGTACGGAAGTACAAACGAGTGATATGACGATTTGGCCGATAGGAATACTCTTGTTTCTGCAAAGGATAAAGCTAGTTTTTATGACACTTGCGGAATATGTATTTGCAGAAGAACGATATATACATATTATATTTACACGCAGTGAATAAACCATAAAATTAATGAATATTTTTAATTATAAATATTTGTACTCATTGTCCAGTCGAATAATTTCTCTCAAAAAACAATTATAGTAAATAATATTCGTAACTATGTAATTTTTTAAGTGATGATTAATTTTGCATTATTGTACGTCGATCGTTTTGTTTGTCAAAATAATTAAACCTGATTTCCACAGTATATATATTCTCTTTCTTCGTGTCCTCTGATTTTTATTCTTTAATCATATATTCGTAAACTTTTCTTTCCTTTGCAGTTTGTATTTCTGTATTTTTTCTGATAACATTTTTTATTAACATTATTAAAAACTGGATACATCAATTTGACCTGGACATAATTTAACAATATTGAACTAGCCTATATTTACTGTTAATAATATAACGTTAACATATTGTATGAAGCGTGTATATATATCGACTAATATCTTATAAATTTGTATGTTAGTTTTTGCTTTAGTATATGAACATTTTTATCAATAACATTATAATGATAAAAATATTATGGCTGACAATTTTAATCTTAATTAACTCTAGATAACATATACATATAACTATTTTACATGCTCATTTCTGTGACATTTGGTCTCCTATTTCTAATATGTTTCTAATATGTTTTTAATTTAAAATATATTAAATACACAAAATATAAATATATAATAGATACATATATGTGTATGTTTTTAAATATATATTTAAATATTTTAAATATATATTTAATTGTATTGTATATAGTTCATTAATTATTTATGTTTGCATTTTAAATATATATGTTTACGTAGATAAAATAATTTAGGAGACGATACATTTCTATCGTAGCAACATTTATTGCTAAACGCGTGACACAAATATTTATCTAAATATCAAATCGGACGTACTTTTCTAAAAAAAGGTTTTAAAATATAAGACATTATTTTATAACAAATGTGTAGAAAATATTTTTGTTAATACGCAATTTTGTTAATACGCATTTTTGTTAATACGCATTTTTGTTAATACGCATTTTTGTTAATACGCAAAATTAAATGAATGAAGAGTAAAGGGTAAGTTGAGGGAATAAAAATGTGCTTGGTTTGTGAGATTAAAAATGGATTGATTGTAACAATAAAATATAAAAATAATTATATTATAAAAATTCACACCAGTTTTATATTTGCATTATCTCTTATCAAATTAATATGTTTGCCTACGATATATTTATAGATGCACATATAGTAAATAAAACGATATCGCTCACTTAATATCGAAATAATTATTTCTCTCTCTGCGAGCATTCAGTTGATTATATTTTTTCGTAAGTTAGTTTTAAAATTTGTTAGAATAAATATTTCTTCAGCAACTACACAAAAATGTCAAAAATCAATAAAACCAAGAAAAATAAAATATATCTTATATATCTTTCACAGTTTGAAAACTGTTCGTATCTCGATATCTTTGTTCAGATAAAATTGTCAATAAAATCAATCGCTGACAAAAAACATTGTCAAGAAATATATAGCCTCCTACTATTAAAGTCACGCAAAAGTGTATTTAGGCCAGTCTTAGTTAGAATTAGCTGGAATCTTTTTATTTCGGTGGCAGATAACCTCGATCTTCGTTGCTCTTTCGCGTGATGCTTTCTGGTCCTACAGGTCTGATGCTTTCTGGTCCTATGGGTCTGATGCGAGACCCCGTTTCGGTCACAGCACGACCCAGCCTGAATCCCGCCCGGTATCCGTTTTCATCAGCGATGTAGCTTGTGAATACAAAGATTATGTTATGCTTTCTCAACTCTTGAATATTAGAAAAAATATATGCTTTTGTATGTTTAATAAAGACATTATTAAAATTTTATTAATAAAATTATTTTATTAATACAATATTATTATTAAAATTTATTATTAAAATTATTATTAAAATTATTATTAAAATTATACGTAAAACCTATCTTATTCCTCAAATTAAAAATTGCAAATGTCATATAAATCAGCTTTTGTAAATAATATATTAATAATACCTTAATCAGCGAATAATATTTTTTGACAGAAATCAGCTGATAACTATCAAAAATATTAATCGAGTTTAAAGTATTCTAGCATATTATTTTAATTTCTATAATATATTATTATTTTAAAATTTAATTAGCAATTTACGCTTTTAATCAGCTGATTTCTGTCAAAAAATATTAATAAAACGTTAACAAAAAAAATCTCTAAACAGTAAATCAGTTTACATAAATATATGATGTTCGACGTTTCTAAATCTAAATTCAAACACCTGTTTAATAATTTTTCAGACTTAACAGCAATCGAATATCCGAAGAACTTTGATCTCAGATTCATTAAGATTCAACTCAACCTGATCTTTAGATATAGAAAAAACCTTCAGATATAAAAATTGATTTAAATATAATTAAAATATTAAATGCAGATTATCGCGATAAAATATATAGGACATACTCACTTAACAGAAACGGGAATTCCTTCGGGGCTCCTGTAGGAGTAAGATCCTTCTACTACTCGGACCACTTCGCCATCCACAAGTTTGAAGGTTGCGACCTCCGTCCTCTCGACGCCGTCCTCGTTGAGGATATTAGTGGAAACCGGTGGACTCGCAGCGACTTTCTGCTCGCTCTCGAAGGGTGGTTTCAGAATCAGACCGCCTGATCCACGCGCGAACAGCGGCGCTTTTTGATCCGGGGATAGCTTCTCGGTGAAGCACAGCGGAAATGACAGCAAGCACCAAATCTATAAGAGGAAGTTAATTTTTACATCAGTAACAGAAAATAAATTTGCATATTTTATTAATTAAATGTAGGGCATTATTTTCTGAATATCCCAAACATATGTATATTTACGTTACCTCTCTTCCAAGATATTGTAATTAAATAAATATTAAATTAATATAATAAATATAATTTATATAATATAATATAATATATTATATAATATAAGTTCAATATTAATAAATATAATATTAATATATAATATATATAATATAATATATATATATATATATATATATAATATAATATAAATTTAATATTAAATGAACAACTAAAAGAGAAGCGTGTTGTGCAGTTCTACATGAAAAAAAAATCAAAAATTGTAGAATAAAATCTTTTCATTTTGACAACTGTTTTCCTCGAGAATTGAACGACTAAGAGCATCATCATTTCTCATTTTTGTTAAATAATTAATGAACTATATCTACGTCTACGCGATCGGGAATTGCCGAGAGGATGACCCCGCGACCGATGCGGCGCGTCGCGTTGGATAATCAGCGATCGCCGTTCACGGTGGTGATGGTAGTGGATCCCTCTTTAAAGGACACTTTCTACTTAATCGATGACCGGCCGGCCGGGCCTGGGTTTCGAACGCTTCGGGGCCCAATAACCGGCCCCGTGCGATTATACGAAGACGCAATAATCGCGGGCCCTCGCGATAGAAAGGAGCGATGTCGCGGGAATCTCGCGAATCGTTTCAAGGAAAATGTGTGAACTCTCAACCCCTGCCACACTATATATATTATAAGAGACAACCGATATTTTACGGCGGTATACATCTTTTATCTGAGGAAGATGTAACTGGTTCTACTTAAAGGATCGACCACTCGGGTGATTAATCTTAACGGCTGTTATTAATCAGTTCTTCGAGCGTGGAAATATAAATATATATGAAAGAGAAATTTAATGCAAAGGTTATTAGCGGAAAGAATGCTACTCTTATATTGCATCATTGGGGATTCGTAGAAATACTACGACGTTAATGCAACTGTCGGATTAGACAGCAATTAACATAGATATCAGAAAAGAAAGAGAGAGAGAGAAAGCACATCTATTAAATTGAAAATAATTTATGTAAAGATTAAACTACGGTACTTTAAAAAAAAAAAATTAAATTAAATTAATGCATCGATGCACTTTGAGAGCTAAAATAAGCTCAAAGCATTTATCGCGCGTACGACTTTATAGTAGCATCGGTTCATCAAGATTTATATCTTCTTTATTTCTTTCATACTTTTATAGTTATTGGACGTAACGATTCAGTTAGTGCGGTCGTACTTTTTCCCGCAAAGATGCAAATGCAAACGCGCGTTGCAACGAGATTGCGCGGCGAACGTGAAATTTACGAGCGATTCGCGCCATTCGCAGGTAATCAGCCACGAACGCAGCATCCACGAGAATTCTGGTAAAGTTCGCGACAATGTTCTTTTATCTTTCTTATTTTTTCCACCAAAATAATAAAAATTATTAAAAAAAAAATAAAAATAAAGCCGTTATAGGTATTCTGAAATAGCAATTGACAATGATGATAATTAAAAAACCATCTTAAAAGATAATTAGAAAATAAAATTAAAATATATCTTACGATTGGAAAAATAAAAAATTATTCCTAATTATCGCGACAATGTTCTCTTATCTTTTTTATTTTTTTCACCAAAATAATAAAAAATATAATAAAAAATTAAAGCTATTATAGGTATTCTGAAATAGCAACTGACAATGATGATAATTAAAAAACCGTCTCGAAAGGTAATTAGAAAATAAAACTAAAATATATCTTACGATTGGAAAAATAAAAAATTATTCCTAATTCTAATACATTATAAAAACCATCATTATTTTTCATTATATTATCGATTAACTTGTAATAAAAAAACATGTCTTTTTAGGATGACACTTAGCAGTAATCAAAAAATTCCTAAATTTACTTATCTCACATTAGGTGCAAACTAAAAATATATGAATAAAGTGAAGTCAATATACGCTAATAAATAATATAAAAAATATATAAAGGTGTAGTTTGGAGGATTTTTTTCACGCTTTACGCAGACGTTGGAATTTTTTTTCGCAAAACGTACCAGCGCGTGAACGATCCCGCGACGACCCATCGTAATTACGACTGTCAATTATGACAACAATACAATAACGAAAATAAAGAGGACACTTCGCACTGCATCACCCGGAATCTTGCACGGACACACCCTGCGTTACACCGGGACTATATGTATACAGAATCTTGTCGGCGGATTTGTACTTCTGCGAGCCCCCGGCCTTATATACCTAATGAAAATGATCGGGCGCTCTTCCCTCTCTGATCCCTACTTCGAGAAGACGACCGAATGCACGAATGGCTATTTGCTGTTCGCGATTATTGCCGATCGTTCATTATCTGTGTATCGTATCATTATATTCACGAGCTGGAGAACATTGTTTGAAAACCGTAAACAAATCGATCAATTAAAAGATCATTAGCCAAATATAAATTTATTGACAGGAGCAAAATGCCCGGGAAACAATTTTTTATATATAATTATATATAAATAATTGTACAATTATACATATAAATATAAAATATAAATTTATATATAAATATATTATATATATTTATACATAAATTATAAGAGTTCATATATATATATATATATATATATATATATTCATGTCAAATTATATATTTCATATATATATTTGCGAATAAATATATATAATTTTATATATTTCTATATAATTTTATATTGTTATACATATATAAAAATTATTTTCCCGGGTGTCATTCAGCAAAAAAAATTTTTCTATCACAAGTTAATCGAAAACATAATGAAAACCGATGATTTTTATAATGTATTAGAGTTAGGAATAATATTTTATTTCTTTAATTATAAGATATATTTTTGGTATTATTTTTTAATTATCTTTCTTTGATTTCTTTAACTGTCATTATCAATTGCTATTTCAGAATATATTAGTGGCTTTAATTTTTTATTAAATTTTTGGTGGAAGAAAGTAAAGTATGAGATTACACATTGGTAGTAAAATAGTTTTCATCGACACTAAATGGCAGATCGTTTTTATAAAGGGGAAAAAATTATCATTTATCGGATTTACCCCCGTGTAATTATTTGTGTAAGTGTTAGGTATCGTTTCCTACGTAATAATCCGTGTGATTGCAAAAATCACGAATCATTTTAAACAGGTAATTGGAAACCTGTCGCGATATTTATTGGAGAGAAATCAGTTTCAAGTCATAGATTATCACTGCGGAATGTAGAATTATGGCTACCCTTGTAATTAAGTGTTGTAACAGAGGCAAAGCAAGATTTTGAAGCTTTCGCACAACCTATCTAAAACAAATTATTTTTTCAAATTCGATTAATAAATAAACACACACAGATGATTTAAATTTTCAATAAAAATCCTCTCGTCAAATTAAATGAGAAGAGCGCAAAAATAATTTTATTATATTATATCTCTCATTCATATTTTTCTTTGCGTATATTTATTTATTTATTTTCAATGGAATCTTTATATTTTCATTTAAAATCTCTTATTCATGAGGATTAATTCAGTTACTTTTACTATCAATCGTGGAATAAAGTGACGTTATACGAGAATGAATAGACATGCGAGTCCAGATGCACCGGGAAACACACATGGATTTATCGTCGATTTAAAGGCCACCGTGTTGTCACGATCCTAGTGATCTGGCTCGTTTTAAGAGCACGAACAATGCGATCTCTAAACCTTTAATAGAATACATTTGCTCTTAATAGGATGCACCGCCGTTTCTGCTGACATTTTATTTCTCTCGCAAAGCCACCGATTGTCGGATCTGTTGCATATACAATAGAAATAGCAATCGATGCCGATGGAACGAACAGATAAATAAATATAAATTAAATAATAAAAAATAATTATTTAAATAATAAATAAAATTAATTAATTAAATAAGAAATTAGTTAATAAAAAAATTCGAGGCAATGTTACACTATAATAAAGCCCTTGGCAGAAAAACTTTGTTTTTTTAAATCATGTCAAACTTCTCATTCAGATTCGGATGTGTCAAAATCTATTAATATAATAAATAAAATTTTTTCTCCACACAAAGATTGATTGTATCGATAAATCATGAGATTATACGCGAAGAGGGCCTCGAAAAATTGAAGAGCCAAGGCTGCATGATGAAATCTTATTCTTCGATTATTCTTGAAAAATGGAATGCGAATTTTCGACTGGAATGTTGCAACTAATAAGGATTATGAATTTTAGATTGTCCGATGTACCGGAGAATATGAAACGGAGACACCATCACTCTCATCAGTTACATAACTTTGGCAAAAGGTTCGATACACCTCCTATCTCTCGTTTAAGAGAACTCTCTCGCGAGGAGATGTACAAAAATATTCTTGCGCAACGCGAGCATGACATGCATGCAAAATTATAGTCCGACATATTTGCGCGACAGACACTCGCGATGAGATAAATAAAATATTATTTATCGGGAATTTTTGCCGCGAAAAGTGACAGAGCACGTGAACCGTGAACGTCGTATTGCTCTGATCTCTCAACACTTTTACCGATACATCAAATTAAATACCCCGAGATCGAGAGTCACCGCGCGGATTAATTCATTTGTATTGTACATTAGTTTGATTTTATTTAAATTATTCTTGATAAATTATTTTAATTTAATATTATTTTAATTTCAATTTTTTAATATTGAATATGCAAATAAATTTCAGATACCTTATTTCATTTTATTCTATTAAAAAAATAGACAAGATTATATATACTGTTCGGACATTTTAAAGAGAATTATAATTTATTTTATTTTATTTTATTATCCTTTATTATATATTATCTATTTTATTTTATTATCTCTTTTGCGCGTAAAATATGTATAATGTAAATAAATAAAATGCGTTGATTTACAAGATAAATTCTAATTTATATATCATTCCTCTCATTCGTTAATTCTTAATCATCTTAGCTAATGGAATTTATCGAAATACTTGTCTAAAATTTTTTAATCTCTGAAACGAGAGAAGTAGAAATGATTTATTATATTCTCTTATCTTTTAATATCGTAGGCGCTGTGTAATGTATCAGAAATTGTCCAGAACTATTCGAGTTACCGTAACTTATGTTTATGCAAGAATTTGAAAGCATCTTTGAATAGAATCTGACCATTTATTCGCATTCGATGATCGATTCATTATGGTTTCATAATTTTATGTGTTTCTTCCCACGACGTGGATGTTCAAATGTCAATGTTTTAAAGATGCTCACATGCGTACATGCGAGGACCAGAGAGAGTATATAAATAGATTTTAATAAATTTAATTATATCATACATCTAAACGCGCAATAACTTCAATCAGTAAAAACTACACAGACTCTGGATAAAGTTTAATTTGTAACAATAGAGGATTAAGATCTTATCATGTCATCCTTACGAGTTATATGGTGAAAGTTGGAGTTTCTATTCTTCGTGTTATATAACACTTTATTAATCAAATTAATCAATACGTATTTAAGATCACTATATCATGATAAAATGCCTTGTTTTCAAAAAAAGCGAAACTTTGTCATGTAAGAGATTTTATGAAAACAATAGCATTATCAAAGGGATACTTCGCACTTGTCTCCATTAATCAGGAAAAAATTTTTCTCTTCTTTTGAGTAAACACTGAAATTTATTTGCATATTCAATATTAAAAATTGAAAATAACAAAATAAAAAAATTAAATTAAAAATAAATATCCACATGAGCGTGTTACATATATATATATATATATATATATATATATATAAATTTCTATTATTTTAATTATTTCTATTATTCAAGAAATAATGTAAATAATTTATCAAGAATAATTAAAATAAAATAGAGAGAAATGATAGAGATTGTGGGTCAGACTTGCCCTTCTTATCAGGAAAAAATTAATCGTTTGTTTTCTTTTGAGTAAATACTGAAATTTATTTGCATATTCAATATAAAAAAATTGAAAATAACAAAATAAAAAAAATTAAATTTAAAAAATGTTAATCATTCCTCTGAAAAAAAATCCTGCGGACGTTCATGAGAGTGTTACATATAAATTTCTATTATTTTTATTATTTCTATTATTCAAAAAATAATGTAAATAATTTATCAAGAATTATTTAAATAAAATAGAAAGAAATGATAAAGATTGTGGGTCAGACTTGCCTCCCCTTTATCAGGAAACAATTAATCATTTGCTCTTCTTCGGAGTAAACACTGAAATTGATTTGCATATTCAATATAAAAAAATTGAAAATAACAAAATAAAAAAAATAAATTTAAAAAAATGTCAACCATTTATTATTTCTATTAGTCAAGAAATAATATAAATAATTTATCAAGAATAATTAAAATAAAATAGAGAGAAATTATAGAGATTGTGGGTCACAGATTCTACTCTCTGGAGCTGCCAGCCTCTCGCGCAACCTGATAATTGTCGTGTTTGCTCGTCGTTTATTTTTAACTATCGCTACGACGTAGGATACGACACGTTCGAGAGTATCACAAGGATGATGATCGAGGGGATCGTGAATGAAACGAGCAGTGGCGTGTACTGGAGCACGCGTATATATACGTTGTGAGTTACCGCGAGACTGAGATTATAGCTGACATACTTTCGTGTATCGATCCTAAATAGGCAGCCAACTCCCTACAAACCGATAATGACACGATAAATTGCGCGTTTAATTAACGATAATTAATACATACGAAAGTTTATTATTATTTTATAAAAAAGATAATTGAAAAAAAAGAAAAATTAATAATATAACAATTATCTAAATATAATGAGATAATAATAATTAAGAAAAATTAATAATAGTTATAAGTATATTTAAAATTAATAACGTTGAATAACTGATTGATTAAACATTGTCTGATAATATATAGTAATTAATATAAAATCGATATTTTTGATAAGGTAAATAATGAGAAGAATATATAGTAAATAGCAATCATTTTTCCTAAATAAACTCGTATCGCAAAAGTAGATAAAAAAATTGAAAGAGGTCATTACACCGATAAATCAATCACTAGTGAGACACCAAAAAAAGCTGATTAATGTCTGTAAATAAGAAACATTCCATTGTATAAATCTAAGACAAACCTGGATCTCGTAAACATGTGTACATATCATATATATCCCATGTTTGCAATATCAATTAACATAATCCCATCGCTGTCTTCAAGATTTCGTCACTTGACACTCGTCAAGCGAAAGGATCGTAGATTGCGAATCCATATGCGTAGACGTAGATATGTCGGCGTAAGAAAAATCGCAAAAAAATTATTAAAACCTACGCTATATCTTGTAATTTAATTTCTTGCGTCGCGATATAATTCTAAAAATCATATCATATCCATTAGTTTTACTATTAATTATAATTACGTGTAAATAACAAAACTTGTTGCTTTTTGCCAAACAAATCAATATAGTTTTAATAATTATGTAATTTTGACATAATGATCAATAATTAAGAGACGTTTATTTATTTTATTAGCAATTGTAGAACTCAAATTTTCAATTTAAAACGTTTATATGCAAGAAGATTCAAGTTGCGATTTTCTTTTCTAATATTTTCAGATACGGAATTTTTTGAAATAATAAGAGAATTCTTCTCTTCGTGCGCGATAAAAAGCGAGTCAACAACGCGTGATATTTACAAACGAGTGGCCGCAATGTATTAATGTATGTCGTTGTCGTTGCAACTTTATATGATGGATAGTGTCGAGGTATTTTGAATTAATCAGCTGTTTCGCATACTTAATAGATAATACATCTCTTTCGTAATTCAGATACCTCAATCAACATCGTGTAAGTCATTAATTAATGAGCAATATAATAATATTATATATATAATTTTTATGGCTCGTTCTTTATATTTTTCCTTGCTAATTTATCATTTCGCATTTTCTAGGAAGGAATAATTCTTGAATATCGAGAGGATAGGCGATAATTTATAGGAAGTTGGCTTACAAGAAGAGATCCGAAGAATCACAAACTCATAAATTATTTTGTGCATATAACAAATTATAATTATGACAATAATTTCGATACTATAATAACATACTTTAAATTTGTGATATTTGGGATCCATCTTTGTAGGCCTCGTGTCAATATAGTCGCAATACATTCTTCACACGTGATTTTTTTTTTAACAAGACATTTAATATTCGTTTAATATCTGTAAGCTCAGCAGAGTCAACATTTTGCGTGGGAACAGACGTTAAGAGGTTCTCGTGTGTAGGTATGCGCGTTACAGATCTCTCTCGTTTGCACTGCGCTGCGCAAACTGCGCTCGATCGCTCTTCGCGGCACGCGAAGTATCAAATATTTCCGAATTCGTCGAGACTTTCTTCGGAGAATCCTTTCGAGAATTAACACAAGCTGTGAGAAAGCACAAGTTGTAAGAAATAAGCGGATAAAAGAAAATTAAAGATACTGTTGCGTACTATTTTCTATGAGAGTAAAACTGAATTGTTTTAATATAAATAATTCATATCGCGTAAATCATTTTGAAAAATATAAAATAGTTTTCGTATTTTACAATTAAAAATTAAAAAGAGATTTAATATCATACTCCGCATGCAACGACGTAATATCCTTTTTTTCGTGATATTATATTGCGCAACTAGGACTTTAAAACAACTAATATAAAAAAGATATTTTTTTAATCGCCGCCACGAAGAGTTAACACCTCCCGATACCTTCGACTAGTTCTCACAATAAATTGTATTCCTTCATTAAAAATCGCCATTGCAGAAGCAGGGAGGCGCCGAGATTTCCTCCCTCAAGCGGCTCGTTAATTAGGAAAATAGTATCTTCGACACTGTTTAAACAATCCAGTTTCTTTCCCCGGCACCTCACGCACTTCCGCTTTGCCATCGATCAGGGTGAGCCGAATGATACTAAAGTGTCTGAATTTTAATGACAGATTCTGTGATCAATTTGAAGTCAATTGTTTTATATTATTTCTTTTAATAGTAAATTTAAACAATCTAATAAAATTCATCGTCAAAACGTAAATTTTAAATCGATTCGCCCTGATCGAACGCGGAACTCATTAACGCAGGTACACAAAAATCATGGGCGTCGTGAGAAAAGTGCAAAAAAACCATTTGCACCCATTTGAGAGTTTCCGAAATAAACGAAAACGGCGAAGAAATCCTTATCAATTAATTTTATAAAATACTGTATTGATAAAATATTCAAGTATAAATAAAAGACTAAAAGAAGAATCTTTACAAATTCTTTTCAATTCAATATAACGCATAACACTTCAATATACGTATAAAATAAACCTGACCACAAGATTTCATATTTTATAAAGTAGCTAACAATGATCCTGCATATGCGAGCCTGATAAAAAATTCTAGCGGCGCCCATGACGAATAATTAACGAAATGCACTTAGATATTCGGTCGAACATAACGAAGCTTCAATCAGATCGAACCCTCGACATGTTCAAAAAGGCGCAGTTCTGTTCACCATGATTGATCGTAAGAGAAGAGTTAACTCTCACTTTTTCTTTTTCTTTCTCGTTCCTAAAAAAAAAAAAAAAAAAACGTGAAATCGCAAAAAAATCAAGAATCGCATGATCTATTATAATAAAAACTTCACATACTTCGATCATTCTAAAAAAAGATTAATTTCGTATAAAAGCGGACAAAAGAGGCACGGAAGGTTCCAAAGAAATAAATTTATTAGAACCACGCCGTTTAACACATTAACGCCATTTGTATATGCGCGAAAATAATCTTCATTCTAGGATTTCGTAGATAAAATTAGAAATACTATCAACGAGCTGCCTTATTACTAAATAATAATAACGTCCATCTTCACAAATATGGAGATTTTATAGTATGTAAAATCCTAAAATAAGAATTTATCGGAAATGCAATTAGAAAAAAAGAAAATATATATATATATAATATTTAATATATAATTCTTCGAATAAAAAATCGTAAAACAATAAGAAAGAAGAGATGAAGAGAAAAGCAAATATTTTATTTACGAAATCCTCCGACGGATTTATTGAAATAAAACTAGGTGTGTCAAAAACCGCGAATATTCTTTTGATTACAAGCTAAGTTCTTGAATGACAAGTGTAAAAATACTGAAAATAAAATCATAAAATCCGTAAAATAATGAAGATTATTTCTAAATTGACAAACGAATTCATAGATACAATAGACTGCGGTGTATCTGGCACACTCTGTACACAATGATATTTAATGCGTCAATACCCCTCGCAGTGCATTAAAGAATGATTGAAGCCGCTGAGTTAGCTTCCTCATACGATGTATTTACTCGCACCATGATCTACTGGACGAATGACGTCCCGCGGAACTTTATATGCCTTGTCGCGCACTTTCTCCCTTCCCCCTAATCATTTCATTCATCGTCGTCTTGCCCTTTCTCTCTGTCGCACACTCGCTCTTTCTCTCTCACGCATTCTTTCTTACTCTATCATTACGCGCACAATGCATTCTCGAAATCACGATAATCCTGACGATAATTAACCACAATAGTAAAAGCATATAAGCTATACAGCTACCATTCTGTATCTACAATATAGTTTTGTATGTATAATATATATATAGATTTCTTTTTCTCTTTCTTTTTTCTCCCCGTTTCTTTACTATCTTTTTCTCTTGTCTCTTACGCGCCATCGTAAAACGTGTCACTGCCTCGAGAAACGGTTCAATGTTCATTCGCGCACTAATTTTCTTCTTGTTTAGTTTTTCCATACGGATGATGAAATTCTTTCCCATGCCCGGAGATAACTAATGAGAGTCCAATCTTCCTCCGCAAGAATTAACTTTTATTGTTATTATCTAAGATATTTTAAGAGAGACTTCAACTTCTTCAGCCTCTTCGAATTTGTCCTTCGTTCTTCTGCTCAACCTAGTGTGCTGGTACCTTTCGCGTTTCCCTTCGTTTCCCTGTCGTCAAAACTTCTTTGAAATTTCTTCGACATCTCATTCGATTTTTCATCCATTTCGACTCTTTCAGATTTTCAGTAACCTGATAGTATATTTCCTTATATATTTCCCTCGTGCAATCACACACATATTATTTCATATTTCCTTCTAATCATTCATCCTAAAGACAAAACTCTCTCTCTTCTCCTTCCAATAAGAAGTAAATCTTCTGTCCCAAGCATGTTCATAGAGTGCCGGCGCTTTCCTCTTGCTCGGAACGTCCTTCGAGACAATTCTCTCCAAGCTGTTGGCTTCATCGACGCGTCCTTGGCGCGTCTTTCGTCTCGCGCTCTTCAACGCTTCGAGCTGTCCAGCCGCGACTTCTACGGAAGCCTCGAAGCCGAAGAGTTCCTGAAACCACGCTCCTGACAGTGGAGAAGGGTCCGTCTCTCGCGTGCACGTCTCTGCCGCCTGCGTCGCGCGGTCATTACTGCAGCACGCAGCACTTGCATTTAGGCTTCTTCTTCAGGGTGACGTGCTCGATCTGCGACGCGTCACCTGGACCCTGCGCCGTCATCCTCGCAACTTCTACGGTCGCGGTCCTCGACGACGCGGCCTAGAGCATCGAAACATTTCATATGTCAAATTATACTCATATATATCCTAATTAGATCATATCTTAGTCTTTTATATCCTTGAATCTTGATAAAAAAATTAAAAATTTAAATTAATAAATTACAGTTACAGTCTATGGAATTAAATCTCATTTAATTAATTTATATATATATATATATATATATATATAATTAATTAATATTAATTAATTATTATTTATACATTATATATAATATTATTACATATTAATTAATTAAATGAGATTTAATTCAATTAATGAATAAATGAATTCAATAAATTAATTAATTCCATAGATATACTGTAAATGTAGATTGTTTAAATTTTCTGCTCAGACATTGCTATTGAATGAATGAGTTATTATAATATTAGGATTAAGGATAAGCTCTCTGGTGATAGATTTTCGTCTCTCACCTTTTCATTGACAGGTTGTTGACCCTTGGCGGGAGTGCCACCGTGAGCGCTGCCGTTCTCCTGGCCGGGCCTGGGTGACGAGTGACAGTTCGCGGATTTGAGGAGCGGACTGGTACTCGACGAGTCATGCTCGCCCGACTTGCCATCGCATCCTGGTAACGGCGGCGCGTTCTGACCCGGGGTCGGCGTAATCGGCTTCCCGCCCTTTATCAGCTCGACGATCTCGTCGGCTTCCCGGGAAAGGTCGCCGTCTGGCCTGAACGGGTTGTCCCAGCCGCTGTCCGTGCTGAAGTCAAAAGATACATTGTTGTAACACTCAGTTTATATGGACAATTCTTATATATAGATTAACTCCTCGAGAGTATATTTTTTATTCAAATCTAAAGTAAAGTTTCTTGTTAAAAAATTGTCGAGATAAATGCATCATTTTTATTACAACTTTTTATCCCTTTAATACATGAGCAATGTATTGAATATTAAAATTGTATTAATATTTATAATTAAATGTTAATGTATTTATAATTGATATTAAAATATCGAATATTTAAGATATTAGATATCTAAAATATTTCTATCTAAGTCTCTGGAATCTTAATTAAAATCTTTTAATTGATTGAACATTAAATAAAGAACGAGAATTGGAATTATTAATATCTTTTTAAATATAATCGACGAAAAGATTATCTTTATTTGTTTTTAAATAAATGTAGAAGCTTATGATATCGTTTTATGAAGCTCTTTTTTTTAAATGAGGAATCTGTGGCTGAAACTTTACACCAGAGTAAATGACTCATCAATATTTCATATAATGAACACGGATACATATGGCACGTGCTGATTGTTATTGTAGGAGATCTTAATGATGAATCTTGTTGTATATAAAGGTGTTTTGTATGGAAAAGACTTTGAATACGAGATAAAGATCGTTGATATATACTGAGAAAAAAATTGCTACAATGAATGAAACTGACAGCTATCATATGAATATGTAAAAGATATCAAACAGATAAATGTACGACAATAAAAATTTATAACAGTAAATTTGACTTCAAACTTATTCAATTCACTTTGAAAAGTGGACTTTTTGGACTCGCATCTTTGTATTTTTCGAGCACAAAAATAGCGCATATGTATTTCGATTCTAGTCGATGCTATTGATAATTAAATTATTTACCAATTATCAATGATAAATATATTTTTATTTAAAAATAACAAATATGTAAAAAAAAATAAAAAATAAAACCCGAGAAAGACTCTTTCTTCCGTAACTCGTTTCCTCGACTCTCTAATTAAATTCCAATTCACAGAGCGCTAATTACGGACGCACGCACGCCTCGTGTCAGAGCAAGTCTATGGTTCTCAAGATGTGCCGTAGATATGAAAAGTCGCAACAAAGAATGCGGCTCTGCGCCTGATAAATAATCGGACAATTATTTTGAAAACAAAGGAACATTATATATAAAAACAGGCTAAAATAAAAAAGTTTCACGCAACAGATGTGCGATAAAATACATATAGAAATATTTATAAGATTAAAAAATATTAATATTTATTCGATAATATAGTACACCGAGAGAATTTTTATATTTTATCGCAAAATTTACTACAAATTGTATCATGTTTAATAATAAACCAAAAATTACTATGTTAAAATTATCATGAACGATTGAGCTGAATTGAAAATATTATGCTGCAAAATATTTTATATGTTTATCACTTTTTTGGCATCTATTCTGTTTAAAATACTTAAAGAATTATAACTTTTTAATATATTTTAAAATTGTATTTTAAAATATTACTATATATTTTAGTAAATTAATTAAGATATTTTATATCTTATTGTGTTAGATATTAATATTTTCAATGTAATATAAATATTAATCAGAGAAACTCTTATAAAATTTTTCCAATGTCATATTGTTCCACGATATACACGAATACATATTAATAATCGTACTTAATATCATAATTAGTATCATATTTCTTTTACGCAATTATTTTATTTTATTTTACAATACGTCAATCAATTTAATTTATATATTTTATCTCTCATATATTTTATCTATTATTATTTTATATATTATCTCTCACATATATTTCACCTCATTTACATATACATTTTATGTCAATTATTCGTTTCATATTTCATCCTTGTCGATTATCGCTGCGAAATAATTTGATGAAAAAAAGGACAGAATACAAAAAATGCTATTAAATTTTATCTCTCATATATTTTATATATTATTTCTCACATATATTTCACCTCATTTATACATTTTGTGTCAATTATTCGTTTCATATTTCATCCTTGTCGATTTATCGCCGTGAAATAATTTGATGAAAAAAGAACAGAATGCAAAAATATTAAGAATATTAAATTTCACCATCTCTATATTTTAAATACAACTAGAGCAATATATACCAATTAACTGCGGGCGCGGCGCGAATGTCACGTCGAAGTAAATTACGCTCAATTGTGCGATATCGCCGCGCCCGCCTCGACGACCGTGACATTAGCATCGGCATTGTGCGCTGCGCTTAATTGCGCCGTTCCTCGCTGTTGCAGTGCACGTGCGCTCCCGCTTGCGCATCCACCTACGTGTACGTGCATACATACGCGGACTTCCGGCCGATTTGCACGGTGCTTCCTGATCGCGGAGGAGGAAATTAAACGCTCAGGGCCGCGCGATTCGCCCGCGGTTGAATTAAAAATCGCGAATGGGGCTCGGAAGCATCCCCCTACAGCACAAAATATTATGAGTTATTTTAAAAAAATATTTCTGTAAAATATTGCGTGAAACATTTTAAAATGGTTTCAGGAATATTTGAAAATGATTTAAAATAAATTTTTTTTATTTATTTTCGATTTAAGACATATGCAAAATAATATATGTCAAAGTCACACCTAAAATTTAAACTATTACATTAATTCTTAATTTTTTAAAAGATTAAAAAAATTATTATATACAAGAAAATATGAAAAAAACAATTAATATATATATTAGCATGCATGAAAAATAAATATGCTGCACTTTACCCATACAGCACAAAATATTAATAAGTTATTTCAACAAATATATCTATTCAAAATATATCTATAAAATATTATGTAAAACATTTTAAAATGGTTTTAGGAATATTTGAAAATGATTTAAACATTTTTTGTCATAACATTTTAGAATATTTTTAAAAACATTTTTAAAAATGTTCTTTATCGCTTAGATAATATTTTCATCAATATTTGATACATATTTTGAATATTAGTTTGAATCTATATTCAAAAATATTTTTTAAACATGAAAAAGTGGACATAGACACATTTTAAAAATATTTTCGAGAATTATTTTATCTTTTAAGAAATATTAAAAAAAATTTTTTTTAAATATTTTGTGCTGCATGGGCCATTATTGAAAAATTTTTCAACAATTCATCGAACCGTCATATCGGTCCCTTTCGGGGTATCAGAGTCTTTTTCTTTTCTGTATTTTTAAAAAATATTTTATAATGTGGATAAATCAGAGAGATATAATATTAAGTTAAAATGTGCCACTATATACATTATGATTCGATCTCTAATTGCTGCAAATTCTGAATTATTAGACGAAATTCCTCGAGCTTTGATAACTCATTTCCTGTTATCGATTTAACATATGTGTGTGTTTCTTATACCGGGATTCTATATACGCTGCAATCGATGTTGAAATAATGTCTAGTCTAAGGTAGGAAATGAAGATCGATTCGGATTTCCGACGAGACGACGAATCGCAATCGAAGCAATCTCCATTTTTCCTCGAGTTCTTATAAGATTATCCGATCAATTTGAGACAACTTTGCTAAAGGCGATTCACGCAATTGAGTTTCTTTTATGTATGTATATATATATATATATCCTCTCTTTTTTATTATTATTTTCTTTCTTACACATAGATATGTTTAACTCGCGATTTTTCTATCAAACTTAAAAGCTTTCTAAATAATATATCAGATATAACAAAATGTTATAAATGTTATAATAATTTTTTTGCATAACATTTACTTAAAGTATTAATTATTAATTATATAATATTAACTGATTTTTACAGTGATCAAGAAAAGATTAATAAATAATCAAAGGAATTAATAATTTAAATCTAAGCTAAATCAAGAGTTTATTAGTGTCCAATTATTATCTAAAATATTTTATTTAACAATTTTCTATATTGTTATAATTTAAACAATAAGGAAATTTGAAGCTAGTAAAAATTTTTAAAAATTTTGTATTTATTGTACGTATCAAAAATTAGATTTATCTTTTTTTTTTAACATTTATTTTGTCTCAATTTATAAAGAATAATTTAATTTGTCACAACATATTAAAAGTGACTTTGCATTTTTAATCACAAAGTATTCATTTTTCGCAATATCGGACGCGGCCGTCGTGATTCGTTGGCAAATCTCCGGTTGCTACATAGCCAGTCGCCTAGATCTATATAGTTGGCCCAGGGGTTGAAGACCCCCGAGAAAGAGACGACGTCGTTCTTTGCTCTTTGAGGCCGACGCGGCGCATAGTTCGCGCGGCGATCGAAGCGTAGTTGACTATTCTGATGAAAAGAAAGCGGAACGTGAACGAAAGACGGGATGAGGGAAGAGGAGGAAAACATGAAAGGGTATGCGGAAGAAGAGCGGGAGAGAACGAAGCAATGAACGGGAAGAGATCAGAGATGAAAAGTACCATTGTACCACGAGACCTCGTTTCAAGTCGATTTTCAGATAATTTCCGAGAAAGAAGAAAGTAGAAAATGTACGGTGTTTCATTCTGGACTTTAAGATTTTTTATCAATTTTTCACTTAAGAATTGCACAAAAATTGAAGCATACACACAGAGAATTTTTTGTTATATTTTACCGCAAAATTCACGAAAAATTTTATCATGTTTGGTATAAGCCGAAAATTGCAAAAATGACGCTGCATTGTAAAATTTATATAAAATATTCTATATGATTATCACTTTTTGGCGCCTATTCAATTTACAACACTTAACAAATCACAAGTTTTTAATAAATTTTAAAATTAATGAATCTTCATTATATATTTTAGTAAAATTAATCAAACGTATTTTATTGTGATAAATCTTAATATTTTTTATTGTGGTAAATATCAATCAGATACCATATTGTTCCACGATTACCAAAATAAATTTCCGAGAAAAAAAATTCTACGAAAAAATTCTAAAAAATTGACGTTTAATTTTATATGCTAATTTTTTTATCAAACTGGAGCAAGATAAATAGTAAAATTTCCTGACTT